AAAAGAAGGGTCATACTGCCATAGTCCGAGTGCGCCCCCGCTCGGATATCAACCTCGGGATTGTAGTCGGAATCTTGAGGGAGCATTGGATAATGCAGGAACCGTGAAGCTTGCGGCGCACAGTCGTGAAACCGGACGAGCCAGTCGACATCTTCCATTTCAAGGCCCAATGCAATGAGTCGAAGGACACGGGTGGCTGTGCTGCGACACCTGGCGTGAAAGTCTTGGAGAGTCTGGTCGTTGGTTTGAAATGCAGAAGGAATGGGCTGGCGCCACTGTCCCGTGGTTGGATTTGGCTCGGCCAAGTTGAAGGCCTGTTTGAAGTCCCCTCGTTGATGTTTTGAAGGATCGAGGCTTTCAATGTGCATTCCGACAAAGCCACGGTTGTCCTTGATTTTGCAATGGTCCTTCTCGTACGCCGACGCCTCCATGAAAAAGGTTCGCGAGATATCAAATACTCGATCAACAATATCTTCATTGAGATCGTATCCTGACCTGTCCCCTCCGTTGTCTGGGTCCGGGGAGCCCGCAATCCACAGGAATCCCCATTTTGCCGCTGCCTCGACAAGTTCTTTTCCTAGCTTGGGTGTCTCGTGTGAGATGTCAAAGAGAGGTAGGTCAATCGTCTCCCCGGAGGAGCTTTTCGCCTCATGAGGTATTGTAGCTGATGGCATCTTCGTCGAGTACTGGGACGTTCAAGAATATCACGATGCGATTCCAAGTCGAAGTCTCCGAACGTCACCTTCCTGGCGTGGATTCGACTTATCTCTCGAGAAAGCTCCCACTACCACTTCCATACACGGACATTGTCCATAACGGACAGGCCTGAAGGCAAACGGTCGGCGCCGCCCGAATACAGATTGATAAGGGACATCCCAGGCCTCTTCTCGGATGAGAAACCAGCGAGGTTCTTCATGTCCTCGTATACAAATTTATCAAACACTGACTGCCTTGTATCGTCAAGACAGGGCTCCGGTCAACGATAGTCCGGTTTTGCGAGAGTGCAAACCACAGACTCGGTATAATTCGTACCTGGTAGGATAGTGACCACATTGGCAAATCGCTATCTGTGACCGACCTGACATATTTGAATGTTGAACCAGAATACATTCTAGAATTTGAAGTCCCCACAAAAGAGACATTACCTAACATGACTGAAATCATGACCTTTTCAGGACTAGACACTCTCGGCGTCCCCACAAAATATACCAGTTCTTCCCAGCAAGTAGTACAGTACTCCGCAGGACGAATGCAACGTAGTTAACAATGGAGTTGAGTCATCCGGTATTTTGTTTCAAAGTCATAAAATGTGAAATATTATTTTCTGTGAACGTTGGGCAGCCCAGTTTTAACAATTTCTGCATGAAACCAACTTGATTGATCCTCTACAAACATGGGCATCGAGGAGTCTCTGTCGGCCGATGGTCGCGAGAAGCTCAGAGATGAACTATTGGCCGCCAATGATAGATTCGTCCTTGAAATCCCCAAGGTCGAACTTCACATGCACATTGAGGGAACTCTCACCGCCGAGTTGAGGTGGAAGTTTGCGCAAAGAAACGGGATCAAACTGAGGATAGCTGAGCACGGTCCCGAGTTGAATAGTCTGGAGGAGGCGAAAGCTGCGATGGACCTGCTCCGACCAGACCCAAGCCGAGTCAACAACGACGAAGAGCGGTTTCAATTCTTCGAGGCGTATTATGAAGGATTCGAGTGTCTCAAGACGAGGGAAGATTATTATGATTTGGCGATGCATTATCTCGAGCACGCGGCCAAAATGAACGTCAGATACTGCGAGCTTTTCTTCGACCCTCAAGGCCACACGAGTCGTGGAACATCTTGGGCCGTCATGATGGAAGGGTTTCGAGAAGCCCAGAAAACCGCAGAGACTAGATTGAATGTTCGTGTTTTACTTGGTCTCTCTGACCGTGCAGCAAGCCCCAAACTAATTGTTGGAAACAGGTTAAATCGGCGTGGATCATGTGCTTCTTACGAGACATGTCTCTGGACTCGGCCATGGAACATTACAAGGCCGCACTCCCGTATCGAGACATCATCGTCGGGGTCGGGCTAGACTCGAACGAGGAAGACAGGCCACCGGTACTGTTTGAAGAAGTTTTCTCGCTCGCCCGACGCGATGGGTTCAAACTCACCATGCACTGCGACGTGGATTCAAAAAACACCCATGAGCATATCAGGCAAGCTGCGTCCGTCGTCGCAGGCAAGGGACTCGACCGTATCGACCACGGCATGAATGCCGCAGAGAAACAAGACTTGATCGAGCTGATCCAAAAACGTGATCTCGGCATGACTATCTGCCCTTGGTCGTATCTGCGACACACGACGTACGCGGAGCTTGGGCCAAAGATCCGGACTCTGTACGATGCAGGAATCAAAATCTGCATCAACAGTGACGACCCGGCATACATGGAAGACTGCTGGGTGTTGGAGAACTTGTTGTTGGTCAAACATCTGTGTGGCTTCAACGACAAGGACATCGCTGTCCTGGCGAAGAATGCTATCAATGCATCTTGGGCCACGCCGACTGTCAAGAACGAGATCCTTCGAGAGATCGACGAGGTATATAGCAAATTTTATTCTGAATAGTTAAAGGAGTCGAAAGGTTTGATTCCTGTCAAGCAAGAGCCCAAAAATAGCTCTCCACACCCTGGCTATAATATGAGTTTGCGCTCGAGAAACTCCGGGTCCGACAAGACACAGGGCCAGTTTTTTCCACTCTTCCACACTTGGTCCAATGCTTCAACCGCGAGCTTTTGATGCAAACAACCGAGAGTGTAAAAATTGTTGTACAACATACTTCGTAGCCACGTCTTGCTTTGGGCATCCTCGACAGGTAGAAGCAACCCAGCTTGGAACAAGGGCCAAGACATGGAGTAACCCCAACTTGTCCTGGGAGGAATTGTCCGCGCGTACTGGAAGATACTACTGACCAGATTTGTAGTATTGAGACTCCCTTCAGGCAGTTGGAAAAGTCGAATCAGATAAAGCAAAATCCCAAGCCTCCATACCTCGACAATGTCCAGTCGGGGACCCGAATAGTCAGAGGCATCCCACTGTTCGATAGCTTTGCCAAAGAGCATAGCTTGCTCGATGACTTCTTGAGATATGTTCTTCGAGTTAGGTTGTACTTTGCACAGGAATGTGATGTCGGCTAAATAGTCAAACAGATCAACGGGGCAGTAAAACACGTCGAATCCCCATTCCCTCTTTCCGGAAGGTGTCTTAAATCTTCCCAGTGTGGCTTTAATGTCTTCAATTGACCAGTGTGGCATTCTTGAACTTGTGGTTGCTCCCATGATATCGAGCCTGCTAGGTTGTGAGCATTTTGATTGGGATGCGGACGAGCAAACTACCATGCTATACGCTGTTCAATGTATATGCCTGCCGTTCTGTCCGAGGCACCCAACCTCAAAAATATGCTCGCAGCATTGAGATGTATTCCGAATTCGGCGCAGTCGCCAGAACATACCTGACACCCCACACTGTTAGAATTGTACAAACAAAACCCGAATAGGTAGGTAGGTATGTACATCGAGCTGTGCAAGTAGAAGCATGCAAACCAAAGACGCGAGCTCTGGCTGTTTAGAATCCTTTTCCAGCTCCATTCTGAGGAGTTCTGTAGCTCTCAGGCGCAGGTGAAGGCTGAAGCTCTTCAGATGTTCGTCTTCGAGTCGATTTGCTAGGTGACATGCAGTGGAAGCCGCCACGGCGCACCTTACTGAGCGTACCGATCGGGTCATTGGCAGGATGTAACGAGTGTAAGGCGTTTCAGCGGGGCCAGATCCCAGATAGAAGGCCGTACTGATTTCTCGCACGTCTAGAATGAGATTGTCAGTCATGGCCCATACCCTTCTGGTCTGTTTGAGGGCATACAGTAGTTGACGAATCCACCCAGATCGTCTCGCGTCAATCCTATATTCATAGGAATGCTCGAACTTATCCGTTGCAATGTAGAGATAGCCCGAGACTGGATGTCATGTGCGGTCGGCGATTTAAGCCTAGTGGCAACTTGATAGGGGTTGAGCGGCGCTTGTATTGACGCGGTCACACGTTGACAATCCGACAGGGACGAATCACTCATCTCACGACTTCCTGTTCTGTTTGGTTTCCTCGGAGAATACTTTTCCAGAGCGAGATGAGGGAGTTGCCATCCGGCATCTTCGTGGTTTGGGTCCATCGAGATCTGGCCGCCTAAGGTTCCCTGGCCAGATGCATTGACCCAGCGCAAGGTATACCCCTCGCATGATACATTCCTCAAGTGACAGCTTTTGCAAGTCGGCAGAGTCCGATCGCACTTTCTTCCTCGACGACGACATGTTTTGCATGCGATCCCGTAAACATTATTTCGACTCATGCCCAAAAGCGGTCGAAATATCAGTCTCGAATAGCTTACCCGATACCTGACTGGTCGGTCAGCAGTGGGACTACCGAAGACCAAAGGGCTAGAGTGAAGTGATTACTATTAAAGACTTGTGGTCTGGGCGACTCGAGGAATTCTGTTTGGTCAAGTTGGTCAATTTGGAGGGCGTATGAATGACAAGTGTCGGTCCTTGTTTGACCGAGGTCGAGATAAGAAGAACGCTATGACGAACAAGGGCACAATTTCAGTCGGCTCGCTACCATTCTCTCGGAACAAGGCAGCTAGATGGGGTCCACACAGGTCGACCTGTGGCTGTGGAATTACCTGCGCTTCTGACCAAGATGTATGAACTTGTGTGGTATCATGACAATCTCTTATCAGCTGTCTACATGTCGAGCTTTGTTTCGTAGGCCAACAACGGGCTGGGCTGCATTGGCATTCTTCCGCCATTGGCTGGTCGAGCCAGCTTCCGACCTGGCTGTATCAGGAAGTATCCAAGATATATTCAGGGCCAAATCCCAAGAGCATCAGAAGGGGTTTCTCGAACTATATCACATCACTTCCTTTCCCCCTTACTTGGTCAGTCCTTGGTCTCTTCAAACCTACACGTTTTGTCGTCGTGATGGCGGAAAAGACCATGGCTGATACAAAGACCACGACCGAGCCTTACCAGGACGAGGAACAGGGTTCGCTGCATGCCAGCGAGTATGCAGGGCCTTCCCGCGGCCATGGTGAACTGGAGGTCATAGCTATGCGTGAGAGGATTCCAGTCCTACGCAAGCTTAGAACTGTCGAGGCGTGGCTCGACAAGAAACTGGGCATAGAGACGACAGGTGCAGACCGTGTACCAGAAGGAGAACGTCGACCTCCAAGCATATTCAATGTAAGTAAATCACACACATACATAGACTTCTGTGATTCAATTTACCAACAAAATGCGGCGGAACAGATGATCTTCTTTTGGTTTTCCATGCTGATCTCGCCTGGAACCATAACATCGGGCCTCTTGGGACCCATCTATGGACTTTCCGTCAACGACTCCATCATCATTACGGTATTCGCATCAGCCATCGGCTCTGTGGTACCTGCGTTCACAGCCACCTTGTGCGCTCAGACAGGCCTCCGCCAGATTGCCGCATCCAGGTTTGCGTTTGGTATATGGGGATCCAAGATATGCGGCTTCCTCAACATAGTGGTCAACCTGGGATTTGGGACCGTCGCCTGCATTGTTGCAGGTGAACTCATTAGTCCCGTCAGCGGAGGAAAAGTCACAATTGTCGCGGGCATCATCATCCTCTGCGCCACGTCATATGCCATCTCCTTCATTGGATTCCGCTTCATACACCATTACGAACAAGTGGCCTGGACTCTGGTTCTGGTTCTAATGTGCGTCGAGTATGGACAGACCGCAAAATATTTTTCGCCAACCCCAGGTCTTTCATACTCGTCTGGTGCGGACAGGACCGGTGCTGCATTGAGTTATTTTGCTCTCATCTTTGGCACTTCGGCTGCGTGGTGCTCGATGTCGGGTGATTACTACGTCCACTATCCCGCAGACATCAGCAAGTGGCTAGTGTTCGGCATGACTTGGGTTGGATTGACCATACCCACCTCTTTCATGATTGTTCTTGGAAACCTCTTGGGAGGCGTCCTGCTCACTAACCAGAAAATGTCGGATGTGTACAACCAAGGAGGCATAGGGGCACTCATTCTGGCTACCATGTCACCTCTTGGTTTCAGCAAGTTTGTCTGTATCATATACACACTGTCTATGGGTGAGTTTCTTCTGACGTGACCGAAACCCGGTAAACCGTATGCTGACTTTACCATCTCTCAGTGGCTAGTTTGACTGCCATCTACTACTCTTCGTCTTTATCAATTCAACTATGGGGCAAGCACTTCATGGCCGTTCCGCGCTTCATATGGAACAGTCTTCTGGCCGGCATCAGTCTAGCTCTGGCCTGGGGAGGCAGAGAACATCTCCTTGCCATTCTAACAAATTTTCTTTCTCTCCTCGGGTACTGGACGATTTGTTTTGGTACAGTTCTCGCCTTCGAGACCTTTTGGTTTCGCCCACGCAACGGCGGTTACGACCTAGAAGGTTGGCAAGATCAGGATCGGATGCCGTTAGGAATCGCAGCTTGCGTGAGTCTTGCTCTGGGTATTGGAGCCAGTTTCTTGGGCATGAACCAGACATGGGTGAGACCTTCTTCAAATCCTTCCAGCATCCAAATGTTTCTTCATTTAGGCTGATCGATCAAAAATAGTTCATCGGACCAGCAGCCAAAGCAATCGGACAAGGCGGCGACCTTGGGAACTATTTCACCTTGGTGGCGGTCTGCTTGTCATACCCTTTTCTCAGACATTGGGAAATCAAGCTCTCAGGACGTTGAATGATGCCAGAAAGGTGCTTCCAACGCTCATTCCCGGAATATTATGATAACATAGAGAGTGATCTAGTTGAAAATAGTTGCAAACACGCTATTCAGGCACGTTGTGCCCGTGTGGAATCTGCTCGCTTTAAAGGCTACGTAGTCACTGTGGTTCGAAACATCTCTCTTCAAAAGGCATGCCGTTTCGTGGATTTGGGTTTTGTGCAGTACCAATCACTGTAGTCTAAAATCCTAACTGGAAACCATGCGATACGATAGTTACCATTCGAACAGCGTGAGATATCTCGGAACGAATGCCTTTCCCGCCCTACGTGCAATTCAATTTCACCTGGCTGTCACGGCTCAATCAAAAAAAAAAGGAATTCTGGTTTGGAGTGAAGTAACCGCCACTGCGCTGTCATTCGCGTCTGCTCATCGCGAAGCAAAAGCATATGGCCTAAGACCGAGACTGCGGGTGTCGGCGAAGACCGAGTAACTCGTTGATAACCTTCAAAACTGCCCGGTCGAGATGACTGTGGATCGTTTATCGTAATATTCATTGCAAATTGGGGCCCTCCGGTCGAAGACATACCGAGCCGGTGTCTCTGCGGTGAAGGCAAAGCTTCTATCGTTTATCCAATGCTTGGTGTGCAGAGAAGTTTCCGAGGCAGCAAAGGTACTCACCACCTGAAAATCTCGGATCCTTCACTCCATGAGCCTGAAAAAGCCCAGTAATAAGAATTCAGTCTATGTTGTTGTGAACAAGTGACTCCTCATAGCGAGCATCATCATCGATGTCGAAGCCTTGACAAGGAGAACCACCAATCCTGAGATGCGTCCAATCACCTCGAGCGATACAGAATCAACCTATCTGCTGGAACATTCTGACTCGACGGAAAAGCAAGCAACATGGTCTTCCGAGCTGAAGGTGCTAAGCGGCGGATCTTGCTCCCTGATCGTTGCAAACATCCTACAACTCTCCCTCAATATCTCGAGCATGCTCGTCATCAGTGCACGTGGGAAGATCGAGTTTGGGGCGGTGAGCGTGGCGACCACAACTGCGAACATCACGGGGTTCATTGTATTTCAAGGCCTCGCAACGAGCCTGGACACTTTGTGCGCTCAAGCTTGGGGTTCAGGAAAGCCGCACCTTGCTCGACTGCACGTGCAGAGGATGATTTCGCTTCTCGCTGTGGCAGGCATTCCTATAGCAGTCCTCTGGTGGAATTCCGGCCGTCTATTACCACTTTTACTGCCCGAACCTCAGACCGCCATGTTTGCAGGACTTTACTTGAAAGTCCTCACAGCCGGTATCCCTGGGTTCGTCGTGTTTGAAGCGGCAAAGAGAATCTTGACGGCAGAAGGAACCTTCCTACCAGTAACAGGAATCCTGTGTGCTGGCGCCTGTACCAATGGTCTCTTCGGCTGGATCCTTGTATGGGTGAGTCACCTCAAAATTTTTTTCCCTATCAAGATCGGGGTCCTGACGCTGAAACATTCAATCAAGCGCTACAACCTGGGTTTCATCGGTGCCCCGATCGCGGTCGCCGCAACATGGACTTTGATCCCGTTGTATCTCTTGCTCTACCTAGGTGCGGTGGGCAAGGGAGGCATCTGGCCTGACAAGCCATCCAGGGTTTTTGTGAATTGGGGTCCAATGTTGAGGTTAGCTATACCAGGACTCATCATGGTGGAGGCGGAGTACCTCGCATTCGAGGTCCTGGTGATTGCATCGGCGCAACTTTCGACAGCGAGTCTTGCCGCACAAACAATCCTAGCCACGCTGAATTCGATCTTTTGGCAGATCCCTTTCTCCATCAGCATTGCAGGTGCGACGAGGATCGCACAGCATATCGGCGCTCGATCGGCCACGTCAGCTAGAACAAGCGCCATTGTCGCCTTGGTCTTTACATTGATTTGCTCCTCAACGAATGGGACACTCATGTTCGCCTTCCGTGCCTTTTGGCCCACCATCTTCAGTGACGATCAGGATGTGATTGAGCTTGTCGAGACTGCCCTGCCTCTTGTCGCTGTCATGCAAGTGTTCGATGGTTTGGTTGCGTGTTGTAACGGAGTATTGCGAGCAATCGGCAGACCTTCGGTGGGTGGCTGGGTGAATCTCTCCAGTTACTATATCGTGGCGCTACCACTATCGTTATGGTCTTCCTTTGTCCTCCACTGGGGCTTGAGGGGGCTTTGGGTTGGTGTCACTGTCGCTTTGCTGATTGTCACGATGGCTGAGTTGGTTTTCCTTAGCCTGACTGATTGGAAGAAAAGTGTTGAAGACGCGGAGTGGAGAAACAATCGTCCACTCGATCAAGAGCTTTGATACAGCAGTGTGGCTTGTCAATGCACTTGATTTTCAGAAGGAATACAGTGCAGGAGATATGAAGAAGGATGCTAGGGTGCTGCAAAATACTTGACATTAAATCCCAATCTCGAACCGATATCCAGCCACTCGGCGCCTCAGAAATCCTCGCAACGCACCACGAAGAGGGCTACAACTTCATACGGATGCGCTTCTCTCAATCTGGCAACACCGCGCTTCGTAGTCGACGTTCCCACAATTACCATTTCCACGCGGTCTTCGGAGACGTACTCGGCCTCTCCGTTCCCGGGGGTTCCGATGTGCGGAGTTGCATGAGCTGCGACTTTGAACTGGCCAATCCCAGGGCTGACGAATGCTGTGTCTGTGTATTTCGGTGGCTCTCTGGTGTCTACCCCGGGACCATTAGGCCATGTGCCTGCACCGGTGGACCATAGTGCATCGAGGCACTTTTGGGTATGGGATTGAGGTACATAGAAAGTGAGTTTGTAGAGCGCCGTGTCGGTATTCTCCGACGAGGCTGACATGGCTGACATGAGGGGCTGGACTGAACTGTGATGGTGACGTTGTAACAGGACGAAGAAATAGAAGAGGTTTGATCAGTTTGTTGCCGTCAGTATGCAGTGTGTTATGGGAATAACGAGTTCCAAGAAGATTGTCGATAGATAAAGAAATCTTTGGTGTTATAAAGACTGTAACCAGCGAAGATGATAAGAATTATTTACGCTGATCTGAGTTTCATGGAAATATTCAGGTATCCCCGCCTGCTCTTACTCTGCTACCATTTCAAGTATATCAAGCACTTGTTCTTTCTGAACTAATGGAACGGCGTTTGTCTTCGCCCATATATCGGTCAGGGTGTTTACAGCAAGAGTATCAAAAAGATCCCTCGAAATGCCCACTTGCTTCAGCGTTCGCGGTAAGTTCAACGCTGAGACCAGAGCTTCGAGTATACTGGCAAGATCCTTCTGGCCACCAGAGACTAAAGACTCCAAGCCGGGGTCTTGTAGCAGGATTGCAGCCAGTTTCTGCTGCTGTTGGGCGTTTGCACCTTTCAAGGCGTTGTATCTGCACACGGCCGGAAGCAAGATACAGCTCGTTTCACCATGTGCCACTCCTATGGGGCCGAGCATATGGCCGATGGCGTGACTCCCGCCCTTCTCAGGAACGTACACGGTTGTCTTGACAGCTTCTACGGCTCCGAGCTGGGCATTGTGAATGGCGACCAGATTGGTAGGATCTTTGTGAAAAGCCAACAGCGCCGGAACTAGTAACTCGAGCCCCTCGATGGCTGTTTTGTCGCCCTTTTCGTTGGATTGGAGGGAGCATACAGTTTCCACACAATGGTCCATGGCTCTGACTCCGGAACCGAGAAAGAGGCGACTCGGTGTGGTTGCTGCGACTTCCGGGTCCAACACAACGATACCGGGATTCTGAACAGGCGGAGTAAAAAGTACCTTCTGTCCAGTCTTGTTGTTAGTGGCACCCGCAAATGATGTGTACTCGCCTCCTGACAACGAAGTAGGTACTGCAATGGTCTTGATCGTGGGAGACTTGAGGCCGTCAAATCCAGGTGACCTACGATCTGCCAGCTTCGCCAGATCGTCCTCATGGCGAACTCCATTCGCCAACGCCCATACTATCACCTTGACGGCGTCCGTCAGGCTTCCAGCTCCGATTGAAATGACGCAGTCAACTTCGAGAAATCGTATGTCATCCACAACTTCAAGGATCTCGGACCAAAAAGTGTGAGGCTTCATGCCAATTCTCATTCCCACGACTTTGCCTCCTAGCGCTTGTTTCATTCGTTCTCTAACGTCGCTATTCTTTGTCAACGATGCCGATAGGAGCAAGAATATTCTCTTGCATTTCAGTGTCGACTCTACATGGTATTGACATGCTTCGGCATAAGGCAATCCGTATGATATCAACGGAGCTGGTTGTTCCTTGGAGAATGGTTTAGTGATAAGCTGGTTTCCAGAAGCCATGATTCAATGATACTGTTCGTGAGTCTTCCGTCCACTCGATGAGCCAACGGAAAATGTCAGTGACTTAAAGTGCATTTAAACACTTACTTTACAAACAACCTAGATGATCCATGGTAGCCTTGCAGGATCCATGCACAGGAAACTCCAGACGTGACCACGGCCCGCGGATTAGATCAAGAAGGGCCATTTTTCCACCAGGGTCCACTTTAACAAAGGAGACAGTACCGTCGTTCACTCTCTCAGGTATTGCTTTGAAATCATTACTTTGGATATCATACAAATGTTCGAAACAATGAAAGACGATACGACGTGTACGGGTAGTCTAGCTCTGTCTTTGCCATTGGGCCGTTCTACTTAAGATGCATCGGACAAGTCTCAGAGAACCTTCATGCCGTCTTCTTCGCATATTCCTCCTCGGTCACCGGGTCATACCAATCAATCCCGCCCAGAGAGACAGCCTCGTGTACCATGTAGCTGCCATCGTCCGCTCCGTGCCAGTGGATGCCTCCAGGTTGGCACCAAATGACGTCCCCGACAGAGATGCGCTTGGGCTTTTGACCCTGGTCACAAACCCAGCCAGATCCGGCCGTGACTTTCAGGAGCTGTCCTTTGTCGTGTCGGTGCCAGTTCGTCCTGGCACCAGGCTGGAAATTGACGTTCACCACGGTGATATCGTCGCCGCTCTTCAGCATCGGATCCAACCAGACCTGCCCTACAAAGGTTCCAAAGGCTTCGGACGAGATCGAGGCTGCACCCTCGGCACGTCCATGTTGAGTGATGGGGGAGATTGGGGCTTTGATTGTCGTATCCCTCTTTTTGATAGAGACGTTGGAAGTGTACGATGACATCTTGTGACAGATTTCCGACTTGTAAAGCTGCTCGTCTTTGTTCGCTTGGGGGTGGAAAGCAATCTGGTGGCTTCTTTGAGTCCCGTGTGTGTTGTCAAGGGTCTGACAAATTCTTAGATCGTGTTCTTCTCAATTGATAAAGGTAACTCGGCTTAGCTTTTCTATGAGACGGCAATTTATACTTGCGATACATGGCTGTGAAGCACTCCTACAGTTCGTCAGTGATGGAGCGGTCCACTTCTCCTTTTCGGCCCGCGGCTTCATGTCAAGGTGGTTGACTAATAAGAGGGGCCCACTCCTCGCTTGTTCGCCTGAAACCAGGCTTGGAGATGGAAATCCTGCTGAACAATCAACAAGCTGTAAGCTCTCTCAGGACTACAGAGTAAGGCTGTTTCATGTTGTGCTCACAAATTCAGGCAGCCTTGTAGCGTAGTTTACACCAAATTCCAAGGCTATTAGTCAACACAAATTCGACTACGCTACCTTTCATCAGACTGTCAGCCAACCCAGATCGGCAAAAGGTAGAGAGGCTCGGCTATCGGTTCTACCATCGATATGTCTTCAGGTGTATGGGCAAGACCAAATACCATGAAGGCCGTCGTGTTACGAGGTGCAAAGGCACTTGTCGAACGAGATCGGCCTCTTCCCAGGCTACGGGACGACTATGTCCTGGTTAAGACGGAAGCCGTTGCACTCAACCCGACAGACTGGAAGCACGTCAACGGTGGCCTTGGTGCAGAGGGAGGTTTGGTAGGATGTGACTTTTCTGGGGTGGTCAAAGAAATTGGACGAGCGGTGACGAAATCCTGGAAAGTCGGCGACCATATCTGCGGCGTGGCGCACGGGAGTAACAAGTACCAACCAGAAGATGGTGCCTTCGCCGAGTATATCGTGGCAAAGGGAGACATTCAAATGAGGATCCCTGAGCATATGACTTTCGCCCAAGCAGCTACGATCGGTCTTGGGGCGACCACAGTCGGACAGGGTTTATATCAGCAAGCACTTCATCTCCCCCTGCCTCCACAAGCCCCACGGCAAAGACACGACAACAAAAATGTTTTGATCTATGGAGGCAGCACGGCTACCGGTGCCTTGGGAATTCAATATGCTCGATTGTAAGAATTTTCACCAGTTATCATCCGCAACGAGTGTCCCTAATAGCACGGATCCAAAAACTGATCTTGTAACCCATAGGTCCGGATTCTCGGTCTACACAACTTGCTCGCCCAAGAACTTTGATTACGTGAAAAGCCTTGGTGCAATAGAAGCATTCGATTACAACGACGAAATCTCCATCTCCAGATTACGAGACCAGACAAAAGACAACGAACTCAGGTTGGCATGGGATACGATCGGTACACCAGCGAGTGCGGAATTTTGTATGAAGTCCCTGTCTACAAGATCGGACTGCAAATATGGGTGTATTTCTTATCCTCCAGTCCCAATATCTCGAGCGGACGTCAAAAATGTAGGCACACTAATGTATTCTGTCTTTGGAGAGCCCTTTGAGAAAAGGGGAAACAATTTCCCGGCAAGTCCAGAGGATTTTGCTTTCACCAAGAGATTCATGGCCATAACGGAGGAACTATTGGCTCAGGGACAGCTTCGGCCACATGCTGCCCTTGTAGGGAAGGACGGGTTGGAAGGTGTGCTGAAAGGTATGAAGGACATGAAGGATGGTAAAGTCAGCGGTCAAAAGTTGGTTTATCTTGTGGCTGATACGCCGTGACTCGATACCATGTCGAGACACTATCTTGCAAGAAAGGTTTGCGGTTCACTCCATGGTCCAACATAAGTCTCCTACTGCAAGTTATCTACCTCATGGCTAATGTGAAGCCATACTGCGGAGCAATCAAGGTTCTACACGTCCAAACTTAGTCTTGCTAGTCTTGTGAGGGAATACAGAAAAGGAAAACTCACTGTCGTCCGTGGGTCATCATTCGTCGTCTTGAAGATCTTCAAAGCTGCCTCGCCCATTGATGCTTCGATGCCAGTCTCCTTTGCCGCTTTCAGGGCCAACGACACATCTTTGACACACAGACGAGGTGCAAATGTCGGCCGAAATCCATTTGTAGAGGCTGATTTAGCATGAATGCCGGGGACTGGTTGAGCGTTGTCCATGACCCAAGAGTCACCACTCGACCCTTTGATGCACTTGTAAAGAGTCATCTTGTCCACTCCATGTTTGATGCCGAACGCCATGCCTTGTGCTGTCGTCACTATATTGCTCAGACCAATGTAATTGTTGACAGTTTTGCACACGAGGCCCGCACCGAGTTTCCCACAGAATGTGATTCGTTCCGGGGAACCCATTGAATTGAGAATTCCTTGAATGCGTCTCCGTTTCGGGTCCGAGTTATGTGCTCCCTCAAAGCCTACCATGAATGACAAAGTCCCGGCTTCGGCGCCTGCAACGCCTCCAGAAACTGGCGTGTCGACATAGAGTCCCTGAGTGGCATCCATGATTGAGTGTCCAATGTCCTGCGAAACCTTGACTTCGATCGTACTACACTCCAACATCAAACGATCTGCAAATTTGCTGGCCGCTACGACTCCGTCTTGGGGGTCGAGGTAGACTTCCTTCACGTTGCCGCCGTTTGGAATCATAGATATCACCGTCTGAGACTTCTCTGCCACCTCTCTCGCGGTCCGAGCAATTTGAATCGGACCAAACTGACCAAAGTTCTTCACAAACCGCTCACATGCTTCGGCAACGACATCAAAGACGTGTAGGGTTGTAGTTGGCGCCATCTTCTTGCGTATATTTCCAGCCATATGGTATCCCATATTTCCGAGGCCTATTGGTGATTAGTTGGCCTTAGGGATCTAATTCGCTTCAATGGAATAGAACAAACCAATGAACCCAAAATCCCCTTCCATCTTGATGAATCGTTACCAAGGTACGAATCAGTCCTGGAGAATGTTCCCTCAATGCCACCGGTGTCTGTACAAGGCAAGTAATAAGGTCACAGCAATAAAACATACAATTCCAAAAGACAAGAGAGATCTTGGACAGAGGTCAATGGTCTGCTTCTTCACTTCTATTTCCAAATATGTAAAAGACTCCTCTAAAGATTGTACATAGGATTCGGCTGCATGATCTTATACGCTTGACACACGGAATATGTCAAACCACTTGATTCCCGGAGCAAGTCCTACGGTAGTCGGAGAAGGACAAGGCATAGAATCCGTGTCAAGGAGCGTTGAATTTCCTGTCATGAAGCCGAAGTCGAGTGAGTGCGAAGTCACGTCTATGGTTGAACTGGGTTTGAACCCGATGTCTCGATCTCTGGAGCGCCGAATAATTTACCATGGGCCGCGGTGAAGAGTTCAAGTCTTGCGAGTTCTAAGTGGAAGAAGACATCAACGATACAACATTTACTGGGAATACCCCAGTGAAGTTGACCTGTTCACTCGGCCCGCGGATCGGCACAGTCACCAAACCAGAACAGAACGTATTACTGAACATGCCGACAGTGCGATGACGACGGCAGCACAACGATGCCCGGTTCTTCGGAATTCGATGTCATAAATGATTTTCTAGTTGGGGAGTAGATATCTCTCAATGCGAAATCCAAAGCGATCGAGATAGTGTCACTGACATTTCAGGAAGTATCCACTTTTGGTATAGAGTTGAGCTGTAATCGTATGCAATATGATGCATTCAGAAGACCCTTGGTAGTCAAACATGCACACTCAACGACAGAGAGAAAGCCTTTGATCTTCTCGCTACAGAGGTAACTCCGCGGCTGTGAGATGATGCTGCTGACAATTGATACCCCAACATAGTCGTGCCATCTTACAAATCCAGATGTTGGATTGAGCTCGACTACCATATGCAGACAATATTGACAACGCACTTTTCAGTCATACCTCAACGGTGGTCTGACTTGAAGACATTCTGAAATCATTCTGAGCCTTTCTGCCGTTACCCAACCACCATTTCGATACTTGCAAATATCATTGCCATCATAAAATAGAATGGCAAACACCAATGCCGAACACTACTTGGGTGACCTCGAGGCAGCCACCAAGGTCATCCCAGCGGACCAACCTTATGTCATGATGAACCTGATGAAGTTCAAGCCACACGCCACGTACAGCGCGGACTACCAAGGACCCAAATTAGGAGCGGCGCCAGGGAGGGAGGCGTACATCCAATATAAGAACATGTTCGTCCAGCGAGCAGGCGAGATGGGGCTGGATGTTTCCATCGTGTTCTTGGGCAAAGCACACACGCAGATCGTCGCGGTGCCAGAAGAAGGAGAAAGTTGGGATGTCGTCCTTTTGGTCAAGTTTGCGTCCTGGGCCGCTTTCAAGTCGGTCCTCCAAGACGAGAAGTACAACAGGGAAATTCAACCACATCGTGTCGCGGCGTTGCAGGATTTTCGAAGCTTTTCCGTCACCGAAATGTCAGACTTTTAGAGGTTCATGACCGGATAAGTTGATGTTACAGTCCTAAAATGCTGCGGCCGTTCACTACTGATCTACACGTTAGTTAATGAGCCTTACGGGGTTAGAGGATCTTTTAAGGGAGCAATCCTCGAACACACGTCCGAAGTACGTTTGCACACATGTATAAATTTATACTCCAAGTTCTACATCACATACGATTTGAGCAAAAACTAGAAGGTGCCTATCGCTTGGTTGGAATCGCACATCTGTTGCGGACTTCTGATCATTGGAATTACAAACTCACAGAGGTTGGGCACAGAAGCCTCCTTTTGGGTACAGTATTGTCAAATATTTAATCCAGATGGTACTTCTTCCCTTAGTGAAACTATGCGGCTACATTTTCGACTGCAGCAACAAAATCCCTCAAAAACATCCAGCGGACATTCTCTGCCGCATTGGCCGCCTTCCAATTCTTCACCGTACCGTGTGGGAACCATTCCAAGCCACTCGCCTTGTCGAGGACGGTCGGGTCGTGGGCGATGATGACGAGGACATTGTCCGTCGCATCGAAGACCTGCATACGTTCCACGGAACGTTTGGCTTCTTGTAAATCGTGAGCAACATGTGTTGAGAGGTCATAGTAAGGATCGACCCCCTTTTTCCTGGGGTGAATGGCCTCGAAAAGGTGGCCCGGACAAACCGAAGCGTACTTGGACACGTGAGGAGACGGTGAGATTTCCGCAGGTAGAGGCAGGTACTCGGTGGGCCGGAACTCGCCGCCGTGATGAGCCGTATCGCCGCCCATGAAGATGAACGTGTCCTCGGGGTCGCCTTCCCGGGTGGAAGTGACTCGTGCCAGACCGCACGTGTGCCCGATGGCGTGTCCGGGGGCGTCGAGAAGGTAGAACGAACCGTCCCCGAAATGATCGATGGCTCTGAGGCCGCCAATCCTGAACCGAGACCGACCGTCAAAGTCCAGCTCTATGTGGTCCCGGTTCGCGAAATCAGAGCTCAAGAGAGGCGACTTTTCGTTCTCCGGGTAGGTAGGGAAAAAGGCCTCCCTGACACCGGGACCTGTGATCAAAGCCGTACTAGGTGGGAACTGGCTCACGTCTCCCGTATGGTCGAAGTGCCAATGACTCCACACTACAGCTTCGATCGCGCCGCCCTTGACGTCGACCCCGTTCTCCTCGAGGACTTCGTTGACGTTCTTGGGGATGTGAAAGGCCCACCCCGGTCCGCTGATCAGGGACTGGACGGCAGGAGGGTGGCTCTGCCAATCTTTCCTCAGGCCCAAGTCGAACAAGATCTTCCGGCCTGAGGATACTTGTTCGACCAAGAAACTGACTGCCGGTACTGTCATCTGTGTGTGGCCATGGATGGGCGGGGTCATGAATAGATCCGTGGGTGCCGTAACCCTGGCCGTGCCATCGATGATATGGACCTTGCACGAAGCTCCTGGAGGAGCGTTCAATGCCTCGGGTTTCTTGGCGGGATGAAGGAGTGACGGTGCCATTGTTCCGGAAATGTTTCTGTCGTAGGTCGATTTTCCGCCGAACTTTTTCAAGGTAAGGGAGTACTTATACTTTCTATTTTCTAGACGTGATCATAACCTAAACAAGAGATTGCCGATCTTCAAGAACGCACAAGGGGATACATTGCCCGACTGTGATTTAAAATCAAGTATATTCGAACTCAGGAGGAGACGTCACCCAAGTCGTCGTTTGCCTTGTTTCCCCGGCCGTAACCCCGTGGGGCAGAAACAATCTCTATGGCCATATCGAGGTCATATTCCGCGGGCCGCACTCGATCGTCAAGCATCAAGATGCGTATTGCTTGTTCCACGGGCCGAAAGCGATCCGGAATAGTTAAATGACTGATCGTGGAGATCGACCGGCGTATTCGACTGTTATGGCGTATCAGACTGTCCTTCGTAGTGGTCAGTAATACGAGCCCGATAGAAACATGCTGACAGAGAAACACTCACCAGGAGGGGTAATTGATGCTCCTTTCTACTACGATCTGATATGGTAGAGAGCAATCCCTCACTTAGCGGGGTGTCAGACTCATCAATGCATCCCCATATGGCGCGGACTATTGCCAATCTCTCCCAACGCCCTTGCTGAATTGAATATATTGTAAGTATCTAATGTTCCTTCTACCAAGAGGATGAAGGACAGCACTGTATACTTGACAACTGAAGTTCAGCATAACTCAAATGATGCTTAATGAAAGTGAGGTTGCAGTTAAAAGCTATGCAATAGCCAGAAGCCGACACAAAATCCATCCTTCAGTCAATCTTTTGATCTGTTACGGTGTTGAACCGTTCAGGTTCCAAGTGACACTGCGAAGCTCATCAGATGTGAAAATCAGGTAAGCTTCTATTCTGGTCACTGGTAAACACTAATACCGGGTATTCTCGTGCACTACTGGGCCTTTCTTTCTGATTCAATTCAAATGTTCCCACCACTCGCAACAGGATTGTACTTGAACTTGTTCGAAAGCGTGGCTTGGGGAAATAAATTTTGCTTGAATTGCCGCAGCACTAGTTGCTAATTGTTGCTTCCGCTCCGTTGTTGCTTGTCGAGCGCTCTCCGACTTTCTGAAGATCAATATTCTGTGTCTTCTCTTCGTCAAGTCTTTGCGAACTATTACGCAATTCGATAAGACCGCTTCTGGAAGGGTTTCCTGCTGGCCAGTAACAGCGCTCTGGCTTCTGGCAATTGCCACAGACGGGTTTAACCCCATCACAGCGCTTTCGGCTTGTGATGCATCGTCCACATCGCGGTCTTTCGACGTTGCTTCGACCCCAACTTGTTGCCCGACCAGAAAGATGTGTACAGACAGGTTGACTACCTTGTCCATGGGCTTCGGGTGAGTCAGCCTTATTTCAAGAGCCAACGTGTTTGAGCATATTCGATTCGGAAGCCAACAACGTACCTGGAATCTGTAGTTGCGGGCCATTTTGACAGTGATTTTTGGTCTCGTCAGAAAGACTGGATATTTCAGAGCTTTCCAGGCCCGGTGCACCTTGGGAGGTGGTCTCTGCACTCAAAGAGTCACTCATGCTGTCTTGATATAAGTATGAACAAGGATCTGTCCTGGACTATTGCAGCGACCACGTGTATTGAAAGGCGCTGAACGAAATGTTGAGAGCACACAAGGAAGAGCACATCTAACCTCCAGACGATATGTTGTGAACCTGATCTACTTATATACATGGTCTTCAAGCAGTGACGTCCTATATTTGGCAGTGTCCTTGCCAATCTCGATGCTTCTCAGTGTCGACCGGCTAGAGGATCAAATGCCTTTACTACGAGCAGAGATGTCCACTACAGGAGATGTTCTAGCGGTGAAAGTCTTGCTGCATGGAGGGGCCGAAAAAAGAACAAAGCAGAATCCCATTTTCCATCGTTGACATCGTAAGTCACATTTGCCGTTCTTGACATCGTAATGCCAATCTACAAGGACCAGAGTGGGATGTATGGCTTCGGAGTCGAGAGTATCTATGGAAAAATGCCAAATTTCTTCGAGAATACAATCTGCTGTTTCCAGGAAGCAATAGCTCTTGCACAACGAAAGGAGATGGGCCGTGCTAGAAAGGGAGAACATTGATGGCGTAGTAAAACCATCATGTTGCGTCTAACACACTGTGGAGGTAACGCGATACAATCACACAACTTTCTGAAATCGATGCCGACTTTAAACATCCGGAGGAGAGCTCGGATTCAAGGACAAGATGGGATTGGTCATTGCAAAGGCAAAGGTCATTAAATACGGGATACCAGATTGTAGATTGCTCATCAAATTAGTTCTTTTGTTCGACGACAATTTTCAGAACGTCGACGTGAGATCGTTGGTAATTGACAGGGGGGGTACACCATGGTTTGCCCCCCCTGTCAATTAATCCGTACCAGACACCCAATGTCGAGGCCTATCATATACATTTTGCTGTAGACGCCAGCGCCGTTGCTGAATTCGTGGACCTAATGCGTACTAAAGAGGAGCAGGCCTCTTTGGCGACATTAGCGGCCTCCATACATCACCCAAGGGATGTTCCATTGTGGGAGGAAGGCCATGCGAGCGACCAAGTCCGTTCGAGACCAGTCCTAGAGAGTGAGCTAGAAGTCCAGGATTGAAGCACCGTCGTGATCTGGCCCAACAGCAGGCTCTCCTTCGACTCCGTACGATACCAGGTACTAGTCCTATTCGGTCAGTTACGATCAAAATTCTCGAAAGAGGCATAGTACCGTTTCTTCCAGGTTGCATGTCGAAGGTCACGGATTACGGAACGAGCTTTTGCGAACAGCCAGAGTCGCAACGTGCTTTTCAAGAGTATATGAACAAATAAACTATAATCAACCATTTCCTGTCTCTCTCACACACACTTTGTAAAAGATTTCATCCAAGCATCTCCACGTCAAGTCCAATGGCCCTCATAAACAAGTTGACGTTACCAAGTCTAACACTAGACATCTCTGCAGGCAAAGCCTTGCTCTGTTGAACCGTTTCCATCACTCTGTCCTTGACTCCAATAACCAGTCGCTGTTGTTGTTCTGGACTGGCCCCAATACCCACCGCGGCCAAAAATTGCCAGACATACATATCATCGCCGGCATTGACGGCAGCAGGGAAGATTGAGCCCAAGACAGGCTCGAGCATATCGAAGAGACGATTGTATAGCTCTGTCCACTGCTGCCATTCCTGGTCGGAAACACCGCCAGATTCTTTGACGATCTCGGCGCGAGTCAAAAGCATCGTCAACATGGCGACACCAATTTTGGTGTGCGCAACTTGCACAACATTTGTGTGATCAATCAGCAATCCGAGTAGGCCAATGATGATGTTGATCGGCGCCTCACTGACATATTGCATCAGGCATGGCATGACAGTTTGTGAGAACAAGTCGATCTCTTCGCGCACAGCTAGTGACGGTTGGGATTCTCCAGGAGCAAGACGAGCGTCTCTGATGACGTCCAGCTGGTCGAGGTGGACAACGATCATGGTCAAGATCGTTACTCGTTGCTCTTGATCGATTTGATGGAACACTCGAGGAATGGCCTTCTTGCCCTTGGCAAAAGACAGAAACGCAATGAATGGATGTGTCACCGCGGAACCAGGCACAATTGGTTCCAGGATCTTCAAATCTTGCCACAGCTTTGTGTTGAGCTCCTGCATCGTTTGCCGCCATTCAAGCTGAGCTTGGATTGAGTCGGCATCGCCCTCGGTCGGTGGAGGAGGCATCTGCCGTACGTTGTCTTCAAGACTCATCAAAGTGGAATAGACCGCTTCAATATTTTTGAGTATCGTCTTCCGATCACTTGGCGCACCCTTCTTTGCACTGGCGGGTCGTCCATCAGTGTTCTCTTGTCTTCTGATGTTCAGCAGAGGCTTTGGTGTTTTGGCATTGCTGAACGAAATCTTTCCCAGGCTTCCTTCAATAATCAATTGCTTGTTCTTTGGTTTCAGCTTAGCAGCTTCGACAGCGCGTTGAACTTGTTGTTGCATCCTCTGCATGTGGTTGTCAGCGACTATCTGTTGTTTTCGGCCACGGACACGATTTCCGGTTTGGAACAGATAAGTTTGTGCAAAATGACCCAATGGCTGAGTAGGATGCTGTCTGGGAGCGCCGCGTATCTGACTATAGACCTGATAATAGAAATCCTCGTTAAGGGTTGCTTCAGGATCGGCATCTGCGGAAGCTCCGGTTGCCGTCACCAGTTGTTGAAGTTGAATTCGTGTAATGAAATTTTTATCTTGCGGTGTCATCAAGCCATTTCCCTTGGAGAGCATGAAGATCTTATGATTACGCTTGGCTCTCTTCGCATCTTCCTCCAGATAAGTCCGTCGTTGTTCTTCGGACAAGTCCATCAACTGCTGAGGATGAGTTATAACAGGGAGACCTCCAGGTCCCATTGATGGTATTTGATCCAAACTCGGCTGCGGAGAGTGTCGAGCCCGATTAGGGTTCTGGAGAATCTGAAGAGGCTGATGTCCTGGTTGTTGAGGCTGTGATGGCATACGATTGTGGCCTCTGGGGGGACTTGACGAAGGAGGTGGCGGGGGAGGTGGTTGATGAACGGCTTCAGGTGGTGGCATCTGCGGGAACGGCTGTGGTGGTGGAGGCTGCATGTGCTGGGCCGGGAACGGGAATGGCTGATGCAAAGGAAATGGATGCTGATGCAGTTGCTGCTGCTGCTGCTGTTGTTGTGCAAGAAGTGCAGCTTCTACTTCCTCCAAACTCATCATCTTTGGGGGTTCAGCAATAGGCGCCGGGGCTGGAGCAACAGGTCGAGCCGTGCTGATACGCTCCTCTTGTGCTCGAGGCGCTGCTTGTGCTTTTGAACTCCATGCCCCTGATTTTGCCTGAATATCTGGGATATACCCTGGATCTTGATATTTCTCATAGCCCGTTCTCTTGGGTTTGGGGGCTTGGGTGGGACCAGCCGCGGGGGCCCCAGGATGCTGCAAGCTGTAACGGACATGTTCTTGCTCGAACGCATCCGACACTTGGGCAGTGTTCCCGAAAAAATCGAAATCTTTCCCGCCTGCGCCTCGGCCACTCGGCCCCTCTGCGCCGCCACCAAAGGTATCGTCGTTGAAATCGTCGCCCGTTTCTTCGAGTCGATCTCCGAGGCCATCGTAAGTATCCTCGAAATCGATTCTGGAAAATAATTAGCGAGAGTCTCAATCTTTCTGAGTGGCGACCTACATTTCCTGGTCGTCATCATGAAATGCCTGCAGTTTACGGGCTTTTGCGACCTCGTTGAAAGGGTTGCTGTGCTCAAATATTCCCTTGTTTCCTCCTCCAGGTTTGTCTCTGGGCAGAGAAGTGTCGAAGCCGAAGAACGACATCGCGCCGCGAAACACGCCCAAGTTTGAGTATTGTTGATTTTGTGCGAGAGTCTAGCTGTCTATCCCTTCTCTACCCCACTCCGACTCTGTCCTCGAGTGAATGAGCAGTAGGACATACATCCAGTACGATCAAAATTGTTCGATGACAGAAAAGCGCCCAGGCCTCCTTGACAAAAAGATGTGGAAAGTTGTAGATCCAAGACAGAGAGATGTGTGGCTCAGGATCGGATGGGTGGTGATCTAATTCGACAAACCAAAACTGAATGAGGAGTAATAAGTGGTCGAGGCCGCGACAACACGTGACTTCGAGTACGAGTACGAGGGTGCTTAGGTAACTGAGCAGGGTTACGCAGGTGGCCGCAGGTGCCACGATGTGCCTAAGGCGACGCCTGGCGAGAAGCCCCTAAAAAAAGGGTTGGAAGGCCCTACAGGGATTCCGCATACGGGTCCAGTAAACGTTTCTCAGCGCCCAAAAAGAAACTTGTTACACGTCTCCCCGGCTTGCGCGTCGCTCTCCTTTTACCTCTCATCTTCTGAAATCTTGGAATTTTGGATCCAGTCGCTCCGAACACGAAATCACATTGTGCTACCTGCTTAATCTCCTCTTCTTTTTCATTCACTCAGTCAGTGGGAGGTGGCTTTCTTTGTTCAACAATATTTCTATTGTGTCTTCGTTATCCGGACACCGAGAGGCGCAGGCCTGATGCCAACCTGTTAATACTGCCCACCACCCTTTTAGAGGTCACCACCTCATCCTTAATACACTTTATTCCTACAGCTGCCTGGAGCATTGTATCACACCGATCTGAGCCTTGTTCTTCATCGACCGCTCCGCCGGACACGTCCAACATGGCGGGTGGCTCAGGAAGGATAGTCAGGTATCTGGTGGTTGCGTTGGTCGTAAGTAAAATCCAAGAAGGCTTCAAGATATTATTCTGACTTTCTCAGTGTGTCACCATCTTTTACTTTGTTTCTACCTCCTCGTTATCTTCATACGCGCAACCTCTTGCCGAGCAAGCTGCTGGGAAATTCTCATGGGATAAGCCGAGCACTCCATCGAACAAAGACACCTCTAAGACCGATTACGATGCGATCGCTGATGCCTTCCATTCCAAACCATCCGATGCTACCAACAAGGAACCAGATACCAAACCTCTAGGATCCACGACGCCTAATATCACCCCGCTCACTCCCTCAGAGCTGTCTCCGCCCGCCCCCGGCGAACGTGTCAATGCCACCTTTGTCACGCTCGCAAGAAATACTGACATCTGGGAAATTGCTCGCTCAATAAGACAAATTGAAGACAGATTCAACAGGAACTACAACTACGACTGGGTTTTCTTGAACGACAAGCCGTTTGATGATACGTTCAAGAAAGTGACCACCTCCCTGGTCTCGGGGAAAACACACTATGGAGAGATTCCAGTCGAACACTGGTCATTCCCATCCTGGATCGACCAGAAGAAAGCAGAAGCCGTCAGAGAAGATATGCGCCGAAGAAAGATCATTTACGGCGATTCAGTCAGCTACCGACACATGTGCAGATTCGAGTCTGGCTTCTTCTTCCGTCATCCACTGCTCAAGCAATTTGAGTATTACTGGAGAGTTGAACCAAGCGTCGAACTCTACTGCGACGTACACTATGACCCATTCCGATACATGAAGGATAACAAGAAAAAGTACAGCTTTGTTCTGAGTTTGTACGAATATGTCGAGACAATTCCAACTCTGTGGGACAGCACCAAAAAGTTCATCAAAGCACATCCAGAGCACATTGCAGCAGACAACTCCATGCCCTTCCTCAGTGACGACGGTGGCGAGACCTACAACAAATGTCATTTCGTAAGTGGTGATTCCTCCATTCCGTGGTTTATATCTGACAACGTTGCAGTGGTCCAATTTTGAAATCGGCAACCTTGACTGGCTTCGGTCAAAAGCTTACATCGATTTCTTCGAATCCCTCGACAAGGACGGTGGATTTTTCTACGAGAGATGGGGTGATGCTCCAGTGCATTCGATTGCGGCTGGTCTCCTTCTCAACAAGGACGAAATCCATTTCTTCAATGACATCGCTTACTACCACATTCCTTTCACGCACTGCCCGACAGGTGAAGATCTCCGCCTCAAGTTACGTTGTCACTGCAACCCCAGCGACAACTTTGACTGGAAGGGATATTCATGTACATCACGTTTCTTCGACTTGAACAAGCTAGCCAAACCAGAAGGCTGGATGGATCAAGTCTGACTAGCCGACGCCAACAGCAGATTGAGCGTCAGTCTGACCGGAGCGATCTGGCAGTACGCATTTATCTCTTTCTTCGTCAGCCTGATCATTCTCTTGACCTTGCTGAAGATTCCGAGGACGAGACGGAGATTGCTAGCTGCTGCCGAACGATTGGCCGAATGGCATGAGAAGGGAACTCGAAACACTGATGATTAAGTCAGACAAATCGGTTTCTCCCCTGACGAAGTTGAAGCTTGTGAGAGTCATTTGGACAGTGTTCATGGCCAGGGACAAAGCCGCCTGGATTGTTTGGAGCAAGATTTTTTGCAACCAGGGTAGCCAAAGTCGGGGACCATAGAACGACTTCGACACCGAACTGTTTTTTTTCTTGGTTTGTAACAACGTTACGACAAATGGAGAGACCTAGGACAAATCATTCGTTCTTGTCCTCATTGGCACATCGGTTGGAGGAACGGACCCCCTCTACTCGGTCGACACTGACGAGCGCTAATCTCACGAACTTGCTTTGCGTTGCATTGCGTGGTATGAATTGAAATGAAGCGGCGTTTGGACAGGACAAAAAGAGAACCAAAAAAAGACTTTCTGACTAGTCAGGGCTTTTGCCCTCTCTTCCTGAGCACACCTTTGAAGCTGCCAGCCTATATTGAGGAGGATTTCTTTTACTCCATTAATGAGGCGTAATGTACAACAGGTCCGGGTATATTTTACATAGACACCATAACCTTAACACGCATGGTTTGCAAAAGCGAAGGCATGATTTATCCTTGTGAGCCTCGTCCGCCTCGGTTTGCTACTCTGTAAAGTGACGCTGTGAGAAGAAGCGACGTTGGATATCTGCCCGCGTATGACAGCCAGCCTCTTCAAGCCCAGTTCAACCCCGTGCCCAGGTTCTGACTGTTCCAGCAGGAGCAGGCAATCTTGGGACCCCACTTGTCATTGCCTGCTTCTTCAATGTCGACAAAGCATCCATACCGAGACCGAGAAAGGAAAGGAGAAGATCATTCGTTAGAACAGCCCGGTGCTCGACCTCTATAATCGACGTCGGCCTCGTACCCATTCCTTTCTGGTATCCATTCGATTGTCTTCCTATCCTACACGGCTTGCCTCGTGGTTATAACATTTTTATGAGTTGTCCCGTCCCCAGCCAAGCCTTCACGTTGAAGCAAGTATGTCGAAGGGTTGGTGTAGGTTGTATAAAGTAAGAAAAAGAGGATTTTGACGTGCGTTCGGGCTTATGCAGCCTTGGGCTTCTTCGTGCCATATTTACTTCGACTTCTAGCTCGACTCGGTACACCGCCCTATTGTGTCGTGGATAATTCACGTTAGCCAAGTCACTCTGTTGTTTCACCCCATTTTGGTTCCCGTATTTCGCAGAAACCAGGCCTCCGCTGGAGATGCTAAATGATGCAACGGTGCCTTGGAAAAAGGGGCAGCAGGACTCACCAAATCAAAAGCACCCCTGACGAGATGGTATCTCACACCGGGACAATCCTGGGACCTCCCACCGCGGACCAGAACCACACTGTGCTGTTGGACGTTGTGTCCCTCGCCGGGGATGTACGCCGACACGATCTTGCCGTTGGACAGGCGCACCTTGGCGGTCTTGCGCTGGCCCGAGTTGGGTTTCTTGGGCTTGGTGATTCCCACCTTCAGGCACACCCCCTTCATCTCGGGACGGTTCTCGGCGGCGAGGGCGGGTGAGACGGCGTGGCGCGCCTTCTTCGGTCGGCGGCCCTGGGTGCGGACCTGGTTGAGCGTCATGGGCCGCCGCGCGGTGCCGGAGAACGGCGAGGTCTGGAAGATGGGTGTGGTGGTTCCTCGGAGCAGCGTGGGAGACGAGTACCGCGTCGAGGTCTTGTTGGCGAGGGTGGTGGTGCCGCTGCGAGTCAGAGCACGGAAGGCGTGCAGCGCCCCGACGGAGGGGATCGGTGGCATCTCGAAAGGAAGTAACAAAATGAGCGCTGAGAAACAGGACAATGGAGGATGAGAAAACGTCCCGTACAGTGATTGTTGATTTTGATGTTCAGACAACGCAGTGTGGTTGAGAGCTCGAAAATTGTACTATGGAGTCACGGCACGTGATCATCTACCTGACCGACCAATGAACTGAAAAGTATGCTCAGCCTTGTAGCCTCCCTTTTTCCTCGCTGCCCCATAGCCTACCACCACAAACATTGTCTTTGTGCAACTACCTAGGTACCAATACGTTCTATGACTCTAGCTTTCTACTCTGATATATTTCAAACGTGCCTCTTATGCATACATAGGATCCCCGTCCTGGCGTGTGCTATCTCAGGCAAGGGCTATCCCCTTCTCAGAGACACCAGCCCTAGACTCTGCTATCTTGTCTACCGCTCTTGTAAGCGGTGTTTCCTGAGATCCTTCCAAAACCAAACTTCATCCACCAGCCGTCCATCCTTCGGACTATACCCGTACTCCCTGACGACACCCAGTCTCTCATACCCCAGCCTAGGGTAGACGTCTTCGGCGGCACTTCCAACCGTGGTATCGAGCATGAGATTCCACCGATCATGGGCCAAGGCCACTTCTTCCAACTTGACCATCATCCGTCTCGCGATGCCTCGTTGTCGATGTAGTGGCGAGACGAACAGTTTCTGAACGACCGCCCTGAACGGACCGGTCTGACTGAACGGCGTAGATAGAGCCACGACACCAGAAACTTCGAGTCCGTTCTTCAATAGAGGCCAGTCGCGACCTTCACTCGACCAAGGTGCCGCGACGTCTTTGTCGTTGTTGCTACTGCGATCCGAAACTTCACTGATTTGAATGATGATGTGCCTCTTTCCGGCGGTGACTTCGTCCAGTTGGCCCTGCCACCATTGACTCATGAAATCGTGGGAGAGTGGTGGGAGGAATGTGGCCAAGGTGTAGTCGTTCAGAATGCATGATGCGTGCAGGTGGACTATGCTAGATAGTATGGTTGAGATTTCTGGTGTGGTTGGGCCGATGAGGTGGATGTCCGGACTTAGATTTGTAGTTGTCGTGGACATTGTGGTGTATGAGTCTTGCCCAAACAACGAGCCCAGTCTCGATAGAGTAAACCGACAGTGGTATTTGTGAGGTTGTGAGGTGTTTCAAAAAGTGGTCATTCAGAATTCGTGGGAAACTCTCCTTCATTGGGGACGAAGAGATAGAAAAGTAATGGAACAAGGTGACCGGAAAATGAGTGAGTCACCTCTCTGATTACTTAGCGATCGAGATAATGTTGTTGCCTTCTGCTCAAATCTATACCTAGCTAATAAACTCCGACAGCAGCTATTTAACGGCGCAATCGCCATAAGGCGCGAAGTACATGTTGCCCCATAGTAGGAAAAAGGAAGGTGGTTACGGGCATATCGTTCGAATGGCGCGAGCAGTAAACGCGATTTTTGCGGAGATATTGATAAGATTCGGTTTTATATACGCGCTTCAGTCTACAGACTCAGCATCAACTTGTCAAGTTTTGTGAATCACCACAATAGGCTCTCTTCATGTTGCAGCCAACGACTACTGATATACTGAATGGTACGTTGTGTACCGTGCTGTTGTATCGATTTAATCCTGACCGGCTTCCTAGTCCATGGAGTCCTCGGTGTCCTGTGATGGAATGTCAACTTATCGTGCAAGTACTTGCTTTGGGGTTTTTATGCTGTGGATACATGGTCTTGTGGTTGTCTTATGTTGACAGCTCCTGTATCATATTTCAACGCTGCGACAGTACCCAATATAGGTGAGACATATCTTACAGCTCTACCATCACCCCTACATCCCAATCACACCGGTTCCATGAACGAGTGAGGCAGGGCGAACTTGGTCATGGCGAACGTGCTGAGCACGTTGGTCCTGAACGTCTTCTCGACAACATATATCTCCTTTTCCCTCTTTTCTTTTCGAATCAACATCCAAACCTCAAGATAGAATTGGAACGTCCAACGGTTGTAATTGTACAAAGTATTATATCAACACGGGCAATCGATGTTACCGTATTGTGATTAATTTTCAAATGCGTCATGGCTCGAAAAGGTGTCCATGACCGTATGGGAACCAACCCACCAAGGGGAGGGAGGATGTCAGTTCCCTAACAAATAGGAAATCTCACCTTGGGATCATGGAAGACCTGAACTTGCGTGTCAGTCAAAGTACGTGTACCACGCTTTGCCCAGTAGCAAGGACAATGGCCTAACCCGAAGATAGTACTCCGTACCCTTGCGATAAATGGAGCCTTGTTGTTCCGAGGATCTCTCTACTCGGATCTACGCGGAAAGCTTACATCTTTCCCAGCCCTCCAATTTCAAGCAAACCACCCCCCTGGTAAGGGAATTAAGGCTCTCGACGGGGAGCTAACTACCTGATTTTGTTGTGATCCCATGGAGTGAAGTAGTATTACTGTAAGCTGCAGATTTGATCCGCGCCCGCACAGAGAGTATGATTCAGCAATACGCTACATTCCCTTGTTTGGTAGAATCGCCCAATGTCATATTCTCGCTGATGCTCAAGATCAGCTTGTTGGAAGGATATGTTTAATCTTTTGGTGCTTTCGACATCTTCTTACGAGTGACTTTCAATGTCGTATTTCTTCATCACCGTATAACTTCGTTACCTAGCTTTTTGAAAACTTACCAATGACAACCATCCAGGCCTGGGGGAAGTAACAACGAGGCGCTCATGAGAGTGTTCCATCACTCACACAAAACATGACGACTATAGCACTGGCTTCCCAAATCATTGGTTTCATATCTTTCGGGATAACACTTGCTACATTACTAGGTTGGTCATGATTTCCCGTGCCCCTCCCCTCGCCCAACAACAAGTTTGTAACCGGTGTCAAGGCGTCTATCGCGACCTGATATCAACCATGCGTAATGCGGACACGCTCATACCGATCATGCTCGGCAACCTGCGTCAAGAGATCCAGGCGGAACAAGCCCTGCTTCGACAACGTGCCCGAGAAGGCGACCCATATTCTGTCTTTCCCAGAGGGCGAAGGACTCGCTCGAGGCGCAAGGCTCGCGAGGTAGCTGAACTCCTGGAAAGCACCCTCAACGGCATGTGGCAGCAGTTTCGCAACATAGAACGCCCCTTCCTCATCAGAAATCCGGTCCGGGCCGAAAAAGTCCAAAGAGGTGACTGGTGGGGGGAGAGTGATGTCGACGAGAAACCTTCCGCGAGACCGAGTTCGAACGAGAAACAAATGACCAATCGAATCGGTATGGCCGAGGCGGGTGTAGCTCCTGGAACGGACCGATATTACAGAATTGATTTCGTTCACCGATTCATCTGGTATGGCATAGCCACCGATTTGACCAGCACAAGTTTGAACTAATGTGACCATCATGACCAGGTGGCAAAGTCAGTCGTCCGTCGTCAATATGCTCGACCAGGTCCAGCGGCTCCAGATTCGTAGGATCGAAAGGGACGCCTTTGAAGCAGACGAATTGGTAAAACGGTGCCTAGCGATACTTGATCGACGAGGTGGCAATGGTGGGGAAAGTCGGAGACGTGGAGGAAATAGCTCCGGCAGTAGCGACGATGGACGTGGAGGGGGCGGTGGTTTCACGAGCCGTAGGGCCAGTGTAGTCTCGAGACCCGGCAGTGTGAGAGCTTCAAACCGCCGCCGAGCTGACGGAGGGGGCGGATTTCGATTTAAAGAAGTCGAAAAGAGGGAAGTGGTGAGACCCAGGCCTGGACAAGAGACGACGTCCCGAAATGCGGACACAAGCAACACGGCCCGACGAAGAAGTTCTCAACCCCGATTCGAATATGAGGTGGTCCAACCTGGAAGAATATATGTCGATGTGAAGGATGGCGGTAGACGAGATGGGGTTGAATACGTTGAGCCTATCAATTCCAACCGTGCCCGAAGAAATAGTTACGTGGAAGGTGGTGGGCGAGACTCATCCCGACTGCGAGACCTGAGTCGAGAACGAAGAAGGGATTGAGTGATAGTGATGATGAAACAGACAGAGATCATGGTCGGGCTCGAGAGAGTTTGCTTATATCTTCCTCCAAGCGAGAAACTCTTCCTCAAGATGGGCCTTGAGCTGTTGAAACTTGTTTCCGAACAACTTCCCACATCGCCAGCATTTGTACTCTTTCTTCAGGTTGCCATTCTGGTAACTCGTGTTCCGCCTCACATCGTTTTCCGCCAAGGGGAAGTCCTCGAGTGGGATGAAAAAGTCCGTGTTGAAGCTGTTGTAGTGTTTTTGATGTTTTAAACGATCAGAGTGCATGTCCCGACTGATGATGTGGACGTGGAGATGGTGCATGGAGGGATGGGCGTGTATGCCGATTTTGAACTCTTTCGCAAAGTCTCTGCCGGGAGGAAGCTCGTCGGGTATCTCGTCGCTCTCCATCGCGGCGATGCGCTCTTTACAAGATTCAGAGTAGGGGCCGAGTTGACGCGACAGTTCGGACGCCGCCAACTCCAAGGCTTCCGCAGCTTCGGTCTTGACCATCCCCAGAAACTCCAGATCGTTCAGAGCGTCTCGTGGGTGCATGTCTCTTTTGTCTGGATCCCTTGGTAGTAACAACAGATGGACCGTCGCCTTGGGGAATGCGTCACGGATCAGAACGACTCGCTCGTTGTAAGTGATGACAACATTCGGTGCGTATTTGATCGGATCCAAAATGTACACCAGCAGACCATTGCGAGGGTCGTAGGGATTTCTGCCGCTGTGCTTTCCCCCAGTAGCCTTCGACGACGGCTGCTCGGGTTTTGACCGTTTGACTCTGGGCGACATCAATTCGGAAAATGCATCACGCTTACCGATTGAAGCCTTGGCCTCAGAAGCTATCTCTTCTTCCATGGTGCCGGTTAGGAAAGCGTCGGAGTAAGTAATCGACAGGTGAAATGAGAAGATGCGCCCAGGTCACCTCTGAGGCACTGCATTTGTCGTGATAGACTTTGGTCGAAAGCAGTTAATGTGCCTGATTTGACTGTTCAATGAACTGCACCCTCCGAACAATTGAATCACATGGCATGGCTTGGCCTGCAGCTTCACGTCTGTACCAAATCTACGCCTGAAGTCGTGGGAGTGCCAAAGATCGTCAATGTTGATCAATCAAGCAGTCGGAGAGTCGCCAAAACAAGTAAACAACAAACATCACCAGGTCGAAATCTTGGCTTTGAGCCTCACTCCATCTACAACGAACAGAAATTCGGAAACAGAATGCTGGTAAAATTAACACGTAAGAGTATATAAAATTCTGTCCTGGAATAGTGCGCCTAATGTCTGCAAAGAATTGCTTCCGAGCCACTTTTCTGATGAACACAGCAAGACTCTCTCCCCCACACACCCAAGAGAATCAAATACGCATTTGGCAGCTTTCTATGACTGCCCATTCCAATAACAAAATGCCAGGTCCATTTTCCTTCGAAGTGCAAGCCTGTTCAATTCTTGATTCGCAAAAGACCTTCTTTTTTAGGCGCTCCCCAAAGTGCAAACCAAACCCAGTCAATCCGTTCAACATGGCGCCATAGAGTCACGCTCTCAACTCCGAGCTGGTGGAAAAGGCTCAGCAATATTTTCAACTTTTTTTTAATCGTCTGCATCGCCATGTTCTTCACATCACTACACATCTGCTGCAGCACCCCGCGCCATCCGACTGGTTGTCAACCTCGAACTTCTGGCCAGGTCCGTGGCCGCCGAGAGGAGGCGCGCCACCGGAGTACCCTGACATTTCGCGGTTGTATCTTCTGATTTCTCGTACGAGATCATAGAATGCATTGTCGACATTTATTCGTGATTTGGCCGATGTTTCAATGAACTTGCATCCAAATTGTTGTGCCAGTTGTGCGCCTTCTTCTCTGGATACTGCTCGTTCTCCCTCCAAATCACACTTGTTGCCCACAAGGATAATGGGAAAGTAATCTTTATCTTTGACGCGTAGAATCTGTTGTTGGAAGGTCATGATCTCTTCAAAGGACTGTCGTGACGTTATGGAATAGACGAGCAGGAAGCCTTCGCCTGTCCTCATGTACTGTTCTCTCATGGCAGAATATTCCTCTTGGCCGGCCGTGTCTAGGACATCAAGGAGGGCGACTTCGTCATCGATCATGCATTGCTTGCGGTATGAGTCTGCCGTCATGTCAGTGGATGTCGCCTTGTTCCCATAATCGCAATATGCGCACCTTCAATTGTTGGGTCATATTCATCAACAAAGTGACTTTGTATGAGTTGTATGGTTAAGCATGATTTTCCCACACCTCCCCCTCCTACTACCACCAGTTTGTATTCTCGCAGGAACTGCAGGGAAGAGGTTAGCTTAGCCATGGATTTTGAGAAGGAGGGAAGATTGAGCAGTCCAGATCACCAACCTTTGAAGCCATCGCAGGCGACTATGGTCTGAATCAAATTCAGACAAGTGCTTGTCTCGGTATGAATCACGCCTGAGACAGATAGTCCGAGAGCGTTCGGGCTTGGAAGGAGACTAGGTAGGGAAGGATCGGAGTCGCAATGAAGAAACCCTGAGCGCCCAGGACTTTTGACGAGCACTAGCAGTCTAGGGGGCGAGATAGCCGTAGGGCTGGAGATGCGATGACTAGGATGTATTTGACAGACGCAGTGGTCGCAGAAGCAGGGTCAGCGCCTTCGGTGAGTTGCGAGAGAACGAGGGTGAGAGTGAGGTGAAACTTGGGGTTCGGATGAGTTTCGAAGTGCAAAAGGTCGACGACGAGAGGGTGCTGCGACAGCTCCTGCAAGCAAAAGCACTGACTTTGCGCGATTGACGCACGGAAGGAGCAGAATCTGGGATTTGGGTCTGCTGGTGAAGTGTAGATTGACAGCAGCAAAGGTGTATGCGCAGGCTGAGGCGTCAGAGAGATGTCAAGGGGAAGCAGTGCACTTTGTTAGTGGTCCGGCCCCAGTCACTTCTAAAAACTGCGGAATGGCTTCTCCAGAATCCGACTTGCAAGCAAAGGTACTCGTAGATAATTGGCCAAGATGGAGGAACAGACGTTTGGACGTTGGACGTAAGACCTGGTGATTGCTGAAACGACGACGCAATGGGATCCAATGGAGAGGTTCTAGCAAGAGGGATACGGAGTAAAGAAGTTCAGACAATTCATACGGAGTAAGCGCAGGGAGGGAAATAGTAGGTACGGAGTAGTTGAGAGGGCTCACAGGGCCCTCGCTACCCTGAAAATAAACCAACAGCGAGGCTCGGAAGTGCCAGTCAAGTCACGCCAGTGAGTCCTTTTTAGATGGAGTATGTACTCCGTACTCCGCTACCTCTCGCCCTGTACTTGTACCTACGAGTACTAGACATACATGTGCAAACCGAAGAACTTGCTGGAGGGGGTGCTAACCGTGCTAGGCTCACTAGGCCTGCTCCGTGGTGCCCTGGGCCACTCCTTAGCACCCCTACCCATCCCTAACCTTGGCCCTACCTGGCCCTTCCTGACATATCCTTTACGGAGCCCAGGTCAGTTAGTGGCTTAGTGAAGCTGCCATCCATCCATCTTCCCGCTCCCCCCCTTGTTGACGGGGATTATTTCGACTCTAGTCCAGCCTTAGGTGCGCCCCCTATCCCCCATCCAGCCAAAATCCCAGGGTGCCTTGACATTTTTCCTAGCTGCTGGGCTTTTTCCCCTTCCCAAAGAATCCCTACCTTACCTTACTGTATGTACAGACATGACCAAAGTAACTCTCTTCTCTTTCGCCGTCCTCCAACACGCGTTACATACACAAACGACGGAGCTCGGTCGTGTGCCAGGCGCCACACACACACATTGTGCACTGCTCCCCCCATGTCATCGGTTGCACAACTCATCAGGAGACCACACTTTCAGATGCACCTGGACTGCTCTGGAACTTAGGGTCATCGAGCCGCCCGTCTCGATTGGGATACTCGCGGGGGGGGCAAGTCGAACGACGGATCCGAATGAGCAGCACGCTTTTTTCTTGCGAACCCGTAGACCTATCAGCACATGTACGAAGTCCTGCTAGCATAGAAATTCTCTCCATTCCTCAGTCATGACGAGGTGACTCTGCACGGCAGGCGATCTTCGAGCCCATCAAACTATTCACAGGAACAAAAAAAAGGTTCCACCGTGAGAAACCCGGGTAGGCGGTTCCATCTGATACCCGTCTGGGTGGTGTTCATAGAACTGTCTGTTAACGCCATGCCAGTCGGAGAAGTCGAGTATGGCCTTTGATTCGACACCACACGACTTGATCACGTCCGTCCTTCACGCCGGTCCTGCCTGCTCGAACCTAGTCCCGCGCTTAAAATATCTAGGTCTTGGAGCGATGGCGCGGGAAACGGGTACGAGTACAATACAAGGGACGGAGTATCGCTCGTCTACGGAGTACATATTGTAGCATTCCTCGGGGCTTCTCTTGTCATGTGCTGGAAAGAGGAAGGAAAGGGGGTTTGCACTCTGTCTTTCGCTGTCTTCCGATAAGCATCTGGAACCACGAATTATTATTGACACACGCGCTTCGACCCTTTTTCCTTCGAACCACTCTGCGAAAAAGTACTGTACAGTACTTTAAACCAGGTGTTCTGAGAAAGAGGGTGTGGTCTTATGTGCTCGCGCTGGGTTGGATCTGCAACGGGGCAACGCGTTTTGAGCATGGCGTACGAGGTTACGAATCCCGCACGGTCTCTGACGATGATCGTTGGCTTTTAGCGATATGAAGCATGAAGATCATCCCCACGAGAACAAGAAAATTACTGTAGAGAATCTTGCTGTTATCTTTATAGGGTACAGTAACTCGTACATAATGTTGTTGCGATCTTCCGTTGCTACAGTATCACGGTTGCGTGAGAGCGTCGTCATGTTTACATACTGCTCGAACTAGGGTAACATTTCTTCCAAGGTAACATTCTGGAAGTTCTTTGCCCTTGACTTGTGTGGGTAGAGTCGTAAGGGCAGTCTCCATACGGAGTACATCGGGTACTATCGGTATGGATACAAGAAGAGGTACTCCTCGTACTTACTGTACAGCAGGTGTCATCATAAAATATCAAAATAACAAAGACCTTCATCGGCCTCTCGGTCGCACAAACATGCCACGACGTTTTGTGATCTCGATATGTGAACACTTCAACCCCCTGGTCTTGACTTTAGTGCACCTCGTACTCCGTACCGTCACGACCACTTGATTTCAACCCATGCAAAGTGGCACAGCGCTATGCCTCTACAGTCGCAAGTTCGAATGGGAAAAGTTCCTGGTGGCCGATGCAGGTACCAAGGCACATGCATAATCAACAGTCTTGTAGGACCTTTCCAAATAAGGGTTTATACAGTAAAATTTTCAACAGTGTATCTTTTGTAGATGTTGGTGACAGAGAAAAAGGTACGGATGAATATACAGACTATATTCTTCATCACGCATCTTTGTCCTTTTTGGGATCCGTCTCATCGTCAGTGTCATCTTCTCCCTCCACCTGAACCCTTCGACCTTTAACTCCCTCGGCAACCTCGGCCTCCAGCGAGTCCATGTAGTCTCGGTCGATTCCGACCAAGGTCACGATGTTCCTGCCTTTGCCCCAGCGAGGATAGCTCCCTACCTTGATACCCTTCGGCTCGACTTTCGCGGCAAGGCTCGTGAGGTACTCTGCCACGGCGCTCTCGGCCAAGGGCGTGCTGAAGAGCATCCGATACGTTCCCTTTCCCTCCGGGTCTTTCAAAAGAGGCATGATCCTCGGCTTCATGCCTTCCAGCAACGCCTCAAATAGCCTGGGCACACCGGGCAAGATGTGAATGTTTCCATTGACCACGGAAATGGGGACCCACAGATCCTCCTTGACATACAAAACCTGGTCCTCTTCTGGGAGTCTTGGGTCGATGGGTAGTTGAGCCATTCTTAACTTGGCCGTCAACGCCGCCGACGGTTTATCCCAATCGAAATTCGGTTGTGACTTGTGAGGTCTTGAAAACTTCTTCATCTTGGCCACGGTCGGTTCGTGGAGTTTTAATTCGAGATTGAACGCCTTCGCTATTGACTGGTACGTTATGTCATCGTGTCTGCGGAGAGAGGGGTGACCTCTGTGTGTGAGCGATGCCCGTGTTCAGAGGTGCGGCGTGTCGTGGGAAAGACATACGTAGGACCAATGCCGCCACTCGTAACCACAAAATCATAATTCTTGGACATGCGCCTGGCGGCTTCTATTATTTCATCTTCGTCGTCCGCAATCACTTCCACTCTCTTCAATTGTATGCCCAGTGAAAAGCAAAACTTTGCAAGATACGCGCTGTTCGTGTCGACTGTCTGCGCAAACCCGGCAACATATTTCGTCAGCAAACAGCAACCACTGGAACGCTTCTCTCTCAACGACGCAGAATCCCCCATTCCGGCATTGCATTGCAGGTACTTGCCTTTCCACCCAACACCTCGTCGCCTATGATTATGCAACCCGCTGTGTGTATCATTTTCTTCTGCTGTATTGATGTGGATGATGATGTCATCTTCGAGGACAAGATCGCAGGCGATGCGGCCGCGGAACGATGCGCGTAGTTGGGTAGAGGACGAGAGAGGTGTCGTGCGAGTTGGGAGAGGCGAGAGAACATGAATGAGAGAGTGAAATGATGTGAGGAAGGAACTTTTTATACCGAACAGCGATCGACGTGGACGTTGTTTGAACGAAACGCGGAACGAACGAAGAGATGCAAATCGTAAGGGTACCTGACTCTGGTACTCCGTACTCGGTACTCGTAATGTAATCACCACCATGCCATACCATACTCCAGATGGATCCTCAGCGTACCTCGAAATGCCCCGCCAATCAAGATTTCTATCAGGCAATTCGATCTATCAAGCTGACAAGTTTAACTACGAATACCAAACAACGGACAATTCTAAAATCTTGCTTCCTTCCAATAATTCCTTATCTTTACGTTTGATTCAACATTCATTGCCTCACCGCTTCGTCTCCGAGTTGTACATAGCGGGACGAACACATATCAGGTCGATAAGGCTGAACTTCAAGGCCCTCTGTCAAGACTCGTCCACAACGACACAGCAGAGGATCCCTGGTGGTCTCTAGTACCGAGAATCTCGATTCATACCAGAATCCACACCCCGACCAAACAAGAAAGATGGTAATTCATGAACCCAATCTCCCTTCACACTCCCCGCAAGAATAGGTACCTTATTATGAGCTCTGCCCATGTTGCTCTGTGCTGCGACTTTAATTTCCAGACACACGGAAAGAAGACCTGAAGCTGATGGAACCTTCGCACAGTCCGAATCAAGACTCTACACATTCTCTCATGAGACGAAAGAACAACTCCGCAAATTCCGCCTAGGTACTTCGAGGGCAAAGACACCCATGGCCAAAATATGTAAGTCTGAGAGTTTCGCGTGCAACGTTCAATCACCTCACACCAAGTGTGTTGTAACAGATCAAATCGACATCAAGACTCAGGAGATCAAACCCTCATCAGACGAGACGTATACCGACATGCTCGAACTGGCCGACGATTTACCTGATTCATCACCGAGATATATTCTTCTAAGTTATCCTTTGACATTGGTATGTTAGGACGTATTTGACTTTCCTCTCCATTCCCTCCTTCCTACATCCTCTCCCGATCCGTACTGATGTCCAAGCACGCAGCCCTCGGGACGTCTCTCGGTACCTTATGTTTTGATATACTACCTTCCCGTCAATTGCAACCCAAACATGCGAATGAGTTACGCCGGCGCCGTCGAACTCATGCGTGGGACGGCCGAAGTCAATCGAGTCATTGAGATTTCCGACGCCGAAGATTTACAAGAGATCGAGGAGAAGTTGAAGGGTGAAGATTGAAGACTGAAGAAGCAACTTCGAGGACAAAATGAGGGGGGGGGGAAATCCAATGAGTTTTTAAAGAGTAGCAGCATCGATCGTTAGAATTGTTGTTGGGTCTGAAAGGTCCACGAGGACAGGTCCCTCCAAGTTCCAGTGCATGTATTCAAGTAGGATACCTGCTATATAGTATGGACGGAATATGATTCTGGCACATTTGTTGTGTACTTGCAGTTTTTGTAAAGAAAAAACCATTTAGAAATGTGATGTGGATCGGCAACAAGAAATGAAACCCTCATGTACACACATACACACAGACACAATGGCCGATGATATCGACACGGCATCTCTCGCTCCGCTAAATAAAATCAAGATCAGAGCAAGAAAGGATCAAAAGCAACATGTACACTGAACTTGGTTTTCCCATTTCATATCAACAATCCCTACCTGGCCACCCTAGGCACACTTAGAGCTGCGACCTCACGTGCTCATGACCTCCACCAAGCCCCGTCCTCCGGCTCGTACTCTTCCCTTGTTTATCGTACATGCCGTTCAAGAAACCGGCAAAGTAACCTTCCAGTGCTTCCACCGTGCCTTGACCCTCGACCAGGCGCACCGACACACCGACGTGTCCATCCGGGCGGACCACGACGACCGCACCCTCGGACCCTGTCAATCCGACCTTGGCGTGCGCCGAGCACTTTGCATCCAGGACGCGGATGTCCTTGCGATCGTCCGCGTAGATCCTGCCGCTGTAGTCCTGGAACATGGCCGGGAGGTCGGAAATCTCAATCTCCGAGCGCTTCGCCACGAGGGTCAACACGATCGAGAAAAACCGACTGTGCGGGTTGTCGCTGTCGTGGTGGTTGTCTCTCTGTCGCTCCTTGGATTCGTACCGTGAGTAGAAGCTGCCTGGGCTGGTCAGGCCGCTGGCAAGGTCTGATAGGGCCTTGTGTTGGCCTCGCTTGGGAGATTGAGACGCTCCAGCGTAAATGAACAGTCTGAAAGCGCCGTTGAAGGGAATTTCGTTCTCGAGATGGACGACGTTGGCGTCAACAACACGCGTGACGTTGGATGGGGGCATTATTCGTCCGGGTCGGAGTTTCGGAGAGTCCTTGATGATCAGCGGGTGTTGGAAGGAGTGCTCTGAGGAGTGGTTGAAGATATTGGGGTTGTAAGCGACACCGAAGCCTGAGGTGAATTCACAGTTCGCTTTGAACATCTCGACGAAATCGTTCTTGGTGTCGTGCTCGTCGTTGTTATGACTGTTATGGGCGCTGTCGACTTCGGTGGCAGTTGGTTGCCGCTGGGAGAAGAGAGCGGCGTATTTGTTGTCAAAGTTCAGGAGTGTCTCGGCGATGAACTTCCGTTCGACTTCGTACGTGGATAAGATGTCACGGTTTGCGAAACCAGACTCGACCAAGTGCATTTTCCATGCAAAGTTGATGGCGTCATGGAAGGCTGTGTTCATGCCCTGCCCGGCCTTTGGAGAGTGTGTGTGGCATACGTCCCCGCCCATGAAGACTCGGTGATCCAAGGTGTACTTGTCCGCAATTCCTTGGCCGATAGGGTATACAGAGTACCACTCTACTCGGTCCCAGGTGCAGTAGTATGGCTGAAAGATGCGCTTGGCAGCTGCTTGGACTTCTTCCACTGTAGCAGTCTTGCGTGGTGAAAAATCCGGATCCGTGCTGCTGGCGATTTGAATGTAAAGACGAACCATGTTGTTCTCACGCGGAATGACCATGATACTCCCGTGGTCCGAGTGAATGGTACACTTCATCTTGATATCGGGGAAGTTTGTCCGCACCACTCCGTCCATGACACCCCAGACATGCGAGATGGGATCTTTATGTCGAATTTGCACACCCAATGTTTCCCGAACAAAACTGCGGGCACCCTCGCCACTATAAAGGTATTTGGCGCGGACAGTTTCCGTCACATTGCTGTCCAGGTTCTTCAGATCGACCTCAACGGGATATTCGGGGTTGACATTGTTGGTCTCGAAGCGGGTAATTGTCCATGGTCGTTGAACATGGGTACCGTTGTTCTCAATATCTTCGATCAAAACTCGCTCGATCAGTCCCTGGTGCAGGAGTGCTGTGAAGGGGTATCTGGCGTCGAGGAAGTCGGGGCAACTTGCCCATGTACCTGTTCGCACGATTTTGCCGCCAGGTGCTGGATCCCAGAAAGCGACTTCGAAAACTCTAGCAGGGTTATGAGCCATGATTTTGCGTTTCAGGCCCATATTCTTCAAAATCTCTATCGAGCGTGGTTGAATACCATCTGCTCGTCCCGTGGCAGTAGGAACTGGCCGGTTGTCGATATGTCTGACCTTGTAACCCCATCGGGACAAAGATACTGAAAGGAGAAGACCAACAGGTCCAGCGCCTACTATGACGATATCGTACAACGGTACTTCTGGCATCTTGGTGAGCTGGGTGTAAATCAGAAAGGAAAATAAATGAGAAATGAAAGTGCCAGTTAGATCGCAGGGGAAGGCGCAGAATCAAAGAGGGCGAGGAGGTTATTGGGATCGAAGGGCGAGGAAGTTCAACAGAGGCAAGCAGTAGCAAAAATGCAAATATATATGAAAGGCCAAACGTGGATATGAAGACTTCGGATCTTAATCATGGCAGATCGCACAGGCCTCGGGGACGAGATTTCGAGGTCAGCTTCCCTAGACTAGAGCTATGATGAGAAACCGAGATGCTCTGCCGCTCCAGATACGGCTGGGGGTAAAGGGGAGAAATTCCGGCAAATGTGAGGGAGTGACTGACTCCCCACAGGATTCGGCCTAATGAGCTATGGTGCGAGCTCTGGAAAACCTCATGGCGTCAAGTAGCGCAACGCATAGTCCGTTGAGTGTAACTTGCGCATTCCGGGGGACCAGGAGGAAAACGATGATGTTGTTCGGTAGACGCCCCGCAAGTCGGTTCTCGAGGACGGCAATCGAGTTGATCACGTGGTTTCGGAGATGCTCGGCTTTAAGCTGCCTCCCAAAAATGGACTAGCTTCTGGGGCAGCTGCTCGTCTTTTTCAACTTCTAGCAAACAGATGATATTGTTTGTTATCTGGTCTCTGTCAAGTGCATGATATGCTTGACAAGGAAAAGTCCTGCACTGCAGGTTGACTGATTGTCATTCAGAGTGATGGCTTTGTTGCTGCTTGTTGTTGCATGCTGTTGGGATTATTGCTTGGGCAGGTCAGAATGGAAAGATGAGTTGGTCAAAGGCCTCCTTTTCGTCCATGGTAGGCACATCCTGTGGGTTTTCAGTATATGCAATCTGGGGTTCTTTGTGAGTTGGAGGTAAACATGTTTGTGCTCGTCCTGCCTTCAGGAGCATCAGGATGGACACAAATATGGCATTTGATGGTTGCCTTCATAAGAAGAAAATTTCCCAACCACTGTCACTGGATTCCTCCCTTCCTCATTCCCTGTTGAGCACCTTCACTTCCTCATCAGCAGCTTCGGAATCGGATAAATATATCCACCGTTACCGCTTGGCGAAATTGAAGGTCAGCACAAGGTGCTGCACATTGCCCGTGAGATTCCTCACATGCGACTTGCTTGTTCCCTGAAAACAACGCCTTTAGCCATTCTGCATGGTGTTGGATGTGTTTCATTGCTTTGTTGTGGTGTCAATAGTGCTCGTGTGCTGTCAGAATCCTTCTTCAAGACCTTTTCTTGCTCACTCCAGTGCTGGTGGTGATCTCGTCTCCTAAGCCATTTCCTTCACACAACCTATCAACCTGGGTTATCCTCATCATGTCAGAGATCAACTGCCACGGTGTCACGGCCGCCCCCATGTCATTCTCAGATGCTCATTATCGAAAAGAGATCCATGAGTTTGGTGCCTTTGACGAGGAGTCATGCCGTTCGTACGTACGAGAAGCTGGCATGAGAGCTGTCGGTGCCTATTCCTTCACTTCTGGCATGGAGGAGATATACTGCCTCATGCTTGAGCAGTGTGGACTCGATGGACTGCCTGATGCCATGAGTGTGATCCAAGACATGATGGAAGGAGACGGCGTTGCTGATGGCCTGGGTGACGATGGCGATATCTTCCGTTCCTGGCGTCACAGCTGGAGACAACGAAATGTGAGTGCATGTGTACCATGACCTGCCTGATCAGTACTGACCTGGGTGTAAGGCCAACTCAAAGAACCCCTTCATTACCAGAATTGGCACCTTCATCCTTCCAACTCCCACCCAACGACACATTCGTCGGCTGAGGGCACAGAACTTTATCCGTATCTTGGAAAGACCCAGCTTCATGGAAGGAAATAGAACACCGTTGGCACAAATCTCAGGCAACAGAGGCATACTCACAGCGTCTGTGACTGGCAGATTTGACGTCTCAAAGATTTTGGACGATGATGACCATGTTCTCCCGAAAATCACTCTTGCCCATCAAAGATGCAGAATTCTATTTGCTTCTGATGGCAACGAAGCCGCGGCCAGAATTGTTGGCAGAAGTCGCCTGAGCTTTGCAGGGACATCTAGCAGCACCACAGGGTATCCTTGGCCAGAACTTGTTGATCTCTCTGACTCGCAAGCGATGTCCGAGATTGATACCATACTCTTTCACCCCTACGATTGCCTGATTGAGGGCGAATCGTCGACCACGCCAGAGAAGAAGCCTGCTCTCCGAGATAGAAGAAGCGAGTTGTATGAGGAGGAGAATGATTTGGACTCTGAAGCAGCTTTTGTTGACGAAAACAAGCAAAGACTCCCTGTTACTGTTGATGATGTTGTATCACAAGATTTGGAGATGTTGCCAGCGACCGCGTATCAGGGCGCTTCTGCATGGAAGGGAAAGATGAAGGCTTCGGAGCCCGTTGACCTAGAGTCCTTCGACAGCGGAGGATCAAAGTCAGCAGAAGAATTGTCTCAAACAAAGGATGTCAAACCTCACGCACGATTGAGGCGTGAAAGCCAGGAACCAACCAAGCTTCAGCGTGCAAAGAACCGTGAAGCCAGGATGATTGATGGGAATATGATTCTCCCAGACCACCACGCCAATGAAGAAGTCTCACCAGAAGAGGAGCAGCCCCTTTCACCAAATGAGATCAGAGTCAAGGTCGACTTGACCGTTGAAGTGGAAACAGACGAGCAGCAGCAGATGGCCAGCAGCCGCAGTTGGTCACCTTTTGAGCACGAGAAAGACTCACCACGCCGCAGCTGGATTGCTTCCATCCGCACCACCTTGCGCCCAAACGGCGCTGCCAAGTCGTCTTCGGACGAGACGAGCCCTCCTCAGTCAAGCAAGGGCACGTCAAAGTCGTTCATCTGGTCCGACAATGGCGAAAGCCAGAATGGCACACCGTCCCCTCTCTCCCTTGGCCCATGAGGCCACCACCACCACCACAATGTCACGTGTCACGACAAGAGTTTGTTATCAAATGGCAAGGAGTTAGGGGGTTTGTTGTTTCAGGTTTACTTCTCATGTGTATCAACAGAACTATTCTTTCGCTAGACAAAAGTTGAATGTTTTTCCCAATCACCCATTCTTGTCTCTTTGTTACTTTGTGAACCGCCATACTAAAACTAGGAAGAGCATCTCCTTTCAATCAGGGGCAACTATCATCCCCAACAATTGAGGCAGAAACAGGACCATGTATTGAATGGTCGTTGTCCACCTCGTTTATCTATAGGCGTCTCTTCCTCTTTGTGTATTGGCATGGCCATCACGCGCAATGTGCGTTGATGGCTTGGTCTGTTCCAAATCTACGCCTTTATCATTTCCACTTTGTGTATGTCATCAACTAGACGGTCCCTTTGGATCCATGACAGCGTGATAGACCCATCATGACAGCGAATCCGGCCAGGAATTCATTGAACTCTGGACCAGTATGTGTACACGGTGTCGACCTGGAAGACAGTGAGACGACTAGTAAGGAGTTGAAGAGACAGTGACATTTGTACCAAACTTTTTCTCTCATTTCAGACTGGTCTCGAGATATTCAACTACTATAAACCTTTTGTCTCTTCATCCTGTGCGATTTCCATCTCCTCGGTCGCTATGCTTGTTCCATCTTATCCCAATAACAATTCTGACTCATGAAAACCTGCCGTATTGTACACCATCCAAGCCAGAGTCGTCCTCGAACTAGGATACGAGTCAATAAGGAAGCAAAAGCAATAAAAGGGAGAACAGATACTCACATCTACAAAGCCACACAGCGTGACTAGCCCTGTGTAGCACTGTACAGACTCTGCCACGAGTGGACGAATCGTTCCGTCGACTTTGCCGTTTACACCGGCATACTTCTTGAACACACCGACCATGTTCGGCCGATAGTCGGTCAGGAAGGTTCGAGCGGCGTACTGGATCTGCTCGTTCTGGGCGCCACGAGACAAGAACGTCGAAAGGAGAAGTCGAAGGGTTGAGGAGAGTAGGACGTAATAAGTACGAAGAGCCGAGACGGCTGGGTCAACAACGGTCGTGTAGGTGGTCGAATCGTCTTCATTGGGGCTGGGAATCGCAATGCCTAGATCCGGATCTGCATGGAACAACAGCGAATCTCGGACTGCAGACATAAGACCAGCGTCAAGAAGTGCGCCTGCACCTTCGCGAGTACGGGATACTTGTAGGAGAAGCAACATGCGTGCCTCAAAGATCGACAGAATATATGGACGATCTGGATAAGGCCGGGGATGATCAGTAAAGACATAAACACAGTTGGCTGGTATACAATGAAGAGACTTACGAGCTGGTTCCGTGGTCTGGAATTCCGTCGAAATATGCTTCAATGATTCAAGAAGGATCTCAAGCACATTTGCCTTGACGAACGAACTGATGATAAAGTTTGACTTTTCTGTTCGCGCAAGAGAGGCAAGCAATGCTAAAAGATTGAAAGCGTTCAAGCGGCAGGCATCAACTCCATCCTCTGCATCGTCACAGATGATTGGAATCAACCGCTGACTCGCTGAGCGAATGCAGTCCATGGAGTTTTTACGAGCCTTTGCATTGATGTCGGAATCGCCCTTATCGGTCGTAGAAATCCTCGCAAGGTATTGAGAGCAGATGCTGTAGAAGATCGTCCTGAGGCCGAAGCTTGAGTTGGTCACGGGGATGCCTTCAATGGATGCCCGGAAGAGCTGGAACAATTTCTCGGTGATGACATTATCCAACTGAGAATTTACCGGTGCTGTTTCGGAGAGTGCAAACAGTAAAGCATCAGCTGCTCTTGCTATTTCAAGAACATCTTCGGATTCGTCCGAGATAAGCACGTCAAGCTTAGGAAGCATGATTTGAAGAATGTGCAGAATGAACTGGAGTTTCGATGTGGAATCCATAGGACAGGTCTCAATGGTAGCAATGATCATATCCACATATTCGTGCAGAGCATCACTCCTGGCCTTATGTGCAACGATGGATCTATTGCGAGCTTCCAAAGTGGCAATCACATAGTCAGCTTCAGCAATGAGTTCTTGCTCGTCAATCTTGTTAGAGCCTGGTGTCTCTGATGGTTTTTGCAGTAGCATTTGGCGGTACGCCGAGAGATATTCTCGGATCAGTTTCACATCATACAAGCTTGGCGCCTGTTCGGTGGCTTCCGTCAGGTACATGTCAAAGTCGATTCCAGCGAAATTCTGGAGGCCTAGCTCAAAAGACGAAGACAAATCCAATTCGAGAAAGTCAGAAAGGGAGAAGACATCTGGATTGGAAGTTGTAGTGCCATCCATGTCGCTTGTTTTGCCCTGGAGGGTGGAAAGAGCGTGGTGGAGCGTAGTGGTAAGGCCATCTTTCGCAGCAGCTCTCAATTCCGTAGCTGTATAATTGAATAAAGAAGCTCGGAATGCTAGAAACTCTGCAAGAGCTTCAGAAGAGGTGCTGTACCAGAAGGACTCGTGGAAAATGGGGTTACCATCCCATAGTGTCTGCTGATACACAAGTGGTAGGCGCAAATACTGCGTTGGAAGAAACTGGAGTCGACGCAGTTGACCGATCACAATGTTTTGGGTAGCTTCAGAGGACCAGAGATGTCTCAGCACCTTCATTGCTGCTGCCTTGATATGGATCAGCCAGGAGACCATAACCCCATCTTCGACGTCAGGGTAGTTTTCGACTAAATCAATGACGGTGTTGAAGACAGAGGTGCCAGCGTCAATGGTGGACGAAATTGTTAATCGTTCCTTGAGTCTGTCGAACCCAAGAAGAAGATGCGCAAGGTTTGGCAGGTTAGGTTGGGTCTCCAGACAGGCATTGAAGAAAGCCAGCACACCGTCTTTGGTCAGGTAACTGACGGATTCAAAGCCCTCTTCGAGCTCTCTAATATCGAAGAGCAACCGTGAAGTTAAGCTTCTAGTAACAGGCTCCAATTCAAAGCTGGCATTTGGGCCGAGCATGTCGATAATGCGTCTTGTGCGTCCGCTCACAGAATCTGTGGTTAGAAAGTGATTGTTAAGTTTGGGTGAGCTAGAAAGCTTCTGTAGGAGTGCGAGAGCACGTAAGGCCAGTCCGGCTTGTTCCGTCGCCGCGAATTGACAGAGATTGAGGACAACTTCTGGATGAGAAGCGAGACTGTCTTCAATAGAGCCGACGCTCAATCGTGCAAGCAATCCGTCCTGACCGAGTCGAGATTGGACCATTGGTCGGATGATATCGAAATAAGTTGGTTGCAGGTCCAAAATACGGTTGAGAATATCAATCGAGCGCTGTAAGCTCAAGAGAAGAGGCGAGTCCGGGAGAGCAGCCTCAATGGCATCTAAGGGTACCCGTAATGACTCCATCAATACTTTGTTCATATCTGCGCTCAAAATCCATTGCATCAATCTCGCAAAGGGACTGCGTTGCGCATACACCGCTGCCACTGGGGCATCTTGGAAAGCATCACGTTGTGGATCTGCCCGGTCCATCATGACAACGAAGTCCTCGTTGAAACCCTCAAGCCCTGCCGCCACAAACTCCAGGCAGTGAAAGGAAGCTATCGACCGCTGCACATCATCGGTGATTTCCGGAAGCCGCCTAATAAACAGCTGGCCACAGATGAGGTCAATGTATGGATCGATTCCAGGGGTCCTGTAGGAAGCGCCAAGATCTGCAGGAAATGGTAGCATATCTCCTCCTAAACTTGTCGAAGGGAGAGTCGCGACTAGGTCACGTAACAAGATCACGAAGGAGTCATACTGGTCAAATGAGACTGCAATGGCACTGAGGTTGGCTTGCAGGTCGGCAGACGTCGGTTTGAATGGTTGACTTGTCTTATTCGCCGCCGAACGAATCATCTCTTGGCCATTTGCAGCCCAGTTATCCAGTATCTGCCACATGGCAGTTGCGGTCTGGACAGACTTGTCCGTGAGTAACGAGTCCAATGCAGCAAAGATACTAGCCCGAAGGTAGGTTGGGACTGGTCCAGAGCTTAGCAGCAATAGTGCTTGTGGAAAGGAGGGAAAGGTTGTTTCCAAGATGTAATGCCGAGTGCCACTGGGCTGTCGACTTAGATGAGCCAATAGGCGAAGATAGCAAGATAGCATAACCGGACTTTCGAGCTCGTTTAAGTCTGTGGGCAAGACTTTGCGCATATTAGGGAGTTGGGATGATGTTGCACGTTCATGGACTTTGTGTGCGTACAACTCGAGCTCGGCAAAGATCTGTTGGTAGTTCATTGATGGATTTCGCCTACCTCTAGTGGTGGTAGGCAAAGATTCATCCAACAAGAACTTATGAGCTGCTTCAGCGCACTCCTGGTTCTCCGCTATAGAGCATAGAAGTTCACAAAACGCACTGACTCGTGGGACGGTCTGCCGCCTGGATGCCCACTGAAGGAATCCGTAAAGATTGCTGTCAGGATCTTCCCACCACTGTTCGGCAGCCTCCGGTCTACCTTCGAACGCGAAGGAGACGAGAATCAGGAAACATTCAAGGTGTAGTTTGCTGGGAGTTCCTCCTCGATGCTCGGGTGGCAGTCCCTCTTGCATTGCAATCAGCTGATTTAGACGTTGATCATCTTCTTCAGTCCTTAACTTCCGAATAGAGTCGGGCATATTTGAGATGAACGACTCGACGAAACTCTCCAATGATTCCATATACTGTAGTCGGAAGTAAGAAGACGTCTGATCACCATTCTCAAGTACAACGTTTGAACCCTCGCTAAGAAGTAAACCCACTAGCTCCTGTCGTGCGGGATGTCGCCAAACATCTGAGTTGGTGGTAGTGCAGATCGACAGCATTAATTCAAGGGCATCTTCATTCAAAGCGGCAGTGACAGCCGAAGCTCTCCTTTCGCTTCCAGCATCTGGATCTGTGACGTCGCGAAATTGCCCACTATACTCAACTGTCCACCACAAGCTGAGAATGGCGTGGAAGGGGCGCACCGATGCTGAAGCGGCCTCGTTTGGTAAGGGCCCCAAGACAGCATCTAGAGAATTGGTGCTTTCCTGAGATAGATGGCTACCCGGTGACGCACACTGTCTGAAAGCGGCAGAGAAAGCCGGAAGATAGTGGAGCAGATTAAACTCGATGCGACCCCAGCGCTTCACAACAGCGTGCAACTTCCGTAGATCTTCCTGGTTGGTGTAATCTCCTTGAAATAAATAGGCTAGAATACAGGCCAGAGCCTCGTGCTGTTTGAAAAGGCTGTCCTTCTGAAATTCTAAGGTCGCATAGAATTCGGGACCGCGAGGCCCACCTAGCAGCGCCTTACTCTGAAGCGCGTCTGCGACTTTGGCTTGGAATTTTTCGAGATCCTCCAGTGTATTCAGGCATTTTCTGGCAAATAGCGACCCGTTGTTGGTCACTCCCGAATCGATTTCCAGCACTCTTGCAACAACGGACTCAAAGATTTGTCGAACCCCAGCCTCAGATTCCAATTCCAGCGACTGTTGGAGTGTGATTCGCAAAGATTGGAGAAGTAGATCGCGTCGATTGTGGTAGCTGCTGACAACATCTGTCACGAGAGACTCGTCCCCGGATGTAGGATCTGCTTGTACTTCTATCAGGAGACGGCCGGCTTCGATCTCATCAAGGTCAAGGCTGGTTGCTATGGCTCGACTGATGTGCTTGAATTCGTCGTTCACACTGAATTGTTGCTCGCCGACTGTGAGCTTGCCTGCCCATGTAGGTTAGTATGCTGTTGCAGCGTAACCCAGAATGTTGCACATACCGCTGCTATAGGCTTCTCTATCGCATGCTGAAGGCACTGCCTTGTCAAGAAGCCTTCTGAAGTCCTGGATGCTATCCTCCAACTCCTGCCACAACCGATCGATATTGGCAAGGCGCGTCTCTGCGAAGGCGAGCAAGTCGGCATGCAAGCCTTGTAAGCGCAAAAGACTCTCCATTGTTTGCAGTCTATGAGAGAGCCTTCAACGAAAGCGACAACGCGTGGAAGCTGGCAACGTCGCGTCTCAAGGCATCATGGTCCATGGACTTTTGTCTCCAAAAATTGATGCCGCAGTCAAGGCGAGTTTCCTGAAATGGGTTAGCGTAGTTTGGCGTGCCAAGCATATGTTCTTGCTCTTTGGTCAGGCCAATGTACGGAGTAACTGAACACCCCATACATTGTTTCTCTCCCTGACAGGCTTTATGGCGTCTTTCCGTTTGACTATACCAGTCGGTCTTCAAAAATCAGATACCCTGGTCAGCGAAACCCCATAAATCTGCGCCTGAACGAAAAATGTTCCTTGATAGGGAGTATTTATTGACCGTCCGAGGCTGGAGAGATGGCGGAGGTCAAACTTATCGTGGCAGCCATTGGTAAGCATGGGCTTTGACCAGCATATCCGTATCTCAGCCTTGTCAACTAACTACGACGACCAGGAAAGCTAGAGGCTGATACACAACGTGTCCGAACCGAAGGTCTTGAAGGTTTGTTAGTTCTCGCAGTTGCTTGCTTTAATTGACTTGGTTTGCAGCTTTGAAAAGCGCACTCTGCCAAGGCAGGACCACATCTCGAATGTAGGTGCGAGACTTGAGCTGAGATCTCATAAGCTGACTTGTCCCACAAGCAACGTCCTAGAAGATGATGTCTTCCACAAGATCTTTGAATTGCTTTACACCATCATTGCCAGAGAGAAGTCAGCTTTCACCCGTGCTGTCAAGCCAACGACGAAGAATAATGCTGCATCTCGTCTCGAAGTCGCTGCAGCAGCCTTTAGACTCGTTGTGGAGGCAGGATCTTCTAACGTGTCTTTCAAAACTGCACTGTCCGTTCTAGACCATGTTGTTGACACTTTGCCTTTGTCAGATGGGTCCTTCTGCAAGCCCCTCAAGACCGACTATCTCAAGGCCTTCCGTTCCATCTTGGAATATTCTCCCCATGCAGAGCATATGCGTCCTAAAAACTGGCAAGGCTATGTTGACTTCGTTCTGGAGGCATTGTCCTTAGGTCTTGAGGATGACCAAGTAGATGATGATCTTGTGACTAGCCGAGAGACTAGTATGGCCTCTCGATCCGGCTTGCAATTATCCATACGCCACAGTCAACGGAGTAGGAGGACCCTTGGAAAAGACATTGCTTCATACGTTGAAGATCTCGCTGTCGCCTTGAAAGGTCTTACATCTGTGACAAATGCACCAGTCCCAACACGCTCTGCAGCCATCGCCGAGGTACTGATCTCTCTTTTGAACTCGACTACCCGGGGACAAGAGCCTTTATTTGAGATCTTGAACAACATTATCTTTGTTTCATTGACAGAGAATGTCGCCTTGATACGGTCAATGCTAATGGAGCTCATTCCGATCATACGGAGGCTTTGGGTCAGCAAGTCAAGTCTGCTGCGGGAACAAATGCTCATCACGCTATTCACATGTCGGTACTTCTTTCTCTCCACAAGCGAGCCGTGGCCACACGTTGGTGTTGATCGTATTGAAGCTCTCATGCGAACCATTCTGTCCGAGTATCATCATCGCAACGAGAGAGAAATCCTACACTTTGACGATATGCGCCCTGACGCCGAGGGAAGTGATCAGCCGCTGCGACTCAGACAATTCCTACCATTGAGAGAATCATCTCGAGCTTTGTCATGCTTTATGACCCTCTCAGTCGTTTCATGTCTTATTTTGGGATTAGTCGCCTCTGGTAAATCGATGCGACCTGAGCAGTATTCTGAAGACACATCTCGGAAACGGCAGAAGACCCAAAGCCCTTTCGACGAAGTTTTACAAAGCGCTGCAGTTAGTCCAGGTCAGGAGAGGCTGGTTAGCTTGCAGATCTTACTTTTCCTCCTTGATCAACCACACACACTCGATGAGAAGCTCTTTGTCGGAGTTTCCAAATTGATACCGGCGTTGACTCACGAAGATGGCAATGTACAAACCTGGACGTTTCTGATTTTCTCACGAGTATTAGTCTCTCCACAGTCCACTACAAGTTCGTCAATCGACTGGTTGCGGGTTTATGAGGCTGCGCAGGGAGCATTGTCTATCCCAGCGGCAGCTCGAGCAGCCTGCCAACTTCTCAATGTCATTTTGGAGACGGAGGTTCTTGGCTCTGCACTGACGGGAGCATCTCTCCACAATGCTGTGTTCGGAGGATCTAACAATGGACCCTGTTTATTCACCGATACCGCCTTGACCCTCTTGACTACTGCTCTTGGATCTGGTTTATTTGAGACTGGGAAGCTCTTTGAAGACTTCTGTCTGAAAACCCTGAGTTGGTTGACCGCCAGGTGGACTCTTCCTCCTACACTTGATCGCCTGTCCAACTCGCAAATTGCGTTTCATGGCCGACCCTCTCTCTTGTACCTGCTTTTGACGTCTATGTGTGGCTCTTATGATAGACCCTTGCCTCGAGAGGACTGGTCACCTTCGCACCCGTTGTGGCGAGCATCATTGATTCCATTTGATGATCTTGACTTTCTGCGTTACCTTCTCTGTCTCCCTCCACATGAGCCCAAAGGTGCTCAAACCCTGGGACATGGAAGTCCTCAGATTGACTCCGTTACAGCTTCCCACACCACAAAGGCTGTTATCGACTTTCTGAACGGCCGATTATCCGACTTTATGTGTTCATGGGAAAGTATACGATCTGAGCGAGGTTTCAATATCACAAGTGATATTGCAACAATACTGGCCGTGGCATCTACCGTAGCCACCGGTGTTTGGACCAAAACCGGCAAGCATTCTCAAAGTGCTCAGCAAGATCCGTCCCACGCCAAAAGCCGTGACACGATTGAGGCTTTTACCAGAGACCAGAGTGAAGACATGCGCAGACTAGTGACCGGACGTTTCTGCGAGTCGACCTTGCAGATATACGATAAAATTGTCCAGAGCGATGATGAAGCCGCTCCTGAGGCATACCAACCGGTGATAGAGTTAGCATTGAGACTCACAAGCTTGGTCACCGACCAGGATACGACAAGCTCAGATTCAAAAAACCTATCTGATTTTGAAATCATGGATATAGACACATGGGATTCCCAATCTAGCCAGCGAGGCCAACATAATGTCTCAAGTGCCATGAGGATTGATCTGCCGCTTTGTAGCGACACATCATCGCTCCTGACAAGAAATAAGGTGGAGCTTATCACCGCACTACAGGTAATCAAGTCAAGTCGTTCTCTCGACCCCGAGACCGCTTCTGTGGTTGTTGATCAGATTCTGTCTTTGGATCCAGATTCGTTACTCGCTGCCCGTGGCGCTGTCAAGGATTTTTTCGGCCTAAACCCTGGTGTCACTCGTATTGACGCTCATCGACTCCTTGGTGACCTCGCCAAAAGGTACATGCAAGACTACCGATTCGAAAGGTGTGAAGCTGCCTTATGCTTCTGTCTCTCTACTATGCAGAGTCTTTCAAGATTATGGACAACTCGGGAGGAGACTGACGATCTACGTGAAACTGCACTCGATATTTACGACTGGTTTCTGAACACCGCTCTTGGGAAGCAAATTGCTAGTCGCAGAGTGCTCCTACACATCACAAACTTGCTAGACTCGCTTATGAGACAGAATGCATCCTTCGATGAAGAAGAGCTCCCTTCTCCCAGAACTAGCCTACTCCATATTTTGAAGGCTGGTAATGTCACGACGAAATACGGGTTAGGCAAGAAATTAACCCGCATATTTGAGAAATATGTTTTGAGTCAACATGAGGCTATTTTCGACGATATCGTTGAAAATCTGCCCTCTGACCCGGATAACAAGGAAGGTATTGCCGTTCGGCTCCATGTCATAGCACAACTTGGTGCTCATTGGCATACTGTACTGCGACAAGCCACTTACCATACCTTTGAGACGGTCGCAAATGTACCATCGACAATGCCAATGGCCACAGCTTGCATTGCAGAGATGTGTACGACACTTGGCCTGAAATCACCCCGGGTTTTATTTGGGCTTTTTGCTCCACAGATATTCTACACTTGGCTGAGTAGAGGCTCTCTGGCACAAATTCCTTACCTTGCTTTCAGCTACATTTCTCTTAAGGAGCTTGCGTTGGACAATATCGCAGAACTCGTTGGTCAGATTGCACTCCGAGGCTCGAGCCATGCGGAAGAGCTTGCGGTTCTTGTCGAACAAGAGTGGTTGTCCCTTCTGTCCGATCATTTTCCGTATGCTGAAGCCTATACCCTTGCGTCTGAAACCAGTGTACCGAAACAAGAGCGCATCTACGATGGATCAGAGAAACTGATACGTAAACAACTTGGATCTGAATCTTATTTGAGGCTGTTACGTTACAATCTTCCCGAGATTGTCGCTCGTCTGGTAATAACGCTGCAAGATGACCGCGCAATTGACAAATCTTTCGAGAAGAATGACGAAACATCTGCTCTTTGTGCATGGCAAGAAATGGCCTCCATGTCAGATTCAAACACACAGATTCCACTTTCTCAGCAGCCTTCTTTCAGAGCCCGATGTTTGTTAGACGAACTCAATTACTTATACCAACGACTTGATATTCAGTCTACCGACGTCTGGACCTCCGCCTTGTTGATTCATGTCTATAGACAGCTGCTCGAGAGAATATATCCAGCACTGGGCTCGTTGCATGTTTGTAGCATCATTCGGAAGATTCGTATTGCAGTCAGCCTTGCAGGCCCAGTTGCCCTGGAAGGCTATCCACTGGAAATGATTTTGCACAATCTGCGACCATATCTTACGATGTTTGAGTGTGCCGAGGACACAATGGCGATTTACCAGTATTTGTTAAAAGCTGGGAAGGCCTATCTCAACAAAAATCCATCCTTCATTGCTGGCTTAGGTGTAGCAATCTTCACTTCTCTTATTGGCTTCATGGGTTCCTCTCAAGATAGCACGACCCAGGAAATTCATTTCGTTTCGACAATGAACAAGGCGCAGGCCTTTCGAAGCTACCTTGGTGATTATCTCGACTCTATGAGTCTCGCAGAGGGAACTGAAAAGGCGAGGTCGACCTTCCAGTCTCTTGTGCAACACGCCAAAGCCATAACATCCTCAGGGAACAGCTCAAAAAGTTCAAGCGAAGGAAGCCTGCTGCAAGTTCTTCTCGCTGATAGAGCCTCAGAGGAACCTTTACTTACAAATATCCACTTTGACATCGCTATTGGTATTCTGTGTCAGCATTTCCAGCCTGCAACCAGCCGTTCGGATGATATTCTTGAAGATGATCTCCAAGCAGCGCAGTTCTCTCCTATCTTAGGCACAATCGTCAAAAGGATCAACTTGAACCAGCCATTCCGCATATGGACTGCAGAAATAATTGGCCGGGGGCATATCATGCGCGGCTTGCGCTTTAATGCTAGAAGGGAAAAATCGATCGAATATCCTTCAGACGTAACCCAAGTTGAGCCGGATCAGGACGCCATACATTCTTATACCAGTATTGTTGAGTTTCTTTTAGATCTCATATGGGGCTCCGACTTTACTGCCTCAGCCTATGCCGAAAAAACTCTGCAACTGATATTCAGTGGCATGCCCGATAGATCTCAAGATGATGTGCTCCAACAAAAAGTCGAAAGGGATTTGATTCATCAGCTGAAGTACAAGCATTTCCCATGTCCTGCGATCCCTCTCCCACAACCAAGTATCCTGACTGCGGAAAGACTGCCCTCCTCCACCCACGAGAATGGGAGTTGGGCTAGTGATATCGTGGCTGAAATCAGTGACTCTGCAGCTCACGATCCAGTTTTGAGCTTTCTCAAGCCCATTGCGCTTGCACTCTCGGGTTCCGCGGACATCTTACTACCATTTGCCGCGCACCTGGTTCTTCTCCGAGAGATAAATGCGCAGCAGACATTCAAAGACAAATTATCCCACGGGTTCACAAGTGTTTTCCATTCGGGCTCACGATCGCCCGAAAAGCCACGTCGACTAGCTTTGCAAACTCTCTTATACCTGCAAAGATGCCGATTTCCAAATGAGACCAATATTACTGCGCGGAATTCTTGGCTCGATATTGACTTGGGTGATGCTGCCATTGCTGCGGCCGAATGCCGAATGTGGCATGAAGCACTCTTGTTGTTAGAACTGCAGCACTCGTATGCCGGGCTACAATCTGGCCGCTCGTCCCGAAGGTCATTTGCAAGCGCCAAAAGCGTCCCTGGAGAAGTGGTTGCGAAAGTTTATGAAAATGTTGACGACCCTGACTTCTTCTATGGTAAAAAACAAGAATTCGACCTTGCTGAAGTCGTCAGCAAAATGACACATGAAGGCGCAAGCCAAACATCGCTTTCTCTGCACAGCGCAATGCTTGACACGCGGTTGAGAATGGGCGACCAGGGGCAGTCTTTTGCTTCCATTGCACAAGTTACTGCATCCTCGTTGAGTGCCGCAAACATGCAAGGTATTTCTGAAGCTGTAAGACAATACTACGAAGATTCTGGCAACAACACGGAGCTTGCTATGGGACTGCTGCCCAACAGTGACTGGGACGTCCAGCCCATGAATCGATCAATCACATACTCCAAGGACATGTCCACCTGGCTACAAGATCTCTATCACACGACCAAGAAGCAGGATTTGATCGATAAATTAGATCAATCCTTACTTTTACTCATTGATGACATGGAAGCCAGCGTTTCCGGCAATGCTCAGACCAGCGATATCTTGACACATTTGGCCATACGTGGAGAAATCAAGCAGATCATGTTGGCAAAAAGTCCGGAAGACTTGGAAGTTGTGTGGGCGAGAATTGAGGCAAGGGATGAGCGGGTCAAGCTAGTCGAGTAAGTTATCATACTCATGTTCTAGCACACTCGTACTAATTTGAGTATTCAGGTTCGAAAGACTGTCTCCAATACTTGATGGAAGAGAATCATCATTTGCTGCCATGCGGCGGAACGTCAATCTGCAAGCCGCTTTCTCCTTGAGTCCAAACCAAGCCCTCCGCAATGAGGTTCGGGCAGCCAGACACTCACTTGAGCTAGCATCCAAGTTTGATGTGCCACAATTCTGTCTAAATCGAACTTTGTACTTGTCAGAACTCAATCAGGTAGCCAATCAATCGGGATTGGAGGTAGATGTTGCCGTCCGATACGACCTTGCAAGAACATTGTGGTCCCAGGATGAAACAGCTGTTTCGATTGGCATCTTGCAAAAGTTGAAGGAGCGCGATGATACGGCCAAACAAGCCATTCCGGTCACGAGAGCAGCCATCTTGACTGAACTTGGTCACAGGATCGCCGAGGCTCGCCTCGAGAAGCCAGATGAAATTATTTCCCGATACCTTATACCTTCGTTTGAGGAGATACGCGGCCACGAGAACGGATCAGAGGCTGGCAGGGTTTACCACAACTTTGCAAGTTTCTGTGACACGCAACTTCAAGACACTGACAATCTGGACGACTTTACCAGAATCAGCAAGATCAGAGATCGCAAAGACCAGGAGGTCCGAGAACTTGAACAAATGTACAAGAGCAGCCGTGATGATCGACAAAAGAAACAATTGAAGATACACCTGGACAGAGCACGAACGTGGTTCAAGATTGATGATGAGGAATGGAAACGCGTGCGGAGCAATCGAGAAGAACTCATACTAAATTGCCTGGAGAACTACCTTCTTTCGATGAAGGCATCTGATGACTACCCGAACGATACTCTTCGACTTCTGGCTTTGTGGCTCAATCAAGCGGAAAGTCGAGAAGCGAATAAGGTGGTTGGCAAACATTTACCTGGTGTGCCTACTATTAGATTCGCCCCCCTGGTCAATCAGCTTTCGTCGCGCTTGCTCGACATCAAAGATGATTTCCAAAAAAACCTTATGGATCTGATGTTTCGAATCTGCTCTGACCACCCCTACCACAGCCTCTATCAACTTTTTGCTGCGAGTAAGAGCAAGGCACTGAAACAAGATGAGGTTGCTGTCTCTCGCAACCATGCCGCCATCAGACTGTCTGAAATAGTCAACAAGAAGAGTGTCTCAGCTGCAATCTGGGTGGCGCTCCACAACTCTTGCATCCAATTCCACCGAGTTGCTTCGGAGAGCCTTTCAGAGAAGGAGAAACGACAGGGCTCGAAAATTCAACTACGGAAACTGCAATCTGGTCAGAAACTTGAGAACGTCTTATCCGAGGCTCACACTAGGATCGCTCCGCCAACCTTGAATATCCCTCTCCGGCCTGATCACGACTATTCGAGTGTGCCTACATTTGTAAAGTTCGACCCAATGATTTCTATCGCTGGTGGGTTGTCGAATCCCAAGATCGTCACCATGACTGCTTCCGATGGGCAGCGATACAAGATGCTTCTCAAAAGCGGAAATGATGATTTACGTCAAGATGCGATCATGGAACAAGTCTTTCAACAAGTTTCGGATCTTCTCAAAGACCACCGTGCCACTCGACAGCGGAATTTGGACATTCGAACATACAAAGTCATTCCCTTGACAACGAATTCGGGTATCATTGAGTTCGTCAAAGACACTCTCCCACTGCATGACTACCTTCTACCAGCCCATGAACGCTTCTTCCCGAAGGACTACAAGCCCAACAAATGCAGGAAAGAGATTGCGGAAGTTCAGACGAAAGGTCTGGAGCAACGTCTCCGTACCTACCGAACTGTCACGGCCAACTTTCATCCAGTCATGCGCTTCTTCTTCATGGAGAGATTCCCCGATCCCGACGATTGGTTCTACAAGAGATTGAACTACAGCCGCTCCATGGCCGCGGTCAGCATCCTCGGTCATGTTCTGGGGCTTGGTGATCGACACGGCCACAATATCCTCCTCGACGAGAACTCGGGTGAAGTGGTCCACATCGATTTGGGCGTGGCGTTTGAAGCGGGTCGAGTCTTGCCGATTCCAGAAGTCGTGCCCTTCCGTTTGACACGAGACCTGGTCGACGGTATGGGTCTGACCGGCGTCGAGGGTGTTTTTCGGCGGTGCTGCAATTTCACGCTCGAAGCGTTGCGTGTGGACCAAGAATCCATCATGACCATCTTGGATGTGCTCAGGTACGATCCCTTGCACACGTGGTCCATCTCGCCCTTGCGACTACAGAGGATGCAAGAAAACAACGAACAAGCCGAAGCCACCGCAGCAGGTGCCGGCGCTGGTGCCTCTGTTGCCGCCGGTGTCGATGGTGGTGGCGGTGGTATGTTGCCACATGATTTGGCGAGTCGAAGAGAAGCCAATGAGCCTAGCGAGGCAGACCGTGCCTTGACCATCGTCGCGAAGAAACTGGGCAAAGCGTTGAGCGTGGAGGCCACCGTGAATGAACTGATCCGACAAGCGACGGATGAAAGAAACCTTGCAGCGTTGTTTTGTGGATGGGCGGCTTATGCGTAGTGCGTGACCGATGAAGATTTCAAGATGAGAAGAAATGTTGAATATGCAATCGAAAATGCAGAAGAGACTGTCAAGTTGAATTGGGGGTTTTCGGGGCCTTCAAGAGGTAGACAAAATAAAATTGATGTGTTTCGACCCTCTCTGGGTTTTTCTTTTATTTCCATCATGACACGGGAAGTGGTAACCAGAAATCGGTACAAATGATTATTTATTGTACAGGCGTCGCCACCTCTGTTCTTTTTTCTTGTCTGATATTACAAGACATATCATAAACCGTGATGGTATAATGTACATGATGTACTTTCCGCCCGGCCAACACTGATGTCCGAAAGACCACATCGTTACACCCAAAGTTGTCTAGACGATCGCCAGATATTTTTTTTTGTGGAATAGCCGTGCTCATGTAACAAATCAGAAGGCCACTTGAATCTCACCCAATCAACTCGGCTCAAACCTCCCAACCGTCCTGTGACAACTTGTACGTCAACGGGCTCGTCGATTTCTTATCGGCCAGCCATGGTGCCGCCTTGTTTGTTCCGCTTCCGTTTGCAGGACTGCCACCGAAAGTCTTGGCGTATCCCAGGTTCCACCGGTCCTCTACCTCCATCAACATTGCCCTCTGGGGCTGAGCGTGAGGTGGGATGGGGACTTTTGGTTTGGGACGACGTCCACGTGGAGCTTTGGGAAGTTTTGTTGGTGATGTTGTCGCCCCGCCGGCACTATCGTTGTCGTTTTCTTTTCCGCCTTCATTCGACAACCCCGAATCGGCCTTCTCGGCATCCTTGATGATACTCTTCAATTCCTTGTCATCGCTCGTGATCTGAGCGCGGATATAGCCTACATCGACACCGTCGACACCGTTCAACGTCGACATGACACTCGCCCTGGGAGTATAGGTGTACTTGTCCAGATCGATGGGTCCGGTCTTGGGCTGTATCGCGGGATCGAGAAACGCTTCACTCCCTTTCGCCAAGAGTTGATTGACGTCCAGACTCTCGCCGTGTGGGATATTTTCGGGGTGGCTGGGCGTGACGCAGTCCATGTCGACTTCCTTGCGGAGGACGTGGTCGATGTCGACGGCCGAAAAGAACGCACACGACTGGGGCAAGTCTTCTATGCCCATCTGTTGGCTGAACATGGCTCTCGTCCAGAGATTGCTGATCTGAAGGGCCAAGGCGGCTTTGTATCTGTCTTCACGCTTGACTAGGTACCGAATCTCGTCGTGTACGGTGATGGCGAGGCGAGCGTCGAGGTTGAAGCGTCGGATGAGGTGATCCATACTGATGATCAGGAGATGCAGGTAGTCAACTCCAGAGGATTGAATGGCCCAATTGATCCGCGACGTCATGAACGAGCCTTGGTTGATGAAACGGCGCATCAAGGCTTCAGTGATGCCGGCGCCGAGGACCGGAGTGCGAGGACGTTCTTGTTCCGCAAACTCTTCGAGGCGGTTGAAGACGAATGACTCGGTTCCGCCTCGCCAGAACGAGCCCGCCCCGAATGCTTTCCGACGAGTCCGTGTTCCTTTCGTCTCCTTGTAGAGTCGTGAGGCGATCTCGTTGGTTTCCTTTTCAGAGAGGAGAGGATTGAATTGGCGCAGCAATTGTGCCGCGAATCTGAGACCTGCACCGTAAATGCGGCCGTAGTTGAAGACCTTGGCATCGTTGCGGGAGATTCCTAGAATCTTTGCCGTCTTCGAGTGCAGATCAGTGCCGGCGGCCTTGGTCCCCTCGAGGGTCATGAAGCCTATCGCGTTGCCACCGTGTAATTGGAATTGCGCATCACCGACGAGTGAAGCAATCCAAAGTTCTTGGCTATCAACGTCGGCACCGACGAAGCAATATCCCGGTGGAGCTTTGATCATAGCTTTCAGCTCAGAGCCTACGCGATTGGCTTTGGCGTTCGAAGCCGTGAGCCAGGTGTTTTCCACAGCACGACGGGTGATAGTTCCCATCGGTATGATCTGAGGAAGGATGAACCCTTGATTCGTTTTGCCAGCCAGAGAAGGATCTCGATCTGCCTCTCTGACGACCATCTGAGATGTGATTCTATCCCGAGCTGAGATCCAGTATGAACACGATGCGTTCATTTCCAGAGCCTCTTTCGCTAGCCCAAATTGTGAAGATAGTGTCCCTGCTTCAAAATACTGCAGGTATCCTTTAGCCAAAGGTGTGACACACCGAGCTGTAGGACCGTCCTTGTGTGGCAGTTTGAAGTAAGCATTCTTCATGTCAGACTTTAGTGTCTCGTTGGTCTCCTCGGACATGTCGCAGGCCACAACGTTGCTATTCTCGTATTTGAGAACATCCTTGTGAGGGACTCGAAAGGTCCATCCGTGTTTGTCGGACCAGATGAGAGGATATCCATCCCATGAGAGCTTGAGCAGTATCGGAGCGATTCTAGTTCGGACAGTCAAGTTGAGAGGGGAAGTGTTGGAGGTGAAGAGGTCTCTGTACCAGTTAGGTGCACCTGGCTTCTTCTGACGAGCAACAGGAACGGGCGCCTCGCCCTTCTTCCTCGTCTTTTTATACTTGATCTCCTGCCCTGACCAGTCCAGCTGGTTAAGCCATGGGTCTGTCGTGTAGACCTCTGGCTTCTCTTTGACTGCTAGTGCTGCCTCCGACAGCTGGATTAACCTGTCTTCGACATCCTTCAGCCTTTGCTGATATGTGCCCTCGGCTCTTTTTAAATACTGATCCCACGACTCATCAACGGGCAGGATGACAGACGAGAGATGTCTCAAGGCACCAAAGCTGACTGGATGAGGGCATGTCTCCAGAAAATTCGGAAACACTTTCTGGAAGACTCTGTGGGTGATGGCCACGTCTGCGGCACAATAGTCGAGCAGCTCGTCGATTCTTTCGCGGATACCGTCACGATCGAGCTCGCCAAAAAAGTCTCGTTGGCTCTTGTCGATGGTCACGCCGCAATGGAATTTTGCGACATCACGGAGAGAGTTGATGGAACTTCTCCCCACCCACAATTCCTCCTCTTCCTCGCTCAACATCTTGTTCTCCAGCATTCTTTGTAGTTCGAGGGAGTTGTGATCGCCGGCCATCTTGTCCCTGAGATCTCTATTCTTCTTGTGTTTCATCCACGTCGGCCTCTGTCTCGAGCACATTCCGTTCACAGCGACATGTAACGACATTGTGTCGATGAAGAAATTCTTCGACTGCTTTAGGTCGTACTCTTCCTTGACTCTTGCTCGATCATAGCCAATATTGTGCCCGACTACAATCCGCGGTTTCGTCGGGTCGCCCAAAGGTATCAGTTGCCGGGGGTTGTCTGATTCTCCGAGAAGATAGGGCGATATCCATGCGTACCACGCAGACGGGCTCGCGGCCGTTGCCATGACCGCGAAGGGTGTTTCCTTCCACATTGTTTCGACATCGAATGACAACATGGTCTCGTCCGGCGCATCCACCTCTTCGGTCGTCATGTCCGAGTTGTACTTTGTCCAACCACTTCTGATAACCCATCTTCGCGGTCTTTCGGGTGTGTTGGCCCTCACAAAGGCTTTACCGTAGGACAGATATGGTTCCGAAGCGTCCATACCCAACCTGGTAAAATGCTCGTCCAGCGAGGTCCCGAAGATGGGAGGAGTGTCCAATCCGATGGACGGCGCATTATCTTGGTTCTTTCCCAGCAACTCATGGCGTCGCAAATGGTCTTTGGACAACTCGACGAGATCCGCTCGTGGTCGCGTGGCACCTGCGGGAAAGACTTGAGGATGTACATAGTCGCTCAACTGCTGTACTCCGATGTCATTGTATCTGGGGTGCGACGGGCGCGCGAGGGTGTTGTTTTTGTCGCTGGCAGCAGAGGGGCTGGTATCGACAACGTCACTCGCATAGTATCGTCGGAGGATGGCGGCCGCTCGAAGTGCATACGGCTGTCGTAGTCTGAACTTCTGGGAGGTTCTGATATAGCCTCGCGCGCACTGCGCAGGCGCAGGAGGCCACAACATCTATGCGACCGTCGTTTGGGCTGAGATGGTCATTGTGAAGGCCACGGTGGTGACAGATAAGAGACACAACTCTTTGACGTCTTGGGGGGTTCGAAGTAGTCAGTCAGGAGAGGCAAAATCCAATAGTCGCACTTCATAATCTTATCTTATCTAAGATCCGATGTTTAACCAAGGCGATTTCACCAAAGCATGTCGTAGACTATGGCCGCTGATACCTTTTGCATTGAAAGCAATTATCCAACCTCGAGGTTTGTCGATACAGATCGAACTTGAAATACTATTGCTGCAGGATACAGTCATTACGCTGTATTCGCAATAGGTTTTTCAATTTCGAGGACTCCGCTCGAGTAAATCGAATAACAATGTCATTCAACTCCAAAAACCTACACTACGACAAACAAGAGCCATCCTTTCTCCGTAAACTGAAAGGACAATACGCTGGGTTGGACGGAAGATCGAATGTTCAAATAGCCAGACCCAAGAAAGACCGTCTGAAAACCGGAGACGGGGATGAAGACGATCCACTCATCGTGGACGAGTCAGGCGAAACGGTAGAAAAGGCCGAATTCGAGAGGAGACAGAGGGAAGGCGACGATCCCGAACTTGAACGGCAGCCAAATACGGAGAATGGCGACGACAATGGTCAAGATGGAAAACAGGAACAGCAACATCAAAACGAGAGACAAAAAGTCACGGAAATCGGATCGTCCGCCAACGCCAAGAAGAGGAAAGTCGGAAAGGTGGTGACGAGTGATGAGGTTGACGACCGAGGAGAAGTGAATGTAGATGGTCAGTCGATTGTGAAGAAGTCACAGAGATCAAGGCTGGAAGACCCGGATGACGCCGAAGCCAAATCACCAAAGAAGAAGGATCAGGTCAAGAAAAAGGGCAAGAAGATTAAATTGTCGTTTGATGACGCGGATGGTTGAGTATAATCCGAACTGGTCATCACGAACACGAAGGCATCGATCTTTTGAGGTTCAGGATTTGCGACCCGCTCAAGACACATGGAGCTATGAGATAAGCCATTTCAGTCATCGCCCCAGAACAGGATCGTTGCGATCAAGCAGAATGAAGCTTCGACGACAGAAAGAGTTCATGACAGGCTCAGTCACACCGACCAGTTGCCATGGTATCATGGCGGAGTCGAAGGTATGATGATTCTAAGGCCTTATGTCGTAGAACATCATCCCGACCGACGCACAGCTACGAGAAACGCGACATCTTCGACATGTATACTACAGACTTGCAGCAGGTGTCGTATTTACTATGCAATGTACACTGAGGACGTCTCGCTGAGAACCAAGGATGAGACGAGTCTCACGATATGATGTATTGATAGGGAGGATCTTTCACGGCATGTCTGCTTCATGTCTTCATTTTATTCAATTCTTTGCAGGTATCGTATCAACGTCATTTGGCTACCTCGTCACACCCAACATGGTCTAATTCGATTTCAAAGTCTTTTGTTTCTCTGCGTCTCTCCCACCGCGTGCCGCTCTCACAAGCAGACCCTTTCGTCGTCTCACGCCATCCACATACTTCTTCGCCACGTTCTCTCTCTCACCGTGGACGCCCAGGTCCTCCAATTCCTCCTCACTCCTTGGTACCCAAAAGGGGTCGACGTCGTCGATCATCTCAAATCCAATGAACTGAAGCATAGGCTGTGCCAGACCGGATGTTCGTTTTCTTATCTCTTCGCTGAAGCCGAAACTCTCTGCGACGGGTAGCGTCGCCTCGATTGTAAAGTACGGTGTGCCTTCCAACAACGACTCGCTCAGGATCGAACCCCTTCGCCGAGTTAGTACACTGTACACCTTGCCCAAGACCTCTGGAGTCGCTTGGATAGTGCAAGAGTACATGGCAAGCAATATCCGAGGCGACCAGTCGAGAAAACCTGAACGGATACTCTCTCGCACACTGGTGATGAGTTCTCCTGTTAACCGTCCAGATTCAGTGCTCGCATCGGCATCGTCGGCCGGCTGGTGGATTATTTCTTCCAAGAAAACCGCGACGCCTTGTGTAGGCTCTCGACACAGTGGTCCCTGGGCGGTTGCAAGCTGGAATGCATATGCAATCGTGTCTGAAAAGTCGTGCGTCGCTTTCGTCATAACGTTACTTGCTTCATCATCGTCGTGTCCGTTTGTTACATTCTCGCCATTTCCCTTCGCTTCATCCAATTCTAGCAGGAATCTTTTGCAGGTATTTGTTCCCGTAGCGTCGATGAGTAGATTCGGCCCTACTCTCCGCGGCCCAAAGGCACATATTCGTGAGATGACTTTCGTCCAGGCTTCCCTGTCCTCCTTTAAATCATCAAATACATCTTGTAATTGCTTTCTGAATTCTTGCAGTGACAAGGTACTTCGCTCATTGCCCATCTCGTTGCCAAGGTCTACTACTTCCTCTTTTTCCACCTCGACACCATCCTCTAGAGCCTGCTTTTCAGCATACAGCCGTCGGAGAGATGGCCCATGCTTGATCAAGAACTCGGTAACGGTTTGAGGAAGCGGTCGTACTCTCAACCTCACAGTCACTGTCTTTGAAGCTGTCACAGCAAGTGCTGTACCTCTTGGATCTTTCGTCTTGGGTGCCTCCATCTCCTCCGCCTTCACGATAGTCTCGCGATACGGCACAATTGGTTCGCCTGGTTGGATGTCACATCTTGCAAACCGCTCTCGAAGATCTTTCAGACATCGTTCCAGGTGAAGTTCGCCAGCTGTTAGAATGACATGTTCACCACTCTCCATCTGCTCGTATACGGCGCATGGATCGCTCTTTTCCAAAAGCTTCAGGCCTTGTATCATCTTGTTCAGATCCATTGGGTTTGTCGGCTCGAGGGCGACACGAACGATAGGCTGGCTTAGAGTCGACACTCCCGCGAGATTGACACCGCCTTCGATCTGGGAACATAACGTACCAGTTTTGAGGATGTGTCCTTCTAAGCCTTCAATGCCGAATACGACACCGGCAGGAACCTTCTCCAACGGCTCTAGCGACCGACCCATTAGAAGATACAGAGCTGTGATAGGCACTTTCTTCGGCTCAGGCGATGCGTGTGGGAATGCAGGGTTGAATTTCGGCGGCAAAACATAAACCTCGTCCCCGACTGATAATGAGCCTGAGAACAACCGCGCGAACCCAATCAGATGCTCTGGGTCTTCAGGTTGCTCGGGCGTCACGTCATCTTCGACCTCTTCACCTATCCTGGTATTTCTTATACCATTGGTAATTCCATCCATGTCACTGCTACCTTCAGCTTCGGCCTGTGCCTTGGCGATTTCTGCACGCTTGCGTCTAGCAAGCTCTCTTGCTTCGTCTGCTGTGAGTGCTGCCCCAAGTTTCCTCCTCTTCGAGGGTAGTTCACTCTCCGGAATCGCTACCATCTTGCTGACATATGCCACCACGGGTGCCGCTGCCTCGGTGTTGAAACCAACCATCGACTCTTTGACCTTATCGTCGATATACCTCGTACTGACCAAGTCTTCGATCAACTCCGGCATTCTTGTTGCCTGAGCACTGGGTGGACTGGGCAAGTATTCGATCACCGAGACGAGTAGGGCCGTCGACAACGGCAGCCATGACGCAAACACAGCTTGCAGTATGGTCTTGGGATCTCGAGACTTCGCAATATGTGGTGGTAGTTTAATCGACAGTGACTTTGTGATCTTCTCCAGTAGCGCAAGATCCCCACGCTCACCACTGACGCCCACCGTTGCATTGTAGACTTGCCAAATCGGATCGAGCACGAGCTGAACAAATATAGGTTTAAGGTTCCTTCCCTTCAAGTGTTTCTGGCCCAATACCTTCTTTGTTTTGGGATCCAGGTAGAAGTCCCCCCAGAGTACCTTCTCTAGTACCGACCTCTTGATGCCCAGTTTCTTTTCGTAGATACTAGCGAACTGACGGACCGTAAATGCCCATCCATCAATGGCGCTCGCAAAAATGACATTGTTCTTCTCCGGCGCAAAGTACAAGTCTTCATCGTCTCGTTCTTCGAATTGTTGATCTAGATCAGATTCGGTCGTGGTCTCGCTTAACGCATCCTGCTTCTGCTGCTCTTTCGCAGCACGTTTCTGGTCCAACTTCTCTCTCCACAACAGATCCTCTTCCATTCTCTCGCCGGCAAAGAAGCCGCCAATAACAGCGTTCACGCCTTCAAGAACCCTTTCCAGGTGTGAGTAGGCTTCGGCCGGACTCATTTTCAACTCCGTAACCAGTCTATCGATCTTGTTTATGACCAGGAGTGGCTTGAGTTTCTCAATCCATACCTGTCGTAGCACCGTCACAGTCTGGGAACATACTCCCTCCACCGCATCCACGAGCACAACCGCAGCATCGCACAGTCTTGAGGCAGTAGACACTTCGGAGGAAAAATCGATATGTCCAGGACTGTCGATCAGATTGATCAAGTATTCCTCCTTCTTCGGCGAGTCGTTCTCCTGCGCTCGGCGCATCATGCTAAAATATAAACTGATTGCGCTGCTCTCCATAGTGATACCACGGATTTGCTCGTCCGGCCTCGAGTCCAGATAGCGGACTTTTCCCGCCATCTTGGGCGATATGATGCCATTAGTGGCGATGAGGGAGTCGGTCAGTGAGGTCTTGCCGTGGTCAACATGGGCTAGGATACAAATGTTTCTTATATTTTGGGAGTTGGATTGCAGGGAAATGAGTTGGGAGGGTGGTATTGCTGGCATGGTGAGGGCTATAATTGAGGAACCATGAAAACGAAAGACTTGTGGCAGCGGCAGTAATGAGTGCTGTCGGCCGCCTAGTATGTATCCGTGTTGGGATAACGCTCACGAGGATCAACGGGTGTATATGGTTGTACAAATCCAGGACTTGCGGTGCTTTGATCATTCGTGAAATACTTCGATTCTTATGACGCACTTTTTCAAGTCTCCAAATGTTTTTCTCCACAACTTTGTTTTACAGAGTCGGAAAGAGAAATGCCCAATATGGCATCTGGAACATTTTCAGAATTCATCTAAGGATGAATATTCGTATCTACTCATCAGTGGTATCTGGAGTTACAGATAAGCCCAGTCAGGCCCGCTTAATGTGACTCATACATGTTCTGGGAGGTCAGATTCACCTACGCGTTTTATCTATGTGATGCAGCCACAATGCTTAGTCCGTCGGGTGGACGACATTTACAATGATCCTGGAATTCTGGCGGGAACGAGGGTTGACCAGCTAACATGAACGCAAGTCATCATTCCTATGATCATAAAGCTGGCAAGGACGCTTCGTGCGGGCTAAGTCCAACAGAACAGCGGGACAAAATTTGACAGCATCAACGGGAGACTCCCCATTTCGCCTTGTATATTTATGCGGATTTCCCTTTTCCTTTCATGACCTTCCTCCTCTGCCTCATCATGTGCGTGTACAAGATATAACTTCCCGGTACATATACTCCCAGCACGGCCTTCAGCAACCAATCTACGTTCTTCCCTTGTTTCTGCGCCGGCGTGAGGGCGAGATACATGAGCAAGCACTCGCTCGTGATGCCGATCGGGTACAGCACGAAGAAGGTGTTGTATCTCAACCACGTCAGGGCAGCAGGGACTCTCTCGCTGACGGCTGCTTTCCACACGAAGAACCCGTAACGAATAATTTCTGTGATCCCCCATGCTGTAATGATCCCTGCAAACGCGATCGGACCCGTAGTCGAACCCGGTGCAGAGCGGCCGTATATATTGGTAGTAAGAACGATTTGGGGGAACATCTCAAGCACGACCCAAACGACCAAGATGCGCGAAGCAACCTGCATTGCCGTCGTCAACGGGCTGGCGCGGACAAGACCAACCAGAGCATGGACGATCTCTAACAGGGCGATTGTCTGGGTCCATTTCAACAGCGGAAACAGCGCATCGAAGAGGTTCTCGAGTTTGCCGAACGTGAGGAGCGTTGGAATGAGAAGGGCGGCCCGTAACGTCACGGTAGACCAGAGGACGAGGCAGAGTGCGTTGTACACTATTAGGTATTGCGAGGTCAGGCTGGGTTCAGAGGCGCGAGAAGGTGGGCGACGTTGGGCAGGTGGCCGGCGTTCGCCTGGTGGACGAGATTGATTAATGTTGTTGTCCATGCTTGAATGTAGAAGTGACAGCCAGAAGATGGTAAGAATCAGGGCCGGATCTTAGAGCATCCTAGAAGACAGACTGGCAGAAGAGAACCACAATTCAAGGTGTTTGGGTACGGGCAAAGGTATGAGTGCGGCACTCCGTAGATTTACTCCGTAAAGTGTTGAGAATAAATTCAATTTAAAGCGGCGTCTCGATCAGTGTCAACACCTAAAAATACGGAGTCTACTATGGAGACATTGTAAATGTACATATCATTAAGTCAACTAAGTTGAGATTGGGAGGTCGATGTATGCATAGGTTTGTCTATTACCTTTTGCTATTAACACATCTATTATCGGCGAATTTTGTTGGGTTGCTTATGCGTATACGCAAAAGAGGCCCATTAGCTTGAGTAGAGTTTCAATACCTCACAGGCCAGCTCCCTCAGTAAATATCATACAGTTGTCTCCGAAATACTGGTGGGCTGGGAAGCCGAACCGAGTATGTCAATTGACGTTGGCCATAGCATGGCATCGCCATGGCAGGCACACACCCAAGTATACGATTGGTGCACATTGTCGGCCTGCTCGCAAACCAGATCGTAAAATGATGACTTGAGCCAACATATGATGGCATCAAGTATTGCACTTTTCCGACTTCAATTCAGCTTCATCATCCAGTCGAAATGATGTCGCTGGCGTGTAATGGTGTCTGTTCAGATCTGTCCCCTCGGCAGTCGATAGAGACAAAGTCTCGCGTCTGTTCAGATATGTTCTGGTATCAACAGTTTTGTGTCCTGAAGACCATAACTTTGTCGGTATGCTTGTAGCATATGGCTGGTTTTGACACCTTGCTTTTCGGATGTGGTCAAGGAGTAATGATCTCTCATGTCGAGGATTCAGCCTCCTCATCTCTTGGGGCTTCCTTGTTATCGGCTTTTGGTTTCTTTACGCTCTTCCATTCCATCCAGATGCCGCCCATCAGCGCTGCCAATGCAAATGCCAGTCCAACATAGAAGACAATCACGAGTGAGTGGTTATAGACCTTGAGAACCATCGGTAGTTGTTGGGCTGTGAAGACTTTGCGTAGGCTAGTCGCGCCAGTACTTGCAACATCTTGGGGTCGAATACCATTGACGCCCTTCAATCCTGATATCAATTTGTTGTCGAGGATGTTTTGGCCCATTGCAACGGAAATGGTACCTCCAAGACCTTGTCCAAAGAACACGACAGAAACTCCGGTCGGAGCGTCCTTCTTGTCCAAAACAGCCTGAGCGGCAATGTTGGTCTGCTGAAGACCTAGGCCGACACCAAAGCCGTACAGGACCTGAACACCAATCCACATGGGGTGCAATGTGTTTATATCAAAAAGAGTAAACAGTCCAGCACCAATGGGTGTCAAGATACCGCCGGCAATGATGGATGGCATATAATAACCAATCCGGCTGACGAAAACTCCGGAAATGATGGATGCTATGACCAGCGCCAGGATGAATGGAAGAGTGGAAATACCAGCTCTGATGGCAGAGTCGCCCTTGATGGCCTGAAACCAGATGCTCAAATAGTAGACGATGAGCATAAACGAGGCACCCAGGCAGAAGGCGTAGAACATGCCCGCAGCAATCGTTCTCTTCATCATGATGCGTGGTGGTACGGTTGCTGACTCTTGCCGCCAGATTTGAATGGCAATGAACACCATGAGTAAGACGCCGAACAGGACAAACAGGGCAATGATGCGGCCATCACTCCATGCATACTGTTGTCCGCCCCATTGTAGCGCCAGAAGAAGACATACCATACAGGGGATGAAGATGAGAGTGCCGGGAATATCGACCCGCTGGAGCTTCTCCTTGAACGGGAGGTCGCCGAGGGCCGGCTTGGTGTTGTCAATAGCGAAGAACAGAAAGACCAAGACCAAGGCACCGATTGGCAGATTGATGTAGAAGCACCATCTCCAGGTGACACTGGTGGTGAAGACACCTCCCAACAGTGGTCCTGCCACGGAGGCTACACCAAAAACCGCACCAAGCAAGCCCATGTAAGTGGGACGTTTTTCCAGAGGAGCTGCGTACATCATCAAGATCATGGCTCCGTTGAACAAACCCCCAGCACCGAGTCCTGCCACAGCTCGTCCCCAGATGAAGCCGATCGAGTTCGGTGCGGCACCGCAGACAGCCGAACCAATTTCGAAGACGCCGACCAGGCTCATAAAAATCCACTTTGGCGAGTAGAATGTGTATAGACGTCCGAAGAAGAGTTGGAGAGCAGTAGTGGGCAGCAAAAACCCAGCATTGTACTGTCAGGAATTGTCAGTGGCGTGTTGCCAATTACCACCAGAGAGAGCAATCATACCCAGCCAATATCACCAAAACTGTTGAATTCATCGGTAATTCTTGGGAGTGCCGTGGCAATGATAGTCCGATCCAGCGCCACGAGAAATACGGATAGATAAATGCTCAGGAGGACCGACACCAATTTCAGACCTTGTGGATAGACATCGGCCTGGCTGGTGACTCTTTCGAGAGCGGCAGCCTCGTCCTCCTGGGGCCTATCTGACGCCAACGATTGAGAACGCACGGGGTCCTGGGCGGTCTTCTCGTCGACGACTGGTTGTGTTGGACTGTCCTCAGCAGCCATGGTGTTGTGAGAGTGCCGTGACGGAGAGGACGAGTAATGGGGATATGACGATCAACGGCTACTTGTCAAGAGAGCGAGGCAAAGCAAGGCAAGGCACAAGGAAGACGAGGTAAGGAGAGAACAGAAGGTAAGGCGTAGTCGTAGGCGAGCACGAACAGGAGGACAACAACAACAACATCAATAAAGAATGCTGGCTGGGTGTGAAGTCTTTTTCATATCTTTTCTCCTGGAAATGTCTAGGTGGTCTATTGCGCGATGACTCGTATCCATTCACTCACGTTTTGCCCCATGGCGGACTGTAACAGTCATTTCGGGCCCGTCAAAGTCCAGGGTACAGCATCCCGTTCGACCTTTTGTTTCTTCTTCTACCTAAGAAAATCTAAGCTTCTGGAGAAAGAGTGGAAAAGAGTGGGACGGGCGACCCGGCGAAATTTGCTTCCGATCGGAATTAACATCTTCTTAACCGCGCCAATCAATCTTGCCGCATTAAAACCGTCGACTCATCGATCCATCATTGTGCGGATAACAGTGCAGTACGGAGTATGTCGTGGGCGTATTCGTATTCGTTTTCGCATTTGACCTCATCATTGACGACCGGCAATTTTATACTAGCGGCTCTGACGCGCCGGCAGACACGATGGTCTAATCAAAATACCATCTCCAGGGAGCACGAGGGCAGTATGAATAGACAACAGAGAATACTAGTAGCACTCAAATGTGGTTTAGTGGCAGGCGGGGGAAAGTGGTAGATTTTCCCTGCATTTTATTCCTGTACTGTACCGTACTCGGTGCTCGTACTCGTACCGTGGATTCTTATCCTCGATAACGCTAGAATAATTTTTTTGAAAGTCGCGGTTTTGCAGTTTTACATTCAACAGTCAACATCCACATACAACTTTTGTACACAGATTTTCACCCGTTGCCTTTCCTTATATTCCTCTCCCTCCAAACAAAAACCTATCCTCCCAGTTCTCAATAGATCAAAATGCCTCCCTCTAAACGCAATCGCATCGTCCACACCTCCAAAACCCACAAGAACCGTAAAGAACTCGTCAGGAGACTGGCTGCAAATGTGCAAGAGGCCGCTGAGCAGTACAACTACATTTGGGTATTCGGTGTCGAGAACATGAGAAATAACTTTCTCAAGCAAGTTAGATCAGACCTCAGCGATTCGAGGATAATGATGGGCAAGACAAAAGTCATGATGGTAGGACTGGGCCAGACCGCCGAAACCGAGTGTGTACCTGGTGTCAGTGCTTTGGGACGTTATGTCAAGGGCGAGATGGGGCTGCTCTTTACAAATCAAGAACCGTCAGAAATCGAACAATATTTCCAAGGGACGCTCAACTTGGACTATGCTAGAAGTGGAACAGCCGCAACGCAGGAGGTCAGAATACCTCCAGGAGAGCTTCATACCATGTACGGTGTACCAGGCGGGGAGGAAGATCCACTGCCCATTCAAATCGAGCCTACCCTTCGCAAACTTGGAATACCCACACGCATACTGAAAGGAAAGGTGGTGCTGGAGGAGAGACCTGATGGGGCTATGGTGGACGACGATGAAGGCTATTTGGTGTGTAGGGAGGGAGACACACTGGACTCCAGACAAACAAACATACTCAAAATTCTAGGTGTCCGCATGTCAGAGTTCAAGATTGACCTGAAAGCTGTCTTTGACAAGAATGAGGGTGCAGTACGGGAAATCAATGGCATGGACATTGACGGAACTGCTGTTTGAGAACTTCCTTATCATGTTCAACTTCACGAATGACGAATCATGCGAGCTGTGTACTCATCCGGCTTCACATACTACCATCAGTGACAAAGCCGACCTAGACCTCTCTCTGGAAGGGCGCTGCTCAGACGTTTGTTCAAGGCTTGTGGAGCATCAATCTCGGAGGTGATCCTGCCTGAATCTTCGGACTTCGAAATTTCCAAAACCTTCCGTGCGTGCATTATGCCGGTGCCGCATTCTTGCTGTTTGCGGCAAGGGTGGCTCAAGAAGAGCATTTTAGAAGCAAGTCTGTGGGTTCTTTATGATGCGGCCCAAAGACGTCTACGCTATATCGAGGTGTCAATTTACATTCACCAATCTCAGGGTGTTTGTCCCATATCAATATGAGTCGAGGAACCAATGTGATTGGGTGCAACACACCCCGCGACTCCTTACCAATAATATGCAGCATCAGTAGCTAAGCGAGATACATTCGGGCATCGAGACATCTCACAGCCTCAGCACAGGCTAACCACGCCCTTGACCAAAAGTTCTCCTCAAAAAGTCCCTTCTGTTTCTCAAGCTAAAGAAGCCTCTTCGCCATCAAAATTCTTTTCTATCTTTTCTGAAACCGTATGCTCTTCTATCATCAGTTCTTCCCCATTCGCGGCCGTCTGACAAAGTGATAATGAGGCTGATCAATTTCCGGACGCTTCAGCTGGAATGGTTTGCCGACGATAGCATCCCCGAGTGCGTCATCCTGTCACATCGATGTGAGACGGAAGAAGTTACCTTCGAAGACACGCGAGATCTTTCTCAAGCTCGTCGAAAGAAAGGCTTTGCGAAACTCCAATAACCAGCGCGGATAGCAATTGCAAATTACAGACTAGAATACATCTGGGTCGATACATGTTGCATTAACAAGGACAGTAGCGCAGAGCTTTCTGAAGCCATTAATGCCACGTATACATGGTATGAAAGATCACTGGTGTGTCTGGCCTACCTTTCCGACGTGCCTGGAAGGGAGCCTCCAACGGCAAGTTCAAAATTCGGGAAAAGCCTATGGTTTACCCGCGGATGGACGTTACAGGAATTGATTGCACCTCGAAAAGTTGAGTTCTACGCCTCTGACTGGAGTTCCTGCGGCACAAAACGGGACCTGAACGAAGCCATTACCGATATCACGTCCATTCCGGCCTTCGTTGTGAAACGTGGCCTCTATTTCGAATCTTATTTTGTCGCGGAGAGAATGTCGTGGGCATCAGACCGAAAAAAACCCGGGTCGAAGACACAGCTTACTGCTTGCTTGGGATTTTCGATGTCAACATGCCTATGATATACGGAGAGGGTAGAAAAGCATTTCTAAGGCTACAAGAAGAGATAATCAAACGCTCCTGCGACTAAACAATCTTTCTTTGGAATATGTCTCCGGGCATGTCAGGTTTATTGGCCGACTCACCTGCGCCCTTCGCGCATTGTAGCCTCTTGAAATCTTTACCCATAGAATCATTTGTCGATAACACAAAAGCACAGCCTTATGCACTCACCGACATGGGATTGGAAATCCAAATACCTCTGATTATCTGGTCTCTGGATACCTATATTGGACTACTCCGATGTTTTGTCAATGGAAAAACTGATACCATCGGAACATTCTTGTCATACAGAGACGGACGATATTTCAGAATAGTTTGCAAAGATGCCAGTAGGATTCGTGTTTCCTTGTTCGAACAAGACGCATTTCACCGGAATGGCTCAGTAATATACGGCAGAAATGTGTTGATCAGTCATGGTGGTATTCATGAAGTAAAACCTCTCTACGGATTCCGCCTCATGTTAGACTGCAACAAATTTGGTCGGAATGATCTTGGGGCAATCGACATATTAGCACATCACTGGGAACCGGAGTCTGGGGAGGTTTCCATTGAACCGGGTACGATAGGAACCGTCGCAGTTGTATTCTTCAACAGCATCGTGTCGCCTTTGGACTCAAGGAAGACCGCGTTCTTCCAGCTTGCGTTTGATGGCCATTTCAATCCGTGTTGTTTGGTTGGCTACTGCTATAGGCGAGCTTTGTCAACGTTGAACCCAGAGCGATGCGACATGCTGCAAGCGTGTTTTCTTCCCCAGTCGGCTCCAAAAGAGCAATTCCCCAAAGCCTCTTGGGCGCAAGAAGACAGCGGATGGTTGGAAGCAAGCAACTGGTGGACTACGAAGACCACCAACCATCCAACTGGGGGTTGTGCCATGTTCATAAATGATGGCAATAGATGGCTACTGCAAGGAAAGGGGTAGGTGTGAGACTATTATCCCTAGAATCGCTATTGGGTTCGAAAAATCAAGGGACTATGAGGAATGGGGCTGGACCTTCTATTTGCTCACAGAGGCATAGTCCGAGTGTTCCTCCTGCCGGATCCAGCAAGCATTCTGAGGCTTCCAGCTGAATTGAGTACCGACATGTCTACCGCAATGTCCGAACAAGATTCGGCTCGGTGCCACCATTCAACAGCGCATCTCACCATCATACCCTCCCCATAGACACACTCCGACGTTGAAAACCAACTGCTTAAGAAGCTTCAATGTGTGTCGAACCATAATGGGACCAATGATGGATTAAAACGAATGATTTATATAGCCAGGGTTTGTATTGTTTCCGTAGCTAGCTAACTTGGCCAGTTAGGCCGTCATAGAACTGGTCTCTCAAAAAGCCCTCCGACCATCATCGACAATTTTGATCTTCTAATCAAAGTGGACGCCATTGAGGTCGACGTGTGATTCATGAGTTGGTACCCAAAAATGCAGCCTTGCCGTACTATTAACTATCTGCCTCGCTTTGGGCAGTGCTTGAGAGCACGCATATGCCATTATCTGGGCAAGACGAGGGCCGAAGAGTGCCCAGGAAGGCTGACTTGACGACCATTCCGACCAAACCTCATTCAGACACGGAAGAACGGGACCATTTGCTGTTTTCCTTTTGGGCCAAATCGCTCCTGCAGGAATCCTTGTCTACACCAGCCAATCGTGCCTGCTGTGAAGCGCCTCATATGTGTGTGCAGAAGGCAACCTCACATTCCAGCTAATCCATGTTGGGACCTCAAGAGTTGCCTTGAAATCATCAGATTCAGCCTCACCGACCTCAAAACAATCTCAGGCGCTTGTGCATTTTTCCCTCTATATCAACCGGATGTGATGTTGGATCGTTGAACTTGACGCTGTATTCTGTTTCTCTTTGAATACTCTGACTCCCTTCGCCTCACCAAGTCAAAGAACTCTGACCGAAAGCACACAACTATGTCGAAGCCTGATCCCTTCTCTCCAGATCTATCAATTCATCCGCGGGCTTCCCCTGGACGAGGCGGTGAAAGTGTCAGAAGGTCTTCCCAGAAGAAATGCAGTGTTTTGGTGGACAATCTAGCGCCTGAGATCGAACAGCATCACCTCGAAGCGTTCATGATGCAAGGTCTGTTTCAAGCGATATTACATCCTGACAGTTTGAATTTAATATTGAGATTGCAACAGCCGGACAGGTTATTTTTGCTAGCATTCAAATTCTTCCAAATGACACGGCGAAGGTGGGCGCAATTCGGCTGGTTTCTTTGTCTCGATGGTCTTCCGATTTTCTTTTGCTCATATTGAGTGCTTTCTTGCTGACAAAGGCCTGGCTTGTGAGGCTGTCGAGGGATATGCGTACGCGTGAGTTCTTTTCGCTCACCTCTCCTGTGTATCTCTTATCCCAGGTATCTGTTCTGACTCACAGTAGCATTGTCGAATACGCAACGAAGGAACAAGCTCAACATGCTAGTCGGATGCTCGACCATCGAATGCTTATGGGCCATCATGTGGCCGTTCTACAGGTACGAAAGCTCGCAGAAGCCGATGATGCAGTCCAAGTAGCTCTAACTCAGCCTTTCAGTGGTCCCGACCAGAAAGTCGTAGGGAAACTGAAAATCTGTCTGGCCCCAAACCGTTCACTGATTTCGCATGTGGTGGAGGTGAGAGAAGCAAAACAATTTACGTGGGAAATGTAAGTCTTGACCAAGTTCTTGATTTGTTTGTTCATACTTACTGTAGCCAGCTTCCCTTGATGCCTCGCGTGCCTAGCATTCAACATCTACTTGCCTTATTCAGCACGGTTGGCAGGATCGAACGTGCAGAATATCAGTACGCTGGCGGGGTTGTGATCCAATTTGACACGGCGGAGACAGCTGATGCTGCGATATGTATGACTATGCCATGATCTTGTTCGGAATCTATGTTGACATGTGGCAGCTGAGTTCAATGATCGCTACACCCTCGATGTTTCCTACGTCATGTATCTCAACAATGCACGAGCATCCATCTGGCAAAAACTGGAAACGGTCTCCCTCTCTCTGAAAGGGATGACAGCTCTCGAGGTCCCAGAGCCTTTCCCGATTGGTCGATATGGATGGGCCCTTTTCCAGTGGGAGGTCCCTCAACTTTCTCAAAGAGGTAACGATCCAATGAGCTTCATACCGAAAGATACTACGGACACATTAAAAGCTGATCCGCTTTGCGATTCTCTCGTCTTGTCGGGATCACTCAATGTTTATGAGGCTTCAACAACTAGCAGTCACATGAAGAAACATTGGGGTCCGCTTGGAACAGCAGTACTTGACGCCGTCAGAAGCACGTTACTCCAGTTAGGAGAAGTCAAAGGTAACGAGTCTATCTCTCGAGTGATTGTTCCAGGGACACTAACCTGCTTACTGTCAAGTTTGCCCAAGCATCAATAGACGGTTCTTGATGTGTGGGTTTAATTCTCGTCTGATTGTGCATTTTGGGGATCCCTGGATGAATATACAGCTGCAAGATATGGCAATCGAGGCACTCGCCTGGCTCTGCCGGGCATTACGACCGTGCCCGAATCAGACAAGCTCTGCTCTATTCATGTCTCAAGCAAGGCAGATTAGAACAGCTTCGGCTCTTGGCTTCCGATTGCAACCTCTTTCCCCCTGGAATACAGACGTGCAGCAGAACAAGTCCGCATGCTGGATGGCCCTTTTTACAAATTGCATCGTGGCAGAACAACAGCTTTCCCGTGTCTGGGGAGAAGGTCTTGAGATCTCGTTTGACATGATGCTCCAAGTCAGTGGTGTAGAGAACTTTGTCTGGCTGAACGATCATCAAGATGGTAAGGCTGTGAGCACACGAAGCGGCGGTTACATAGCAGTCGGCTTTTTTACCGCGTTGATCCCTATCAGTCGACATCCGGGGACACAAGACCGTGCGCCGGGTATACAATGGCACTTGGAATTCACCGAGGACGAACCAATAAGTCTCGCAACTCTATCCACAAAAAGGATTCCGCGGCTGCCGCTCAACAACCTACAAGATTTGCCTCAGTGCCAATGCTATTTGGGCTGGTGTGACGATGCAGACATATTGCTTGGGACCGCACAGATGCCCAACACCTTGTCTTGGTCTGGACTTCCCCAGAGAAGCAGGTCGCTTCGTGCCTCAGGATGGAATTTGACTGGACAGCTGGGAGGAAACTTGGGCCCAGTGCAAGCAATCGGGCAAGTAACTCGCACTTGGCAGTTGGAAAATGTGCGCCAGAGATTCGAGCCTCAAAACACGTACGCCAAAGCCCTCCAAATCAACTCACGGCAAGTTGCACTGATTTTTGACGTCACTGCGAAGAGAGCCTGGTTGGTGCCGAAGCTCAGCCTCATGCTGCACTTGTGCCATACCTTTGTGCGACATTTCAAGGACGAAGGAATGGGGAGCATCGATCGGGTGCCTTTTGCCGAGCCCTCGAACGATGGTGCCCTTGCTGCCAAAGAAGCATTGTCAGGCCACGGTGACATCCTTGTCTTCAGTCACGGCTCCACTCCTCATGATCAAATTCGGCTTCGGAACATCCTTGTCGACATCAGCAGCAATATGTCTCAATCTCTCGCCGCAGGAGAAAGGCCACGCTTCCTGCGTGCTCTTAGTCCTGAGCTGATGGATATGATTGCCGAGCCAGGCAGCGGATCGCTCTTGGCGGAGGTACCGACCAAATACTTCCCATCATCGAGTTCGAACAGCTTCCCGCAGCTCGCAGATTCGGTGTACGTATGCTCAGACCTCGGAACTGCAATTCGCCCAAGCGCTGCTTCCGGTCAAGTTTCCTGCGGTTGTATGAACCTCGAGCGTGACAAAGGCTACGTTGCAGTGCACCTTCGGTGTTTAGAAGCTCTTCTCCAGCGGCGAAACAAGTCTCTTTTACGTTGGCCGAGCTGGGGCTTGCCACTTGGTGATGGCCGCCAATGGTGTCCTGATCCATATGTTCCGTGTTCTCATCAAGGCAATGTCTCGTACTGGGCTAAGCCTCGGAACTTCGTGCAAACCACCTCAAGGTCGAGATATATGTTACATCGTAGTCTTCCAATGCACGAAGTTCCCGTTATTACGGGTGCCAGGGTGTTTGGTGGAGTTGAGAGCATATGGGACAGGGTCCGCTCGATCTGGCGAAGGGAAGAATCGAGAGAGCCGGAGGGACGCTCTGAGGCCTTGAGGGTAAACTGATCTCACCATCATCGGAATGGGAAAGTACAAGACATGGAACAGGGAAGCAGGCTGATAAATTTATTGTTTTTGTGTTTTTGTAGCCAGCTGATGTCTGATCTGACCGGATGTTACAGAATGACCATGGTAATGGCTCACTTGGAAGCTCCTTTGGAACCTTGTCAATATTCGTAGATTGAACAGCCGGACTGAGCCGTCATAGGTCTGAACCCGTGATACAGCACATACCTTGAGACAAAGCCCTCGTTCGGTACCAGTGTCCCGCCTGTGAATGGGATAGAGGAGTAAAATAGAAGAGCGATAAGAAAAAAGGCCGAAATTGGTGACTAACGAATGGATGGATCCGCGAATCGACTTCCATTTCTTTTCTCCATTTTCTTTTTTATTTTTTGTCGAGCGGGTTTGACTACCAATTTTGATTAGTTCCCAAAGCAAAAGAAATTGCCGTGTTGTACTGTACGCACGCAACATGTTCGTCTCTCTTGGGGGTAAGGGGAACAGCAGATGGATGGGTTACTGTACCTTGTGTGTTTTTATGAATTCCGGGGAAAAAAAGAAAAAGAAATAGAACCTCCCCCCCCAAAAAGAATCACACACAGGCACAAACGGTCAACCACGCCCCGGACACGGTTCGTCGAGTGTTCAGGGTGAAGACGCAAAATTGCCGCCGAGGTTGCCGTCCACGATTCATTCCATCGGTCAGTTTCGTTGGGAGTAAAAAGACCCATACTTTGCATTTTCCACCATCGTTCCTCGACGGTAAAGAGGAAGAAAAAAATCTCCCTTCCGTCGTGACTTGACTCTAGAAAAAATGGGGTGGGGGGCGCGGGCGGAAGCGAGGGATGAGACCGGCCTCTAGGCTCCGGGACCCCGACGGCTAGGGCACGATGATTTGTGTTCTCTTGCGGCCATACGTCGCCCCGATTTCCATCAGGACCAGCGGGGGCACATCCTTGACACTCTTCATACTTCACATGTCCACATCCCACACCATCAAGAGTTTTTCCCAGTCGGATCGTCCACGATCAGGACTTCCCCAGGGCCAAGTGTCTGCTTTGAATGCAGAAGGGGGAGAGATAGCAAGAAAAGGTAGATTTTATAGTTGGGGGTCGGGGCTCCAATCCACCCGGTCAAAGGCCCGGAGGAGCCTCTCGTCCCTGTCTATCTTGGCCCGGATGAAAGTCGCCACGTCGCCGACCTTTTCGGTCCTGCGGACCTCGTCGATGAACTCCTGGACGGTCTGGGACTCGCCGGCCCGGATGATGGCGAGGAAACCCGAAATCATCTGCCTGTGCCGCTTGAGCTGCTCGTTGGCCTCGTTCAGCTCCTGGATGACGCGGTGGTTGCTGGCCTTCTTCCTCCCGTCGCCCTCGGCGTCGAACCGGCACGACCAGCGGCGGCGCTGGCAATTTTCGCACGGCTGGGCGCCCGTGCACCGGATCTTCTTCCGCTGGCACATGACGCACGCCCGGGACGACCGCGCCCTCGACCTGGCCGACTGGGGCGCCTCGACCGCCGGGCCGTCATCCCCGGGGGATTCGGTCAGATCCAAATCGGCGAGGTCCGGTTGGGTTGTGCTCAGCGTGCTCGCGTCGTCGACGACGGATGCCGAAAGGACCGGGTTCGCGTCGTTGGGATTGGCTTGACCGAATGAGGCCATTGCGTGGGCGGAGACCGGGGGAAAGTCCGGCACAGTCGTCTTGTACGGGTTTTGAGATTCGTCGTTTGAGGACGTCCTGCCCCCCGCGGAGAGAGGCTGTGGAGAAGTTTACCGTGAAAGAGTCTTGGGAAGGGGAGAGGTTTCCCGGTCCTTTTGTGCTTGTGATTGGTGCGGAATGGGAAAAAAAGTGGTCATAATCAACTGGATTAGTTGTCACGGCAAGATGGGGGTGGGAAGGAGTTTAATGACTTTGGTCGACGGCGTAAGGTTTTGTCGTCGCCGATGCATGCTCGCCGGCAGCGAGGTTTCCCAGAGGGGAGAAGGAGTTGGCAAGGTGAGGTGCGGGAAACGGTGACAGCTAAGTCCCAGTCTCGGCGCAAGGGGCTTCGTTCCCAGATGTACTGTACAGGTTTATCGCACATGAGGCGGTCAGCATCACGCGTTTCCGACACCCACCGGCATAAACCATCGTGCGTCTTGTCTGAACCAAAGGCCGTGGAGAATTGCATGTCGGATTCCTGTCCTGTGAGTCGATGAAGGGGGAACAGCATCCCCGCCAGCCTCGCAAAAAGGATTGGGTGGTTTGGAAGTTTACAAAAGTCAAAACCCACGCCGCAATTGCAGGCAAAGGGGGCCACCGGGAAAGCGTGTTTGAAAGCCCTCGGGAGGACGAGCACGGTCGCCGACTTTATGATCCCCAACTCACCTTCCGATCCCAAGGTGAAACACCAAAGTGAGGAAATGGTTCGTCTCGATCTTGAAAATATGAGGGATCTATCGGTCGTCGTCGGTGGGCCGCATATAGATGCGGCTGATCTGCAGGGACGAAGACGAAGGAGCTTGTTCGAATGGTCCCATCTTTCTAGAATCGTCCGCCAAGAAGATCAGGGATACGCCTGTGCTTGGATGAAATGGGGAAAAGCCTGGACGGCGAAGGGTAGGACCCTGCAGCAGTGATGTCAGGTGATGCGGGATTCATCGAGCAAGGGTAAGTCAAGGCGACGTCTTTAACTCCCTAATTACAGAGAGACCATGTCGAGTGATCCTGCAGTGGTGAGCTCTTTCTCTTGAACATTCTTCGAGCTGAGATTGGAGGAGAAGAGGAGATTGGTTCATGACGCTTCGGACCGCGTTTTCCAGATGATGCGGTTGGATGGTTGGCGTTCTGAATGAGAGAGAACCCTGCGAGGAACCCTCTTTGGTAGCCCACGGTCATCACGTGTTACACGTGACCTTACCCGGTGTACCCGCACATGGCATGTTTTGTACTCCCGTGATACTCCGTTGGGTAGGGAGTACTGTACTTTCATCGCTACGGAGAACGGAATGCTGTATGTACGGATGCTATAAGAAGGGTAAAAGAGTGTTGTGCGCATGTCGCCCAAGTTTACCGTAATTAGTACCCTGTGCGTGGTGTAACTGTGTGGCTTCGTGGCTGACGCAGTGGTCGATACGAATGACACGTGAAGGCGGTTAAAGAGCGAATCAGCCCATCTCAATCTGAACACAGCCTGCAATCTCAAAGCCTCTTCGTATTCTGCATTGCAACCTCGTAAACCCGAAACTACTGTGGCTTGCTGGCTGCACCCGTCGCCGTCATGGACCAAAGTTCCTTGGATGAGCGATGAGCGGTCTGGCGCATGTTGGTGAAAGCCACGAAAACTCTCTGGCGTTACACCTGGATTTTTGTTTTTGAACAATGCACATGCTCATTTTACGTGCAAGTCTTTTCCTTTACCATGCGACGACATCCACTCTCATCAAGAGTTAATCATACTAGAGACTACGGAGTATTGCGTCAACACTTTGCGAAAGACGTTTTTCCCACTCTTCCATCTATCCATCCTCGGTGCCCGATCTTCGAAGGCCGCCTGCAGCATCCCCAAAAGCTGCGCTGACAGGTACATAACAAGTTTCCCGGAAAAGAGCTGGAAAAACTGAAGGATCCGGCACCTCACTAGGTATTTTCAGCCCCAAATATGAAAGTACACAAAGGTATGCCACGCACACACCAATCTCAAATGGTTGATGGGTACGTACGGAGTACTACGGAGTTCATAAATTGTCAATTCAACATGCAATAACTCCGTACGTACGCGAGTATGACATGAGAAATGTGGCTGGAATTCATACTGATTCCAACCACTTTGTGTTTATTCCTCATTCCGTACGGAGTCCGAGTCCGTATGTGGTCGGTGCAGTCATACATGGGATACTCCGTACAATAGCTTGCTTGGTCCATGACGATCAATTCAAGGGGCAGATCATCTTTTCCCCCCCCCGGCCACGCCCCCGGTTATCATCAATGGGGGGGGCCAAAACACGGGAGCCTCCCGTATTATGTACATACTATAGTTTGTACGGATCATCACTTTTTGCTGATTGTTGAATCTCGCAAAAGAAATCCACCAACCACGGAGAGAGCGCTGATCACCAAACGTACACGGAGTATCCGATTGTCTTTTAAGATCAGACACTTTTCCGTACCTGGCTGGTGGGTACGAGGACATCTTTTCGCCCGGCGTTCGTGTGTCAACGAAGAAGACAGGTTGCGTTTAACATTCATGACTCTTCGATGTGGACGGCCTAATCAATGATTGTTAACCTGGTGTTGCACATGTTGGTTTTTGCATTCATATCACCCGTTGTTCTTTTCAATCAAAAGACGCGTTACACCGTTAATGAATTACCTACCTCATACATACACTTGAAATACCTAGGTAGCTACTCCGTACCTACCTTCACATGCCCTCCTCACATACCTGTTGGATACAAAGTATTACTGTACAAACCAGAAGGAAATAATGCATGTTGAATATTTAGTTTTTACATGAACGAGCAAAGGAAAAAGTCTCAATTATCGTCGTCAAGGGGGTGTAAACGAGTACATGACTTACTCACTCACCTAGCATATACTTTGTACATGATTCGAAAGTTTTTCAGGCCTCTTCAACTATGGATTTCTTCAAACCGTGCTCTACTACAGAAAAGTCTAGACTTCTCTTCTTGAACTCCCGAGGTCCGCCCACAAGGTTTTGTTGAATGACAGCTTTGGATCAAACAGTACATACATGTATTGCACTGCACATACGTACGTGGCCTCTTGTGAGTTTTATTGAACGTGAACTGTATGCCAATGAACAACAATTGGGTTCGAAACTTGACCTCCTCACATACCGGAAGCACAGAGTGTGCTCCTTACAGTAGTCGATGATCTCCATAAACGGTCCCTCGAAAACTGATCAATACTTCCTGCCACTTTTATACTCTCTTCTGTACGGACAAGTAAGTACTAGAGGCAATAAACACCTTACCTAGTGCGGAGTAAACATATTGTCATTATTTTCCCACGAGCCTGAGCACGGAGCACAGACAAAGAGTCAGTGCTTGCCTTCGTTCTCTCACAAAACGGTTTGGTTCCTACAGTATGTACAGAGTAAGCATCCAAAAACACGCCCCGAAACGCCCGCGGCTGGTGTGTGTGGGGACCGACCGTTTTCGGGGAGGTCCGTGATTATCTCGATGTGGTTAATAAAATGATGATGTGTCCGGAGATCATTTCGACTACTTTTTGTTACAGTAACGCTCGTTGTCACTAGTACAACCAAACCCAGTTCACTCGGATACAATCAACTAGCCTCTTGGAATTCCCCTTTTTTTTCCTTTCTTTTTTGAGGCACGGAGGATATTCATGTTGGTTCTGGGGATTTTGGGATTTCCATTTTCATTTTCTCGCCGGATGAAATTCTTACAGTGGTGGGAAGGTAATAAATCAACGTCACGGCACGGTGAATTTTTGTGTTCGTTGTCGTGTGGGGCGGGTTGGTGGTTGGAGAGGGGGGGGGGGGGGCCGGGGCCGCCTGATGACAATACTGTAAAGTTGTGTCCGTACTCCGTACTCCGTTCCCCTTACAAGAGAGAGTATTTGTCAATCTAACTCGCTTACAACAGTAGACAAGACACCATTTTGAAGATCCAATGCAGTTTAGTATGTACGGAAGTAGGCAATGAGGATAACTCTGATGTGGGCAGAGAGAAGAAAATGTTTTTCTTTTTTTCTTCCCATATCGATAATTCTTCGTATAGTAGTAGTAGTAGTAGTACATTGAACCATATCTCATCATATGATCTCATCCAATCCAAAAATCCTCAAGAGACAAGGCAGGCTGCTGCCCTCCACTCCGGATTCTACCTCAGTCTTGTGGTAGTTTTCTTCAGTCTGGTATCTGAAGATTCCCGTTCCCTATTTCCATTTCCATGCCCATTCTCCTCCTCAAACCAAACAAATAACAAAAGAGAGATGGTATCGTATCGGTAGATGTAAATCAATCGCTTGCTTTTTATCCCTTGCACATAGGCGCACGCTGGCTGGTATCTCGCTCTGTAAAACAATTCATAGTTTCGTTGTCGTATATAAAAAAAGAAATCCACGCCACTCATTGTCTTCTAAATGGCGACATCAAACGCACTCGGTCTTCGGTCGTGAGGGTATGACGGATACGGATACGGAAAGCCTCCTTTAATGTCGGGATACGTGTAGTCTGAAGTATAACCGTGGTGGTGGTGATTGTATTCGCAGTCATAGTGATAGACGGACTGCTGCTCTTGTAACTCTTCGAGAAGGGCTTCCTCGAGATCTTCTTCTTGGTCGAGGAGGTCTTCAACCGCCGCCGAACATCGATCGTGAGCCATCCTCAGACCCTCACATTCGTCGGCCCCGGATACTGTGCAGATACTGAGGATGGAATTCAGTTGTGACCGTTGAGCTTGAATCTGAGCTTCGATCTTTCTCGACACCGAGGCCATGTCTGCATGCGGCGGTGTCGGAGAGAACGAGATCGGACTTGACGGTCGGGATGACATTGGTGAGCTGGTGGGTGAAGTGGATGGTAGATTGTACCGAGCTCGGAGCGGGACATGTGAGGCGATCAGAGCGGCGAGTTTCCAAATGTCACAGTAGATGCAAGAAGTTGTCGTTGCACATGCCGAAGACAGAATCTTTTGGGTGGTGGTGACGTGTTGTTGATTGGAGAAATGAGGTCTCATACCCTTGAGAAGGGCGACTTTTGTTTTGCAAGTCAAATGCATCTCGGTAGGTGGTGGTTGTGGTTGTGTCTGGGTGAGGAGTGACTGAGAAAAAGCAGGATGGATCAAGATTGAGCTGATCATGGAGATGAAGGCCTCGGTTTTCTATACAGCAATTCTCTTGTTGTTGATGATTTCACGCAGTACGAGGGGTTGGTATGTCGGTCCAAGAAACTAATCTTTCGATAAATTTGAAAGGGAGAGCACGGACTCTATGGTGTATCGTCCAAGTCGGTAGTGGGAAGATTTGATGGACGATGACGGACACAAGCGACGAAATATATTGACGATGGAAGAGTGATACAAGACAGGAGTCTAGTGGACTTTTATGACTTATGTATACAAACCGGGGAATATTGTATCTCACCTTTGGGTTCCAATTGTTTTTTGTCAGTATGGAGTATTCGTATGATGCTACTGTATTGTCCGAAAGATGTCAGCAGGCAGAGAGTTAGGCTGAGACTGCTGCCTTCACCGATTGACAGCTCTGGACCCTTGCTGGCCTTAGGGCTGGAGATGCGCATATTGACCCCCAAAACGAGGATAGTGAGTCGACCAGGGTCGCATGATTACCGGTAAACGGGAAATATTGTCAAGTGGCATGTTTCACGTGGAGAAGGGGAGATGGCGGTCACCTACGGCGTACAGTAGTAACGAGTAGAAGAAGGGAAAAAAAAGAGTGGCTGAGGGGACAAAAGGAACTTTGGTTTCTAGGCACTTGGTGCAGACCGAAAGAATGAAACTCACCGATGATTGACTGGAGAAAGAGAGGAGAGAGAGAGAGTCAATCAGGGATCAAGGATCATCTCTACAGTACTTTACGGATTACTCTGGAAACCAGCAAAAGGACAAGGACCAAAAGACCTTACGAGTTACGGGGACTCTAGGCAGGAATAGGGAGGTGGTACGAGGGGAACCAGGGAAGATGGATTCATGGTTGGTGGAAAAGAGTGAGCACCAACCGTGACGTGCAGGAACGAGGGCACCGACAAGGCAGTACGGAAGTAGGTAACACGAGCTACGGGTGCGAGTCTAGGCGACTTTGGGTGTTTTGGAGCTGGAGCTGCAGGCCATCAAAGGAGTTACACCAGCCCAAGCCACGTCCCCCAAGGCACGGAGTCATGGAGTACCTAGAGCCACATTCTACAGAGGGTCAAATAATAATCCATGCTCATGGCCTATACCCAAAACTACCCCCCGGTGATGCCTAGAACTTGTTATTTAGTTCTGTACGGCCTACAGACAGGCTCCTTTTGCGGTGAAGTCTTTGGGATGTCTTACCGCGTAATGAATGATATGTTCGCTGTTGTCTCGTCAACTCATCTCACATTTTGACTCTCTCAGAGACAAAGTTCAATACGAAGACTCTCCCGTGGTTTCCGTTCCATCAGCCTCATGACACTCTAATCGGTTGTGCTTTCAACTCTTGTATCCTCTTTCTTTTTGACTTGCCGCCTTGGAAACGGAATCGTCATGAGACGGTCTCATCTTGGCTCTCCTTCTTATCGTGCATTCCACATGTTCGTATGTCGGATTCTTTGTGCCCCTTTGTCTTAATTCTCGTGTTCGCTTAACTCTCGAATCATTGTTGCAACATGCGGTCACCACCAAAAATGTCTTTTTGGCTTCTCCTGGGCTACACCATCTCCGCGCTGTCACAATCATCACTCAATACTCAGCCGCAAATAGGGTCGTCATCCACCGCGAAGGAGTCATTTTCAGATCTTCTTTTCCAGGACAACTCGATCAGCCCCAAGTTCCACTCTCGTCTATCACGGCGCGATGCGACATGAATGGAATCCACATGCAAAGCCGATGACTCTTTGGCCATTTCTCTTCTACGAGTCACGCCCTCTCTGTCTAGCCCAGCCTAATAGTACAGAATCTCCTCGGAGACCCTCAGTTGGTCCTCCATGCCTTCCAGAGTGCCTCGCTCGTTGCATCTCCTGCCTGTGAAACACATACGCCATGTCCTTTTCCCACCGCCCTCTTCCTGACTCTCATCCTATCGCCATTGCTCAAAGCCCCATTGACATTCACCCTCCCCAAAAATCCATGCCTCACCACCCTCTGCGTACTCGGCCAATCTTGCCCAATCAACGTCTTGCCAACAGAGCATTCCTCTCATGCTCTGGGTATTGAGCCATCACCAGCCTGAAGATCGTCTCAGCCTGGTCGTTGAGTCGGGCGTTCAGTCCCCGGATGACATTGTCGCCTGCCTCGATGAGAGCGTTGAACTCTCGCACCTGACCTTGGCGCTCTGCCACCAGCTGACCTTGGGCTTGATTTGCCCTTTCAAGGTCATGTCTGAGGCGTTGGTTGTCTGATCGCAACCGCTCACACTCGGTCTCCAGTTCAAACACTCCCTGGGCCATTCTGCCGCCCATAACCGGCCCCGATGAGCCACCCGACGTCAACGGTGGAAATTCCTCTTGTGATTGCGTCGTTGCAACCACAGATGACGCCGCTCTCAACCCAGCAGGCACAGCAGAGGCCACCTCTTGTGGCGCGAGGCCAAGTCTCCTGTCCAGGGCGTCCACTCGCTGACCAAGCTGGGCCAAGAAGATATGGTCGTGGCGTGCCATTGCTTGGGATTGTGGCTCTTCTAGCAGCCGTTTCAACAACTCCCGCGCCTCTCTTGTCCAGCCGATCTTGTCGCCGGCGTACTTCTCACTGGCATTCTCTGCCAGGGTTATCTTGATCTCGGCGACCAAGCCGGCTTGAATGCCAGGGGTGGATAGGAGTTTGTTCTGATGAGCATGTCAGCATTGATTGATATATATATATATATATATATATATATGTATATCGATGGGTGATGTGTGTGTGTCAGAAAGGTGGGTACTGTTGTGAGAAAGTTGAAAGCAAGAAAGGTACGTACGCAAGTTTGGACAGCCTCATCTGGGAAATTATGTTTGTACACGTGCTTGATCATGACCTTCAAACAGTGAACACAGATCAGCAGTCTGACGCAAGCAACATATGGTTGTGACCTGCGGTCCAGATAGGAGGACAACATACCTTCTCTGCGAATGACTTTCTCAGCGTGCGCTGAAGTCTGAATGAAGCAACAAAAGGTTAGTCTCATGCGTCTGACCTCGCAAATTGGCAGGCCTTGGAGTCATGACCCATGACATGACGCGGGAGAGGAGAGCGGAGTAGGATATCATACCTGTTCTCGTACTTCATCTTTGCAAATTCAAGGTAATGGCAACGCTCTCTCCGCCTCTTGTCCCAAAAGTCGATCGTCAGGGTCAGGGTCAGGGTCAGGACGCGAAAACACAGACACACGACTCTGGTACTGTATCTTCAACTGTATCGATCGTCGCGAGACCGGGGGCCGAAATGAGGTAGGAGTTGGAAATAGGAACGAAGATTTGTCTCCCTCTATGGACATTCGCGTCGTGAGGACCTTTTTGAAGATTCATGGAAGCTTGAGTTTAATTTTGTTTCTTCTTCCTACCTTGAAATCTCTAAATTGAAGAGGAAAAAATTTACAACAATAACAACAACGACAGCAACAAAAGAGCGTGACGCAGTTGCGTCACGATCCAAAGGCGGTGCCAGTGCAAGTGAAGGGGCCTGTGAATTCACTGAGCGGCGTGGAAAGTTGTGCGTGCGGTGAATTACTATCTACGCCTTCAGAAGGGGGCAGTGATTCTGGGGCTTTGTGTCAGTACGAGGGAGGGACGGAGGGAGGGAGAGAGAGAGGAGACGTCCACTTGACTCATTCGGTGTGCACTGGATTCGTGCCTGTAGCTCAAAGCATAATACGCTGTTGTATCAAAAATTCTCTCTCCTCCCCACCCCTTTATGTCTTCTGGGCTTTTGCTGGCTGGGGCGGAGAAGTTGAAAAATCACTTTTGTTTCCCATTCACGAGCCGTGGCAAGGGCGGAGGAAATAAAAAGGAAAGAGGGTAGTAGTCTCGCCTTTGCACATAAATAATTCCCCTATGCCCCTGACAAGGTCGACCATTTCAAGTCCTCGTAGAAAAAAAAGAGAAGACGATGAGGAGGCTGATTTTGAAAAGTCGTCGACGAAAAGCCATGATCCCGAAAACCATGGATCTTCGGCGGGTATGCTTTTTGTTCTGCGGGACATTGTACTGTGTACTAGTTGATATCATTTTCCTTGTAGCCTTGCCGTCTCTCCATGTCTCTGTCATGCCTGTACCACCTTAGGTACGCTCTACGCGCGTCATGGTAATGATAAATAGGGGTTCGTTCATTTCATACACACACACACACATGCACACACAAAGCCCTTCTTCCCATCACCACGTCACCAATACAAGGACTAGGCCCTGTCACAGCTTTAATACCGCGGAGGTGGAGGAGGTGCACCATAGCCTCCCTGCTGCTGCGGTGGTCCACCGTAACCACCTTGCTGAGGAGGAGGTCTTCCATAGCCGCCCTGTTGAGGGCCACCATACCCGCCTTGCTGAGGAGGAGGGCCGCCGCCATAACCACCTTGTTGTGGAGGACCACCGTAGCCACCCTGAGGGGGATATCCACCGCCGTAGCCGCCCTGTTGTGGAGGTGGACCACCGTAGCCACCTTGTCCCGGAGGGGGTCGAGGGGCGTTGCTCTTCTCGTCCTTGGCGTCATAGGAAGAATCGATACTACCGAGGAGGAGCTTGATGAGCCACAATTCTGGGGTCAGGTTGACCGGTGGGTTCGCGCGAGACATTTCGTCGGCTTCGACTTCGTAGTCTGTTGTCACAACATGTTAGATATTGCCTCTTCTTTTTTGTACAACTCAAATCAAAATCAAAAAGCCAAAGCCACAAAATAACTTACTGGATGTACAATCGATAATGTCACCAATCGTGGGTTCCTCGTCCAGCTTGCTCAAAAACTCACGAGCCTTGAGATCGTTGCCGACCTGAGCAAACTGGAAGGCAAGGGCACCTTTGCCGTATCGAGGGTTTCTAGACAGCTCGTCCGAAGCGTTCTTGATGATCCTGGCCACGTCTCCAGAGCTTTCACCGGTTGGCTGACCGTCGGTGATTGTGATGACCAAGACCGGCTTGCGAAGTTGGCCACTGCGAGCGGCTTGGAGAACCAACGGGCGAAGGATCTTGTTGTCGAGTTCTCGACCCATGGGAGTGAGGCCGGAGAAGCGAGTGCGCGCGACCATCTCGGTGACTTGTTGCTCGCTACGGATGTTGTTACCTCCGTCGGGAGAGTTCATGAAGCGGACTTGAATGCCGTCATCGTCGAAGAGACTGGTCGCAAAGGCGACACGCGACAATATCAACTTCAGGTCGTCAATACGCTCCCCGTTCTCTTCAAACTGCATGGAACCGCTGTCGTCGATGTACAGCACGACGTCGTAGAGTGCGAGCTTGACAATGTCCGATGCGATTTCGCTGTTGATGCGCCATGCTGCTGCGAGCTGTGCGACTTGCTGAGCGGCTCGGTTGGCGATCTGGTCAAGAATCGGCGAATTGGGTGGGTAGAAGCTTTGCAGGCCCTTCTCTTGAATCGCTGCTTGTAGGAGTTGTTTGTAACCGCCTACATTTCCAACGGGAGCGGGAGGAGGACCGCCGGGGCCGCCGGGACCACCACCGTATTGAGGTTGGCCGCCATATTGCTGAGGGGGAGGGCCACCGCCTTGAGGACCGCCGGGGTAGGGGGTTTGACCTTGACCTTGACCTTGAGGACCACCCTAAAACAAGCAAAGTGTTAGCTAAACCGATAATCTTATTCGCAAGGTGCTCGCAAATAAAGTGCAAATGCGACGAACATATCCATATCCACTGTTCTGCTGTTGCTGATACGGCTGCTGTTGATATTGTGGCGCGCCGTATTGATTGGGGGGTTGGTATTGCGACTGGTATGAAGTGTATGCGGACTGCGGTTGCGGCGATTGGTAACCTCCACCTTGATACCCTCCTTGGGGTGGAACGCCTAGTTGTTGGCCATACTGTTGTTGTTGTTGTTGCTGCTGCTGCGGGGACTGCCACGCAGGCTGCTGGTATGGCTGTGGTGATGCACTTGGCCGAGGAGGTACCGGAGGCTGGTTATAAGGTGACGGCTGTTGTTGTTGTTGTTGTTGAGGGTAGGGACTCGTAGGCGGTTGAGGTGCGCCCGGTGCTTGGCCGCCTGGTGTTGCCGCTGCCAGGCGAGAAAACTTGCTCATGATCTTTTGGATGTGGTTGTTGGACGACGCAGGAAGTACGGTTGGTGTACAAATATACAAATGGGAAAAAAAAGGCCTGCCACAATGGTCGATTGTGGTGGACGTGCAGCTTTGCAGGTGGATATGGACAGGTTCCAGCTCACGGCGCAAGGTGACGCAAGAGGTCTGCGCCGAGAATAGGCCTCACAAGCAAAAGTTGCGGTGTTCGGAAGATGCTTACCGAGGGAGGGCCACCTGGATACGCCTGGTAAGATGATTGACCTTGACCTTGACCTTGACCTGGTCCTCCGCTCTATATGAGTCTCATCAGTACCCGCCGGGCCGCTAGTCGTAGTTGATGATGGGATCAATCATGGGACCATCGTGGGATTGTAGGTAGGTACTCACATAGCCACCGGGAGGAGCGCCACCTCCAGGCTGGAGAGATGTCGGCGGACCACCAGGATAAGCTGCCTGAGAAGCAGCAAGTTTAGAGGCAAGCTATACGCGTCATCAGCGGGAAGAAGTTTTGGCATGGCAAGACTTGGTCTTTGCTGGTGCTTGTAGGTCCGACTGGACTGTGCCTTTAGGGATTGCGGGGGCAGGGAATTGGAGAGAGCGACAGACTTACACCCATGTTTTATGTTGGTTGAAGATCAGAATGAAGTTGCTTCCACTGCAGTAGTGATCGTGATGTCGACACACAAGCAAGATGGTATGTAGAGGTAGGAGATCAAACTGAGCCGATGACGAGCTTTGGTTTTAAACAAGTTGACCGGCCTTGTACCAGTTAAAAGACTCAAACGAGCATAGAAGCCAAGGCACCGTCAGAGTAACAGGGCTGTGCTGTTCACCAAACAGGTGGGGTAAACTCACTGGAATTACAATACGAGTATGCCCCTGGATGACTTGTGGCACAGGTATCTAATCGCTGTGAATGCAATGATTGACCACAGATGTTACAGAATACTGTTGTTCACATATCATCTCACGAGAAGTGATTCAATCACAGGCTCGTTGATCAAAGTACCTAGACAGCTACTTCTCACCACTGGTATTCACGGTGGTAACAGTGCCACACTCGTGACGAAGACACCAGCCATCAGCCACCGAGTGGCGCTCAACGCAGTCTAAATAGCACAGCCTTGTCTACCCCTCCATTGTCTCTCCTGTTCCCGCTGCCGTCATACCTTCGCAAAATATGCTGCGACGGGTTAAGCTCACGAGAAACCCTGAACACAGATAGACAGGGATAGAAAAAGCAATATCGTTCTACTGAATGACCCTCAACATCACCCGTCCTCAACCTCAAGATCACCATGTACAAAGTAGCCTGGGCTCTGTCTGCTGTTGAGTAACTCACAAGGCTAAAAGGGAAGAACATTGTCGCCTATGATTAGATAAGATGCGTTATAATTTCCCCGGTGAACTTGCCTTTCCCGGGTAGAAATTGGCTCCTAACTTCGCTTCATACCCGCCACCGTCAGAGCATATCATCAAGACCTGCCAGAATGCAATCAGAGTGCATGGCCTCTGTCGAAAAGTGTCTCTGAAATACTGTGCATGCGTGTCGTATTCAGGCTAGGTGCAGCTTGGCAGGCTTTGTGGAGGTAAAATTGAAACAAGTAGGAGTAATAATTCTGTCGCGACAAACTGGGATCGATATCGGGTTGAGTTGTGTTATCGTTGACAGCGGCCACAGCGGCATCAAAGTACATCATGCCAGCCTACAATACTTCACAGCGGATGGCGATTCATCAGTTTGTCAACTTCACGCAGGCCAAGGAGAGCATAGCGGCAAAGGTATGAGGACGAGGAGATGTTGAAAGGTCATTTGCTGACTGCCTGTCTTGTAGCTCCTGAAGAACCACGACTGGAACTTGGAACGCGCGCTTGATTCGTGAGTATGCCTTTCATTGTCTTGCACTTAAGCCTCCTCCCTCTCTGGTCCAACTCAGTGTCCGCGTTGGGTGTATTGAATCGGAAGGACGACATAACTTGCGAGACATCGACATGGCCATTATTACCGGCAGTAGAGTACATGGTCCAGGAAGTACAATAATGGTGGCTACTGGAGTGTCCGTCGGTCAACAGCAATCAGCAACTGAGAGGCCTTGCGACGACAATGCCCACACACGATCTCAACTTTAAGTCGCAGCCTCGTCCAACTCTTTCGCCAAGACTGCCTTCTTTGTCAGTGCAGAGACAGAGAGATTTGTCTCAGCTTGTTCCAACTTCCAGGCAGCCATCGCTCTTTCTTTTGATGTGACGGTCATCTGAAATCCAAAAAGCCCAGATCGCCATTAAACCCATCTTTTCATCGTTCAGTCAGATTACCTCCTCACTGCGTCATGGCACCTAGCAAGACAGCCAAGCCACTCAGCAAGCCGCCGAAGAAGGCCCCGAGCAAGCCTGCAAAAACGACGCGCAAGACTGCAAGTGATGCGACGCCCAGCAAGCCGGCCAGGAAGCGCAAAGCCGCCAGTGATGCCACGGCGACCAACGATGCCGCTCCACCCGAGAAAAAGCCCAAGAAATCTCCTGCCAAACCAAAGACCTCTGCTGTAGACTCAACCATCAAGCCCAAGAAACCCCGTGCAAAGGCGGAGCCCAAGACACCCAAGAGGGCGACCAAGAAGGCACCTGCCGCGACGACCACCGAGACATCCGAGGCCACAGGGTTCGTTGTTTGTCACTACTGGAGCCTGCAATACTGACATGTTTTTTTCCTCCGACAGGTTTTACCAGGCCGGTTCCACCGATGGAGTCCCATCTGCTGTCGAGAAGAATTTGAAGAAGTTGTTTGACGATTACCGAGGTAATACTATTTGGAACATCTACAGAACAGCCTCTCTGACAGGTGACTGCCTAGACAATCCTAAAGAATCCCCAGACAAGATCGGCATCGACGGCGCTCAGAACTACCTCGGTGCCATCAAAGTGCAGTTGGACGAACTCGCTCACCTGGCCATTTGCGACCTGTTGCAGTGTCCCTCGATCGGTGAATTTGACAGAGATCCTTTCGTCGCAGGCTGGCGCAGCGCGTCATCCGCGAACAAGCCCTGCGATACCGTCGCGGCCCAAGCGCAGTACGTCGACGTCATTCGCAAGAAGATGTCCGCCGACCCGGCCTACTTTAAACAAGTCTACCGCAATGCCTTTAAGCTCGCCAAGCCCGAGGGTCAGAGGAGTGTCCCCATGGAGTCGGCCGTCGACTTTTGGAACATGTTCTTCCGGTCGGACAACGGTGGCCTAGGCTGGAACACCGCGTCGACCAAGTGGTTGGACATGTGGTGTGAATTCTACGAAACCAACATCAAGAGACCGGTCAACAAGGACTTGTGGAACATGGTCGGTGAGATGGCCTTGAAGATCAAGGAGCCGGATGGGGAGGCCCTGGAGTGGTGGAGTCCGGACGGCGCGTGGCCCATGGCGATCGATGACTTCATCTCGCACGTCAAGGACAAGACAAAGTCGGCCGGTGGTGATGATGCGATGGATACCAGCTAACCCATCAGCGTCGTTCGTTGGGGAGCATGGCATTCATGCCTTGGCACACATTATGTTCTTGTTGCCGTCATGTTCACACACTCCATCACATCACGCACACACACACACGACAGGCTGCAGAAGAATGGTCAAAAGATGAAAGTGGACTTGATCAACAACTACGGCAGCAACCTGCATTTTTGCTCTTCGTGCTATTAGCGACTAACCACAGAGAATTATGAGAAGACATTCTAGCGTGTCAAACAGATAAAGCATTGGGTCAGTTCTGATTCTCTACCACTGACCGACAAATGAGAATGAATGTTCAATTCGATACCTAGAACGTAGGGGTACATTGCTCTATCGATTCGTTGAACCGACGCTCTTACCAAGTCCCAGTGACTTTGGTTTTGAGGGCGTTTTGTTGCTCACTTTTCTTCATCGCATTAGTCACCCCGGCCCTTGTCCAGGCCGTGACACTGGGCCTCTTTAGAGTTTGCCCTGGGTGCAGCAGTCATCCAGAGTTTCTTCCCACTGACGGTCATGAGTCCAAAGTCACGCTGGACCATCATGTCCTCGGTGACACGCGGGTCCAGGGCGAGGTCGAACCGTTGGTACAGAGCGCAGATTGTAAGTAAAACCTGGACGCGCGCGAGGTGCATACCGATACAGTTTCTGTTGCCCGTGCTGAAAGGTCGGTTCATTGAGCGCATCCAGGGCGTGGCCGTCTCCCACCGTTCTGGAACGAAGGCTTCAGGGTCGGGAAAGGCTTCGGGGTCGCGGGCCGTCGCGTAGGGAACGTTGGACACCGTGGTGCCGTACGGGACGAAGGAACCGCCGATGGATTTGCCGGGGGAGAGGCGCACGGAGCAGGACATGATGGGCCCGCGGAGGCGGAGCGTCTCTTGGAGGACGCAGTTGAGGTAGGGCTGTACGACGGTGAACGGGCAGTCAGTGAACCATACACCACCTCGGACAGAAATTGATGATGGGATCAGACCAGACTTACGAGTTTAGTGGCCGTGTCAAAGGCCGGCATGACATACGGGTCGGGGAATGCGTCGCGGATCTCTCTGGTCAAGCGCTCTAGTACCTCTGGTCGTTTCGAGACCTCGTACAACAGATACAGGACCGTCGTGGCCGAGGTGCCGCTACCCGCGATGATGAAGAGCACGCTGTTCTCCACCAACTCGGCGTCGGTCAGGGTGGTGTTGGTGTCCGTGTCACACGCGGTGAGCATGTGTCGTAGCAGGCCTTGTTCGGTGGTCCCCTTTCCCAGTCGCGCCCTGAATTCGTCAATGTAGCCTTGCACCGAGCGTCGGATCCTGGGTTGGGCTTGTCTGGCGGCCTTGAAGGGCCCAAAGGGAAAATACCGGGCGATCGGCAGGAGGCCGAAAAGGGGACAGACGGTGAAATATGTCTCGATGTCTTGTGCGCCCTGGTGAGGCCTTCCCGAGAGGGTATCGAAGCTCTTGGCGAAGCTGAGTCGGCTCGTGATGTCCAGAAAGAGGTGGTGCGTCTCGTCGTGCAGCTCGACGGGCTGCCTGGCCGTGGCGATGTTGGCGATGTACTGTTCGATGATCTGCGATATTTCTGGCTGGAAGTCGAGAACACCTTGTTGGGAGAAGCCGTGGGACAGTAATCGTCTCATGCGACCATGTTCGTTTCTGTCGGTGGTGCTGAACACGGATTGCCTCCCCGTCAGGCTGAATCCTTTGTAGAACGCCGGTGCCTTGAGGCATGGTTCTGTGCTCTGTGCAAAAATGTCCTTGATCGAGGCTTCGTCGCTGTAGGAGAGCTCATTGGCCCCCACACGCACCACTTTGCCATACTTCATGTGCAGCTCGTAACGTTTGTAGGTATTCTGTGCCGTCAGGGACATGTAGACCATGTACCAATCGGTCATCTTGGCCATCAGAGGTCCTGGGTATGTGGCCAGAGGGTGGAAGAAGACACGATAGATGATCAGAATCAGCCAGTACAGTGTAGAGGCCCCTACCAGGGAGGGCCAGACTGCGAAATCGCTAATAGAAGCCATGGTGGATGAATTCTACGTCGTTCGAACAAAGCAAGCCGGAGAATTGTTGAGGAAGGGATGAGCAGGGAGAGGAGAAACGACCGTGTTACCTCGTATATGTTGTGTTAGGTTCACGGCGCTGTGTGAGACGGAGCTCGTGCCAGTGGCGTAATTAGTGCAACACAAATGCATCTGAACTTTGATAGATCGGAAACGACCTTGCATATCACAGGTTGAACGACCTAGATTAGTGTTCGCTCCCCCGGAAATGCTGTCGAATGCGAGGCCGTACCCCACAGACCCCTGGAGCGGTCGTTTATTAGATTCCCCGTGAGTACGGGGGTGCGAGATGATCCTCTCGGGTCCCCACACCCTGGAAACTCAGCCTTGAGGATAGCTTTCGGATCTCCACGCAGCCCAGCCTCAGAAAGGCAACCAGGAGGAACTTGGTTCATATCGGGCATACCATTTGAGGACGATGGTTGAGTTCAGCTAAGATGTGACGTGACCACATCCATTTTGTCGGATTCAATGGTGCTTGAAATTGGTTACTGAAGCTGCTATTTCTTGGCCGTCAATCAAGGTTCTTGAGTGTTGCCACCATTTTTGGGATGCAACCCCATCGCGGTCTGATCTTTTCTAACTCTGCCATGAATGTTCCCATAATCTTCTTTCTGGAGAGTTGGACGCCGCCTTTCGTGGGATGGTTCTGGTCCTCGATCATGCGCGCCCACACGACAAGGGCTGCGTAGAAAAGGATGATCGCAGACCAGACTGGAGAAACTGACAGTTCCATGTCGCCCACAGTAGTCACAGTCTGTACATCAAATCCAATTTGGTCTAGAATCTTCCATGCGCTCGAGGACGCCGCATCGCTGAAGTGAAGGTCGACGAGCGCGGGGCGTGACGATGGATCATCTTTGAGTCTCGAAGGAAAATCGTCATTGGTAAATGGTTCGTATCCCACCAGAGCCGGCAAAAGCCACATTTTGGAATCTGCCTCCAAGGTCATACAGCAAAAATGATAGACTGGTGTCACAGGTCTGTCAATTTCGGCGACACGCGCTCCATGTTCGGGAAGCACGCTCGATAAGCTGAGCCATCTTGAGAGCGCTCTGCTGAGTCTCTGCTTGCATCGTATATACTCTGCCGATGCAGAGTGAGGAAGGAGGGGGTTGTAGTATTCAGCATCTGCCGATGACCTTGGCACGCTACCTATTGAAGGAGGAATGTGGTTGGCTGACATATCCGGTCGCACCAAAGCTGTGAGGCTGTGTTGCAATGAAACGATCTCAGCCAACAGCGCGAAAAGCAAGAATACATGGTCGTCAGGGCTCAGACTTGCAGGCGTGGAACCCTTGCCGGTCAGAAGCCATTGGTATATGCTTTGGAAATCGTCATTATTCTCCAATTGCAATGAAACCTCAGAAAGGCGAACTGTAGGTATCGAGTGTAGATGGATGGCGCGAAGCACATCCACAAGCAGATACGTCTTCAATAAACTAGATATGGTCACAGTTAATTTAGAAGGTAAACATATTTCTACATGCTCGAGGAGACTTACCCGGTCATGACTTTACTATTAGCCCCGTGTGCGATTTCTTGTTGACCGTTCTGATTTGAAGGCACTTTCATCAAATGCATCCTATGTGTTATCTGGCCAGGTTCAGAATTCAGGACCAATCCGCGAACCCGGGCACAAGTGGCCTCTAGTGAATCATGACTTACAGTATCACACCAGCCGGCACATGCCTGGACTCTCGTCCAAGTGGCCGAATCTGCTTGAAGTGTGCCGTAAAGTACGAGTAAGAGAGCCTTGTATTTACAATCAGCAATTGGGTCGCACTTGGCTCAAAACACAATCTTCTCAACACGTAAACTTACTGCTTGAACCCACTCAGCATTTCTCGAAAGTGAGTTGTCAACTTCAAGTGCCCCCAGCACCAGAGACCAGCTAGCACGCCAAAGATTCCCAACCCATGACGACAGATGCACCTCTTCAGCGACAGCAGCCCCCAACAGAGCCATGGCCACCACAAGATAGGGAGGCGCTTCTCCTGAAAGTCGTGCCCAAGACAAAAAGAACGGCGTTGCAGGGGCGAAATTATGATAAAATTCATGGAGTAGCGACGTCAATAATTCACCACTTGGCAACGAAGGAAATTCGGCCCAAAGCATTAACGGATATCGTAACACTGATCTTTGATCTTCCTCACTGTTCTCGGGAGGAAATGCGCTTGTAGCAGTGCCTAGAGACATTGGAGCGAGATTAGAGGCAGTTTGCATATTGTCATCGAAAGTAAAGTGTGTACTTCGATCCCCTCTAGGTTTATACTGGCTGCTTGAAAGGAGAGATTGCTTGAAATTGATCATGAACGAGGCATCTGGAGCAACCATCGCCCGTCTTGCATCTGACCTGTGTGGCTGCCATTTATCTAAAACCCTATCAGCGGAGACCCAATACAACGCATTACAGCAAGGTAGTCTTCGATAAGACGAATGATGGATGGCTGCCTAGGGTTGACTCACTCGGTAGCAAGCGCGTCAAAGAGGCTTCAGAGTCCATTATACAGGAGTTCAACGAAATGAACCCGGCATCTCAACTCAAGTAGACAATCGCCGCAAATTATCGGCCAGTCACCAAGAGGGGCGCATGGGGCGCATGCTCGTGCAAAGGATAGACTGAGTTTGAAGGTAATGAATTAGAGGGGATTCCTTGGGCCTGAAGTCACGGACTGTAGGTGGTTGGGATCGTGTTCGATGGTTTGTAGAGGGAAAGAGTTTCAGAAAGTGGTTTTGTGGTGGTGACGCGGAACAACTGTTTGTCCGGAACCGAAATATTTATTGTGTTTCGTCAAATCGTTGAAACCAAAATTCCGTCGATCCAAGACGTTTTACTCCGTATCAATGTCACAAAACGCAGCAGGCCGCTTTTTAATTGTGATTCCGACTGTGAGATCCTCATCGAGGGCTAGCTCCCTCCTGGATGACAATGTAGCAATTCCCAGATTGTGCTACCAGCTACTGTCAAATGGGTGGGCCGGTCATACCAGGAAGAACTCAACAGGTGTGCACTTCATGGATCGTGAACCAGTAAAGCTCACAAGGTTGTAACTACTGTACGATGCACCAATAATGAAGAGATCCCTAGGTGCATCCTTGTGCATGCAAAGACCATCATGTGGTGGGATGCCCCATGAGATTCGCCAATCGACGGAGTAGGAGGAAAACTTGTGTCGGCTCTCCACACATGAAGCGGGATGGTAGAAATGCGGCACAGTTCGTTCTGCTGACATGACGAGTTGCAAATATACCCTTATGTTCTCTCTACAACCTGACAAGCTAGACCCGACCAATCGAGAGTAATCAAAGCCATGGCCTATCTCAACAAACCAGGGACACTCGAGAGAACGATTGCATTGAGCGAGATTCAAGCTGTGCTCCATCGGTATGCAGTGCTGGCACGCGACAATGCCGCATGGGACCAAATGGCTCTGCTCCTCACGAAAGATGGCCTGTATCGTCTTCCCAATGGGACGGTGGTAAAGCCGTCCGAAATGAGCACGGTGGTACAGGGTCAAGAAGCCAAATACATCCGACACCATATCACAAGCATCGATGTACATTTTACAAGCGACAATGAGGCGAGGAGTATCGCACTTTATCTTGCTGTGACCGACAAGTCGGCTCCCGATCATTGGGGCCAGTGGGAGGATGTCTTCAGGCGGACCGAGGATGGGGCATGGCTGATAGCAGATCGAAGCATTGTCGTCGACGGTTGTGATCCCAAGGGTTGGTTCGGCACGACATATGGTGTGCCAAAGGTCGTCAAGGGAACGGAATGAAGATCTACAGTATGGAGAGATGGGCCACGAAAAGCGGACACGGAAAAGTTTTCAAGATGCATGAGTTGATGCTCAACATCCCTCCCCGGCGCCCTCCTCAACGCGCTGAACTCAGTGAAGACAGGCGGCCCTCTTTTCCCCGCCGCGAGCGCGCCTTCAGCAGCTTCATCAGTGAAGACATCCCAAATAATTCTTGTGTTTATATATTTGATTCGCGAAATTTGACTCAACAATGGGTTGATAACTCAATGGCAGCGCTCACGTCCGGAGTCCAAACGCGTCCTAGGCAACGCTGTTTGCGTACCCTCCGAATCAGTCCTCCATATCTTTCTCCGGCCGGGTTAGATTTGGATTCTGTGACCGGAGTAGGGGTGTCCTGCAGCCACTTGTAGTTTCGATTCCAGGGTGTTGCCCCTTTAAAAATCTTGGCTTACAAGGTTTTCTATTCTCACAACTTCCCCCGATCAGGGAGGTTGTGAGATGAGTTTTTGTCCATCAACGCTCCATGATTTTTTTCCGTTCTTGAGGAAACGGGGCGATAAATTTAAAACATACCTGAGAAAACGAGGTGTACACTCAAACTGTGACGATCTTTTTGTTGATATCACTCTCTGAAGATGATCCCTGCGTCCACTCAATATCCACTACCTGAAGTATCAGGAGAGATATGATATATACCATGAGCACTTTGAGGTGTTGAACAGAGCCCCATTTTTTGGCCAGCCAATTGCAAACCACCATTGCTTGTAAAAGGCATGTCTGGTTCTCCATAACCCATACTCCATACCTTGCTTTTACTGGAGGCAGACAATACAGAGGCCGTCCATTCTCATTGCCTTATTTAATTCCTCGGTCCCCCACTTCCTCTCACACACAGTGTTGCACTCATGTCAACTTCACAACAATGGTCGATGAACCACAACTTGACCTACAATGTGGGGATTGCGAGCGGCGATTCTCTCGCAAAGAGCATCTCCAAAGACATCAGAGAACCCGTGAGCATCAATGGATTCTGGAAAGGCATGTTTGCCTGGGAAATGCTTACCCGCTCATGACGAAATGCAGATACGAAAGCAAAACCCTTCCAGTGCGATTACTGCGGTACAACGTTTGCTCGCATCGATAGCTGTCAACGCCACATGAAAGTCTTGCATCCAGAGGCCCGCGAGAACTTGAAAAGACCACGCTCAACAGTCGCGTGCGACTCTTGTTGCGCAAATAAAGTCAAATGCGATGTTGACCGTCCTCCCTGTCGGCGGTGCACGATCAAGAGGATTTCATGCACATTTGACCGTCCTTTACAGCGAGTAAAGCCGAGCCTGTCGACTACCAAGACTGGCACAGAACCGGCCGCGGCAGGAAATATCCTCTCATCGTTTGACTCCAGGACGACACCACACGTGCATGCCGAGATAGGTGGTACGGATGAAGTAATGACACCTTCACACTCTTCGAATGTCCGCTTCATCGACAGTCCAGAAGTGAATCAGATCGCGGATTCGTACTGTCCGACGCTCCCTCCCTTCGACGGTACGATCGAGCCTCTTGCTGCACATTCCTCCGCAGGCAACATTGCAGGTGGAATTGAATTGCCGCAAGAGGATGGTCCCTTCTCTTCTTTCAGCGGAAACTTGTTCGCCTGGCAGGATGAAGGGGTCGAACCTTCGTATCAGGACGTCATCTTTCCAAGCATTTTCGAGGTAAGTTCAAGTCCGCAGTCATTTTACTATCATTGCCGTATTATCTTGTAAATTTCATGCGATTCTTGAAGACCTTGATAAGCCGCCAGCGGAAGTAGACGCGCACTGATCATCAATTAGGTTTCTGAGAATGTAGCAGCCGACTACAACTTTGACTTATTTACCGAAGATTTACTGCGTTTACATGCTTCCGAAAGTCTTCCCGGTACCTTCGCATCCGATCTGATGTCTTTCAACGGTACAGGAATGGCTACTTCGCCCCTGCGTCTCGATTACAGTTATGGCAATGCGCTTCAAGAAAATCAGAATATGGAACTAGAAGCGGCAAATGTTGCAGCAGAGCGACTCAAGGAGTCCACAAACGCTACCTTCGTCTCTCGGCCCCAGTCACCCGGGGTCTTGACTGAACAGTCTCAGTGGATGAAAAGTTTGGTGGCTCAAGGTCGGCCCAGCTTTGACAGAGACGTTATCAATGCATTCCTAGCATTGTTTGAGGATAATATCTCTGCCTTCTTTCCCGGGTCTGGCCAGACAAAATTTACCAGAGAATCTCCTCGACATATCTATCTGGCTATGGCAGGCGTTGGTGGGTGTTTTTGCAGCATCGAAGGTTCAACCCAGGTCGCGAAGTGGTTCTACTACAACGCGCGTCGAGAGCTATTCACTGATGTATACCACTCGAGACGCAGAACATTCGACGAGAAGCTCTGTGTCATCCAAACCTTCTGCTTATTGGAACTCTTTGGGTATCTCTGTGGCGACCAAAGAGCCTACGAGTTGACCGAGGTTTGGCATCTCGAGATGTTACAGATCGCACGACAATTTGGACTTTGGACATCAGCGAAATCCGATTCAGAAGAACGGCAAAGCGGAATCATCCATATCTTGTATACACTGGAGTGCTATCGAACAATTATACTTCAACGGCCAGCCATGTTCTATGCACCAACCGCACAACCTGCCCCTTCCAGTTTCCCATTCAGTTCCAGCTGGTGGTTAGGGCCGAAGGAGGAATCTTTGGAGACAACTCTTCAATCAATTGCGTCCCACGGAACATCAACGAAGAGGATAAAGAGCAGCAGCATGAGTTTCCTCAGTCTTTGCGCTATCTCGCTCTCAGCATCACAATCGACGTGCATTGGGAATCTTGAGCCGAGTCAATCCTCGGAACAAGACATCAGTAAAAAGGGGGACCAAGGTGCCCCGAGTCAAGACCACTCCACGAGAAAGTTCTTTGAGATGCTTTTGAACAATTGGAGATGCTCACATGCCATTGCCCCAGAACCTAGCACCATGATGTTGTTCCACCTGCTACACCTGAACATCTACGTTTCCTTGTCCTCACTACAGGATGTCGAACAGTGGAACCTCCGTCACCGATGCTTTTACAGCGATGAAGACAAAGCCAAATCTTTGTGGCACGCCGGGCATGTTCTGCGCCTGGCCAAAGATATGAGTATGCTCGCCACGCCCGAAGCACGAGAATCTGGCACACTTCTGCCACCTCACTTCCCGCATGCAGTGTTTTTGGCATCTCTCTGCTTTTGGCGGGTGGATTACGAGGAGACAAATGACGACTCCATGCCAGGGGCTTACAATAATGGAATTACCAGAGGAAAGGAGATCCAGCTGGGAGAGAGTCTTATATCGCGTCATAGATCTGGCATGGCTAGGGTGTACAAAAAGGTGCTCGAGCGACTGCGGTCAGTGGTGTAGTTCGACGCAACTGAGATGTCATTCTGTACACTGCAACACCCAACAACCTTTCCATCGTGGAAGGATTGTCGTCACTGTACGTCAAGTCTTGTGGTTGCTGCGCGTACCTAAAGAAGCGCCTGGAGTCATTCAGGTGCCGAGCTCGTCGAGTGGTGACGTATATTGATCTTTCGAGTTCGTTAACATACTCAACGCACGTTTTACAAGATAAAAGGGGAACGAAGTGAAAGTAAGAGGCTGTTGTCTGGCGTTAAGTGAAAGGGGACAATTTACGGGGATGGAGAGGGGGTCTCCTGTATACCTGCTCCACCCTTGCGCTCTCTACGGTGGATGATGTAAACGTTCATCACACAAAAGTAAACGCGGTTTGCGTGACGCGCTTTCAGAAAACCACTTTAACCGCGAGGAAGTGATTTCGATTTCCACCACATTGATACACCGTACGAACCAGGGGTATCTTGATTTTTTGTTGTTCTTTTCTTTCTTCGAATCCGACGGTCTTCCAGATTCGTTTCAGGATTTTCATAATGTCCAGCGACTTCAAAAAGTATTTGGCGACCGAGGTCCTGTCGGAGCAGAGGACCGTGTCGTACCGCAACGTTTCGCGCGCCTTGAAGGTCCACGTCAACGCCGCGAAATGTATGCTGTACGAGTTCTATGGATTTCAGAACGAAAAGAAGCCAGGGTCGGTGTACGCCACATATCTCTTGTCTGGAGTGAAGAAACGACAACAGTCCCCTCTCAAGGCCAATGGAGCCCTAGACGGCGACCACAAGCAAGAACAACAACGACAAGAACAAGAATTCGAAGATGAACCGATCCCTTCAAGCCCACCCCCCTTTACCAGTTCAATGTTGGAACCGAGCCAGCAGAGTGACAAACAACCCACGGAAGAAGGAGAAGAACGAGAACAATCTCCACAAGTAAGAGTGCGGACGATTACACTCGTGAGGGAAGAGAGTCTGAAAGGTGGGTTTTTGGATCCTATGGATTTGCTGCGCTCGTCTGCGCATGAACGGCGGAAAATGGAGAGATTCCTCGCGCTAACAATTGATTTGACACGGATAGAAATCAAAGAACAGTACGAAACCATCAGCTCGATACACCTCTACAGCCTGTCCCCCGCTCGAATACAAGATCTCGTCAGCCTGACCGACGTGGGCCGGGGTTTGTTCACGGACGTGTTTGCAAAGGAGGACCCCCTGGAACACGGGAAACGATATGGCATAATACAAAACCCCGAAGTGAGAAGACGCAAAGGCAAGCGACCGATTATCTCTCAAGGTCCGGCTCCGAAATTCCAGCCGGTCAGGGAAGATGCAAAGAACCCACCGCCGCGGACGTCCGCACAGTCAAGCACTCGGCAGAAACAACAGCCTAGCAAAAACGCGGCCGAAGACACGCCCGAGGAAGCTTCTCGACCTGGCTCTCGTGACAGCACATCTACGACCAACACCCCGTCGAATAATAAACAACCTCCCCCTTCACTCAAACGTGGCGGGTCGTCGGATCTGTTCAAGGCCTTTGCGAAGCAAGGGAACCAAAAACCAAAAACATCGTCGCTTGCGAAACAAGACCCTGACACTGTGATGAAGGACGACGACGACGACGACGAAGGAGAGTCGGAAGACGAGGCCTTGTTTCTGGACACGGGGAAACGAACGACCAAGAAGAGGGCCAGTGACGTGAAGAAGGAGCGAGAAGATAAAGCGGCCAAGCTTCGTAAGATGATGGATTCGGATGACGAAGAGGAGGCCGAGCCAGGAGTAGTCCCCGCCAATGCGGAAAACGAAAACGCGACAGGGACCGACGCCGTGAAGGATGAAGGGGACGAGGAAGAAGTCGCCTGGTCGGATTCGGATACGGAGAAACAAAACAAGAAGGAAGCTTCTACAGAAAAGGACGGTGACCAGGCCAACTCCACCACCGCCACCGCCGGTTCAGAACCAAAGAGGCGCAGAGGCAAACGCAAGGTCACGAAGAAACGTACCGTCAAGGACGAGGACGGATACCTGGTCACGAAGGAGGAGGTGGGTTGGGAGAGTTATAGCGAGGAAGAACCTGAACCTGCTGTTGCTCCGGTCAAGAAGGTTGCGCCGCCGAAGAGTACCACGACTAGTAGTTTCGGATCAAACAAGTCACAAAATCAGAGTGCGGGCAGTCAGAAAGGTGGTGCAGGTGGTGGTGGTGCAAAATCTGCGCCGAAAAAGGGCGGAAACATTATGAGTTTCTTTGGAAAGAAAAATGCTTGAAAATGATAGATGGCATGAGCATCTCTTCTAGCGGATTGATTCATAACTCGCAAAGGATACCTTGTTGCCTGGTGAGGGTGGGCATCAAGTCATGTCGAGGTGTATGGATTAGCGTAACGTACAATAGGATAAATGTTGATCGAGCATCAATTGCGTACCGAGACCTGTAATGTATCTTGTCGAAACTACCTTGAGAAAGAATGGCATTGTGCATTGGATCGATTGGTTCTGTACCTGGGTATGTTGTGAATTATATATTCGTCTTTTTGAACGGCGGCCTAACCTGTAATGGAGAAAATGTCTATTTCGTTTTTGTATGCCACTTTTGTCCTGGATACACTGATTGATTTCAGTAGGACCAGACGGTCACCACCTCACTCTAGGTACCCAGGTAGGCAAGTCCTATCAGCTCCCCGAAGAACTCTTTCCCTCATTGACTGTTGGACCGTACGAACCCCTGACCGACTCGATAACTCATAAACGACCCATCTTCCTCTGGCTTCATGACCAAATGAGGCTTGTGCTCCGCGAGCCAGAGGACGGTCTGCGCGAAGACGCTGTTGGCCCACGCGAACCAACTCCTCGTCATGCCGTCGCCGCCGGGCCCGATGCCACGATGCACATCAAGAGACTCGTTGATCAGACCAAAGAGACTCGCCTTCTTGACACGGTCGACGCATTCGCTGATCTCGGCGTCGTCGGTGCTCGTCATCGCCTGCACGAGCACGCTCATGGGCCACGCGTTTCGAAGGCCAATGTGCGGACCGCCTATGCCGGAGAACTTGTCGCCGGTCAGAAAGTACGGGTTCCCCCGCTGGGTGAGAATCATGCGCCGAGTATTCTGATATATCGCGTCGTCCTTGTCCACGAATCCGAGCAAGGGAAGCGCCAGGAGGGAGGGGATGTTTGCGTCGTCCATGAGAAGGTGGCCTCCATATCCATCGACCTCGTAGGCAAACACGCGACCAAACTCCGGGTGTGGCACAGCGGCGTGCTTGTAGATGCCGTCTCTGATGATCTCGGATCGGCGCACGAGGTTATCGGCCACTTGAGTCATCCACGTCGCTTCCTTGGCGGACGATCTGGAGGACGCGGTCTTAAGTAGTGCCGCGGTGCGAGATAGTTCCACAGACATCATGGCATTTGCAGGGATGAGGAAGCCAAAGATGGTCGCATCGTCGGAAGGGCGGAATGCTGATCTCACCAGACCTGTGCCATTCGCTAGAGGGTTTCCTGTCCCTTCGAGATTGAGTGTCTCGGTGCCCAAGCGCGTCGAGCGTGAGAATGTGTATTCGTTTCTTTCATATTCGCCCGTGGTAGGGTCGAAAGTGGGCCGAGACTGTTCGTCCAGGACATGCAGGAGGTGCTCGAGGGCTTTGTACCACCGAGGGGTGAGGAACGCGGTCGAGCCGGTCGAGGTGTGATATTGGTTCGTTAATGAGAGGAATGCTGCAAGGCTGTCGAGTTCGTATTTGCATTCAAAGACCACACTTGGTTCATAGGCTGGATGGACGTAGTCTTCCTGGCCCGAGTGAACGGGTGGGAGACGTGACGGGTCAGGCGGTTGGAAGGCGTTGCAGTAGGGCGACGCGATGACGAACTCGGCTTGGGTATTGATGGCGCCGAGGAGGAGACTCGAGATGTCTTCTGCAGACTTGGCCAGATGTTGGTACTGCGCGAGTTGGTTCGTCGAGTCACGAAGCCATTCGGCGTTGATGTCGCCCGTCACGATGAAGGAGTGGGCGCCCTCCCATTTGCCTCGATCCCGGAACAAGCGTGGCTTTTCCGCATGTTTCGTGACTCCATCGACGTGCCAAAGTACGGTGGTATCCAGAGTGTTGGGAAACGCGTTGCGGAAGATCTGTGCCAGGTCTGCGTCCTTCAATCGAGGGTGTAAATCTTCTATGACCTTTTCCACCGCCGGAGACGAGAACTTGCGACAGTGAGGATGCGGTCGTTGGTAAGGAAGCTCTAGAGGCCCTTCGCTGAAAGGCTTACTTGAGTCAAATAATGTCAGCGGACAAATTTGAGACACGGCAACGAAGGTAGCATACTGTTGGTGGCGAGCATAGTTTGTGTAGTCAGGACAGAGCCCGCCGAACACTGCTTGATCTGAAAGATGGCTGTCGTAGAGGTCAGTGTCGGAGTCGCGACCGAACTCGGAGTCAGCGACGGCGACAACGACAACGGTCAGGCAGGTAATAAAACCGAGTACCTGCGTCCATAGGCGCAGATACATGATATAATGAATTAACCCATGCGACGCTTGATATGTGTTTATTGGAAATGCGCAGTGACGAAGCGGGGATTTGTATGGAGTAAATAGTACATAACACAAGGCTGGACGAGGCTGAGTCTATCATCAGCAAAGCAGTAGAATGACAGTCATATGGCTCTCTTGTGTCCCTTATTCGTCTCTGAGTAAATTGACAAGTCTAGTATTACTGTATTTGGACTTTGTATCATTACTGTGTCAAGGATGGAGTACTTCCTCGCTTTTGTCTACCATCCATTCCGACCAGCGAACGCATCCTAGAAGTTGGTCATCGCAGCGATTCTATTCTCCGTAGCCCTTTTCGTAAGCGCTATTTCCGTCGCCAACCATTCAAATGCATGCGGCACACCGCTGTACAAATGGAACTCGGTATTGATGTTTTCGGCAGCAATTCGCATGGCATATGTTGCAGCCTCATCCCGGAAAAGGTCCAAATCTCCTACATCGATATATGTAGCTGGTAAACCAGTCAGGCTCTTCGCCCGCGCAGGAGAAGCATAGTGCGAAACATCCGCGTCCCGTTTGCCAGCTTTATCTCCGAGAAGAGCTGTCCACCCGGTGATGTTGTCGTCCACACTCCAGACGAGAAACGGCGCGAGAGCCGCATTGGGTGTGAGATTGCGATCGTCTAACATTGGTTCAATAAGTAATTGTTTCGCAATGGGAGGCTGTAAGTTTTTATCCCTGGCCATCAGGGCCACACCTGCAGCGGCACCAGCGCCTGAACTTTCTCCAAACAATGCTATCCTTGTGGGATCGATATTCAAAGCTTGTGCATTCTCCATCAGCCATTGCAGAGCGGTGTAGCAGTCATTGACAAGGACGAGATCTTTATGCTCCGGAGCACAGCGATAGTCCACGCTGAAGATTGGAACATTGGTCCACGAAGACCACAAAGCAAGTGATTTTCTGAAATCCGCCGGTGTTCCAGCAATCATTCCGCCGCCATGGATATGAAGAACAGCTGGCCCTGGAGTATGGGCTGCGGGCTGTTTGATGAAAGCGTGGATAGGAATTGCACGTTTGTCCGTTCTGGCCACATGATGAATTTCTTGAACAACACCGGGGGCGTCTGGGAGGGTTTCCATCACCACTCGATTTGCTGCAAATCGGTCTCGTCGCCCTTGTATGTCGTGGACTGGAATCTTGGGCCTATTGCCCATTACGGCCAGCAGAGGCTCCAGAGCCCTATAAAAGTCCGGATCGTACTGCAAAGGCATGACGATAAAGTGGCTTGCGAGAGTTGAATGAACTGTGTGCTGTAACTCTTCTGCTCTTCTTTCAATAGGATATGCTGATGCAGCATTTCTTTGGGAATGAGACCGGAGGATGGAATGGCGCGCCTAATGTGTTTCTTTAAAGTGGCAGAGACCGCCCACTGTCCACCAATCGGTGCAGCATCGATCTGCCCAAAGTGAGATTGCACTTTCTCAGCCTTTTATCTTCTTGAAGAAACCTAAATGAGAGCCTGTCTGAAATTCCAGCCATGAAATGCTGGTACCACAGCTACAGGCTCTGTAAGTCCAAAAGGCTGTCTTGAGAATCTCCGCTTAACTTCCCATGTACTTTCGGAAAGCATAAGACTTGGTTCATATGTCAAAGTTTCGACCTAATTCCTTCGAGCCTGAACTTGACATCCTTTAGGGCCTTTGTGGTGGGTTTCCAGGCGTCAAATTGAGCAAGAAGCTCTCGGGCTTCGTTCTGTAACTCTGTCTTGACGTAATCTTCCTCCAGGATGCCACGCATTGCGAATGGGAGAATGTAAGGATTTGCGGCCGCGGTACTGGTCTGGCGTTGCGATATTGGCACATCTTTGAGAGCATTTGTCTCAAGAGCGAATGAGATTGCAATGTCATATACTGCATCATCCTCATAGATGCGGGAATGACCCTCTCCACCGTACAAGCTGCCTGCTAATGGTGACGAGAGTTCCCGTATAAGGCCATGATCTGGAACACCGACATTGCGTAATTTCAGCGCGAAGCCAACAAGATGTGATAGGAAATTTGGTGCATGAACGCGTGAGTCGATAAAGACAGCTCTGTATATATGAGGATGGGTCAGAGGAGCGAAGATCGACGACTCCATAGAAACCAGCTGGTCATCAATGCTGCCGACAAAGGTGAGCCGGACTCCGAATTTCAGTATCACTTCCATAGCTTCAAGAAAGCTCTTGGATACTTTGCTGTTGGGATCAGAAAAATCAAATAGCTCGCCAGCGGAGCCACTGATCCAACGAGACTTGTATTCCTGGAAGGGGCCCATGTTGACTCCCGCCATAGCACAAATACCAACTCGAGCGCCGCTGATACAACCGAATTGTATTAGTTTTGCTACAAGCATTATCGCAACTGGAACGCCTTGACTGTGGCAAGCGATCATGACGAAGTCTGATTTGCGAATTTCGTCGATCCAGTTAAGCAGCAATTTCCATAGGAGCTCAACTCGTTCAGTGATCCTACCTTCACCTTCAAGCGCTGCACTTTTGACTTCGCATTCGTACCCATGGCTTCGCGTCCATTTCTTGATGCATTTGGCGGCCATATCTGCAAACTTGATCGAAGTTCCTGTGGGCTGACCAAGCACGGTACGGATGAGTGGAGCTGGGAAATAGCCATGGACGCCGATTGCAAGTGCGTTCTTGATTTTTGGCGGGTCTTTGATGAGTGAAAGACGCTTCATGTCAGGCCCTTTGGTATAGTAAAGCAATCTTGCAAGCTGTTGCAATATAGAAGGTTGCTCCTCGGAGCTCAAGGTGTCGCTGAGAGCTGGTAGCAATAGGTTAGGCGCTTCTTTCTTTGAGGGTGTGGGAGACTGCTGCCTCGGTGTTCCGGCTTCAACTGGTTCTCTGGCGATTGCTGTGGCATGAGACGATTCTGCTTTCGTGGACTTGCCTTCTTTCTTCGTTGTGGCTTTCATCTCCGATTTCGAGACCGAAGGTTGTTCTGCGGCATTTAACTTGGCCGTTGCACTCTTCTCAGGGCCAGCCTGCTTTGGTGTTTCTTGGGCCTGCGCTGTTTTCAGGTTAGGCCTCGAAGCTTCATCTTGCAAACTGATCGAGGCTCGTTTAGGCCTTGTTTGTGAAGGAGTATCGGAAATTGCAATCTCGCCCACGTGCGGTTCGTTTTCAGGTTTCGCCGATGACTGGTACTTTCTATCTCGAGACCAAAACACCCAGCCTGCCGATTTAGAGCCATCTCCAGATAGCGGAGGCGGCGGAGATGTTTCTAGAGACGAAGCTTGTGACACTGATTTGGCCTTTGGGGTTTTGGGTATGCTAATATCAAGATGAGTGGGTTGTGTAGGCGCCTCTGTTGTCAATGTATTCGTTTCCACGGACGACAATGCTTCCTTCTGAGGTCTAGTTGATGCATCGCTACTCCACATTTGATACCAGCTTCTCTTATTTCCGGAATTCTCAGGGAATTCTTGCGGATTTATTGTTGCCTCTGGCGAGTTAGTTGGCGGTTCGGCGACAGCGGGCAGAGGTTGTCCATTTCCACTTTCTATATTCGAGGACACTGGGTGTTGCACTTCTGATGGTTTATTCATAGATCCATCTCTCCTCGCTAACCAGCCCAGCCACGTTCCTTGCTGATTTTGCTGTTGTTCTGATTGGATTTGTTGGGCAGATGCTTCGTTTGAGGCTGCCTTCTCGGGTTTCTGATTGCTTTCTGGTACACTCTTGTCTGCATCTCCGTCTGTAACAGGCTTATCACTGGGTTCTAATGGAACACTCTTCTTGCCATTGTTGGTGGTAGCCTCCGCAGTAGCATTCACGGCCGTTGTGGTGGCATCAACCGGTAGGGATCGATTCGAGGAGGTCTTTCCGAGAGTCATGGCCAAGGATGGTGATCTCAGAGATCTAGGCTTATCTTTGGTGATTGAAGCGACTTCATGGGCCGTGTTAGAGCTCGAAGGGACACTTTCGCGTGCAACTTCAGCGACAGGTCGTGCCTTGCGAGGCCAAGTACGGGTGATCCATGACTGCGCAGCTGATTAGCGAGTGTACGAACAATGAACTGCCAACGGCTTACCGATCTTTTTCCTTCCTCCGGGGACGTGGTGGATATGGCTGTGGTCGGGCTCGGCGGAGTCTCTGGAGGAAGGGGAACGTCGGCTGGTGCTTTTTGATCTGATTCTGAGGCTGAAGGCTTTGAAGGGTTGGTCTTTTGACGTTTCAATGGTCTTGGAGGCGCCATGGGCCTGGTATATGGGGATCCAGAACGTCAAAATGAGCCCGCCGTCGCTGACACTACACAAGACTTAGGAACAAGAGGACATGAAGTTGCCGAGCCGGACAATCGGTTTGGTAGAGGAAATAGTGATGTTGATTGTAATGCCCGTGAGGCGCTGCTGGCATGTCAACAGGCAGCCGACGTCATTTCCACAGGGCCAATCCCAACATCGGATGCCGCCCGTGTAGATCTCGCGTCCCCCACGAAAAAAAAGTTCTTTGGACGCAGGCTGGTGTATTATTATGTATGAAACAACCCCCGATTACTGGTGTCTTCTTCCTTAATTTCCCAGATTACATCCGCCGAGATAGTGACGGAGCCTCTGAAGATGGCGAAGACTGCCAAGATCAAGAAAAATGCTACGGGTAAGTATGAATCAGAAAGACCTCAATTTCTATCTTGGCCGGCGTTAACGATTTCGAAGCAAATCCGCGATCACGAGCGTCTAAGAGAGCCACGTCTCCATCCATTGACGTCGATAAATCCCTGAGGGAGGCCCCCCGAGCATCAAGTCCAACGCCTCTACTTGCCCCTCGGCCGAACAGTGGTGTCACCAAAGCGAAAAGGAAACAGAAGCCTTTGACAAAAGGCCAACGACGTCGGCACGAAAAAGGCCTGGCAAGGGCAGAAGTCGTGCAGGCCCAACTATCTAAGAAGGTGGATGATGCAGGTTCTAGGTCAAAGAAACGTCGGGACAGAAAGAAGTTGTGGGACGATGTGAATAGCGGCGCCTCAAATTTCGACAAGATGAAGGCTATTCTGGGAGAGAACGCAGACGATGAGAACGAGGAATGGGTCGATGAAGATATGGAGGCTAACATGACTGATGTGAAGATGGTAGAGGGTGTGCGAGTACCTGCGTTCGCACCAGCCACGAAACTGGTCATTGTCGACCGAACAGCGTCTGCTCCAACTACTGACGCTGAGGACGAGGTGGATAAGATAACGTGAGACAAAGTGTCTATTTCTTTGGTCTCAACTGTGTCAGCATCCTCTCGAGCTCGACCTGTTGCTGCCCGTTGGCCTTGTCTCGCAGAGATTCCAGCGATGCCAGATCCTTGGCCTTCAATGCCTCCTCGCCAGCTTTGACGATCATGCCACACTTAACCCACATCTCGATACGTTCTGCCGGTTGCAGATTCGTACATTTTGGAACGAACGACGCGGCAAGTCGAGTGTTACCGGCACCGAGCACTTCGTTATAAAAGGGCTGCAATCTGTCAGGAGAGGATTGGCTTTCGGAGACGGGGCACTTACCTCCCAACCGATGGGTGATCTCTTGTTTTTACTGAGCTCTTCCACCTCGCCCCATAATCGAGCTGCAGTCAACGCCCGAAGACGAATCCACCACCATGTTTTTTCAGGTACCTTGAAGGCATTCTGAACACTGGCAGCCCTCTTGCCATACCCGGACTTGATGAGTCGGTACATTGTCTCGTTCACGCTGAGGCCAACATAACTCCCACTGCTGTCGGTGATGTCCTTGTCAAATACTTCCTGCATCTTGAGTAATTGACCTGCCTCAGCCAGGGCTCTAGTGTGCATGGTAGCAGTGGGATCTTTAGCATCGGTGAGGAGTCTGCCAGCAAGTTTAAGTTTATCAATGACTGCCTGAATCTGAGACTGTTTCATGGCTTCTTCCAGCAGGAGATTGGAGCCCTCGACCGGTCGATCATCTTGGTAATACAGATCTTTCAATAGTTCTTGATCTTGCGCTCTTGCAGAGCTCTCGACGAGCGCCGCTGCCACCGGCTTCTCACTGATTGTCCGGAGGAATGTTGCCAGTGGCATCTTCTTCTTCAGCTGAAGCAGAACATAGAACACTAGATCAGTATCCCCGGATTCAATAGCCTTGTGCAAGGCAATCTCATCTTCTTCCATGCTGAGCAGTAGTGGGACTTGTTTTCCTGCTCGCGGCTCGTGATTGAGAAGGGTCGTCGCGAGATGACTTCGACCTTCGTCATAAGCTGCTCGGGCTATTGTTTCAAATGAGATCCCATGTTTTCCATGCAACCGCTCAACCACAAGTTCCCTGACTGCATCATCGTCCGCTGATGAGCTTCTGACCTTTTGGCTTGCCCAATGAATGTAGATTTTGTTGAGAGGTAGGTGGAGGAACTCGGAGAGCTTGATGGCCAGGAGGTATTCTCTTCTGTTGACCAATCGTGCAATCAGCCTCTCCGGCGTGAGGCGGACGTACTGCTCGTACGACATGAAAAGGCCAATACGATAGTCGCGGACAGCGTTCAGTACCCTCAGATCTTCGCACATATCCACGAATTCATCGCTACTGTACAGGTCAAGAACTGACTTGCCAAATGAAGCCGCGCGCAATAGCTGTTTCTGTAGATTCTGGTTGAACTCGTGACCTGCGGCTTGAATACACGTTTCAACCGCTTCCGGGAGGCTCTGTTTGATACGTTGTATGTTCTCGTCGGCCTTTGGGGATTTCATTTCTAGTAGTTCGATGGAGTCAACTAGCACCGATGCTGCTGATGTTGATCCGAGCCGAAATACCTCCTCTAGTTGGTCCGGAACCTTGTGCAGGAAGTCGCAGGATTCATTCGTGATTAATCGAATACCGTCAATATCAGGCACCACATGGACCTGGTCATCGTAGTAATATTTGACAGCTGCACCGTCGGGCCCAACCATATGAATCTCATCTTCCCAAGCCAATATCACTGAATCATTCCCGCACCAATATATCTGTGTCGGTGTAGTCTTCGCTTTTGAGTCATACTCGCTGTACTTTTGTTGGAAGTCGCTCCCCACCACCCACACCTTGCCATCTTCAGTGTAGAGCGCTGCGAATCGTCCGTTGGGAGAGACGCTCACATGCTTGAAAGGACCATCGGATAGACCCCGATCGTCAGCTTCCGAGGCATCGATGACGACAATAGTTTTATCGATTGCCAACAAGACTTCGACGGACCTTGACAGAGTATAGGCGGGAGGAATAAGGGACCATGAACTAATTTCACCCTCCGGTGGCTGTGCAAGTAGTCGTGGCCTCGGTTCGTCAAATGAAGACACGGCGACTAAGGTGTTGTTGGATAAAAGAGCAACGAAACCGTGTGACCAAAATCGGCATGACACAACGCCATATTCTTCCGCGCCATGTCCCAGCAAGAAAGGTTGAAAGTCCCCGTAGAGCCCAAAGTAGCAGTGAACTGTGCCATCCTCGGTGACGACTAATAGCTTTTCGTCATCCGACCAGCCCAGGCCTTTTATCGGCCCCTTCTCCCAGTTGATGTTGCTGATTAGCTTGCCCGATGTTGAGTAAATGTCGATCGTGGACTTTGTCGACTGTCCCGTTCTATAGCGTGCAATTTTGCTAGAGTCTCTCCATAATGCTTTTCACGTTAGCTTGATTCAGTCGCAACCATGAGATACTTACCTAGCGCCCCGCCGTATGGCGCTCCAGCCACCAGGTAGTTCTCAAGCTCGAGGTCTTGGTCAAAGATAGACTCGTAAAGTTGAATCTTTTGATAGAATTGGTCGCCTATCTTCTCCCAGCCGCTTCTGGGATTTGTTGTAGTCATCGGAGCGAGTCATGCCTCAGATTGTATGTTGTGATTGTTTGCAAAGATGATAAAGTAGGAGGGAAGAACATATGAAGGTGACGGACGTCGTTGTTGTCGACCAATGAGGGGCCGCCTTGGCATCAAGGGAAGCCGAAGTCAGACATTCGCTCTCTAGCAACTTCACGACCGACTTGCACTCGTTCGTTGACAGTCTAGACAGCACAAAGGTGCAATGGAAGGCACTTGGCCCGAAAATGTTCACTCTTGTATGAAGAGCCCTGGTAGTCCAGATCGAGAAAGAAAGCCCCGAGGTGTTGGGTTCAACACGACCAGGCAATGATGGACCGCCAACTCTTTCTTGAATATGTCAACAACTTGACTGATCTGGAGCTGGCTGTTCTGCTCAGCCTCGTCGCTCAGGATCATTGTCTCATTCAAACCCCTGAGGAGTTCCAAGATGATGTTGCTTCGGAATTGGCCCTGGTACGTGCAGCCTTTCCGACATGAGGTCTCATCTAATCGACTTTAGATTGTCCGCGATATCTTCAGTCTCTCCTACATCATCATCAATAAACATGACCTTCAATCCATCGACACGTTTGTGGAAGCCATACTAGATGATGCCAGGGAGTATAGTGACCCTCTGGACCAGTCTGACGACGATCTCGGGCGCGTAAGGCTTTTTCTCTTTCATGTGCTTCGCTCCTTGTTGACAATCCACCCCAGGAATCTGATCTTCGGGCCAGAGTTGCTGACGTCAGTTTTCGGGGAGTTGCTTCGGCTCAAAATGATCAAACAACCCTAGACACCAGAAAGGTGGTCAATGTGGTAATTGCAAAGGACTTTAACCTCGCCCACGAGGATGTTCAAATCCAGGCTTTGGAGGTCAGTTGAAGGTATCTCTCACTCCTCTTATCCTAACAGAAAGCTAGCTCATCCGGCGGAGGAGGATATTCAGCAGAACAACAGTTCATACAGCTCCGAAGGTATTCTTGCTGCTTCCTCTTGTAACAACCGCTACTAGACACATCAGACTGAATGGCCACCTTGTATGATCGCACCCCCTCTCTTGAGGTTGTATGACTTATGATTCTTCCAGAATGACCGGATTTTCATTTCGCACCACCATGACCCGGAAGACGGTTTTCCCAATCTCCAAGAGATTGATGAAGTCGATTACCAAGAGGATAAGCTCTCAGCATATTCCGACACAAAATCTATGAGTCTGAGTCCTCAAAAGCGCCGTGCATCGCGTCAAATCGGTTCCAAGGTACATTTCTTTTCTTGTGCCATATGATCAATGCTAATCGATTGTAGTTGATTGAACAACTTCGTGCCGAGGGTCAAGCAGCAATCATTACTCCTGAAATCCGAAGATACCTGCAAGACTTTGTCGCTTTCCTGCGCATAGAGAGAGGTGTCGATGGAGGTGTTACTGCGTATGCAACGACACTATTCCTCGCCCTGTCAAAGTAAGCCCTCTCGAAAACAAATCGTGTGAGTTGGTCGCTGATTTGCATGTTGAGATACCTTGCACCGTTTCATGGGATAGACTATGTCACCCCTTCTCTGATTGCTTTGGCAGCGAAGAAAGTATACCCACATCGCCTCATCATAGCCACTCCCAGCCGCGAACGCAGTACTCTATATGGTACTGATCTGGCCACCGCACAATATTTGCTCGAGGACCTTGATCCAGAAAAGGTGATTCAAAACGTTTTGGACACCATAGAGTGTCCTACGTGATTTTACTTGCTTGCGCCAAATTCATGAATAGCATTGAATCGGCGTAGGGTACAGCGTTCCAACCCATTGGCGATTCTCTCAAATTCGTTCTTCTCGAAATGCGGTGAAAAGTCACCATCTCACTTCTTTTCACAGAACATCGACGAGGGACAACCTATTGCTTGTCCAATCGCACAACTAATCCTTTCTTCCTTTGAAAACAAGGTGGTGATCATACTTGTCTTCTTGTTCCAAAATCCATTATGGATTCCAACAATCAGAATACCGGCAACAATGCTGATGCGAAGAATAAAGAAGAACTCGAAAAGACGCTTGCAACCTTACTTGACCTTTTCCCCAACACAGTGAAGCTGGAAGAAGAAGACAATGATGATTCTCACAAGAGTGCAGCCAAGGAGAATGAAGATCATGACAAAGAGACTGGAGTTGCGAAGAAGAAAAAATCCAAGAACCCTGCTATTCAGCTTACAGATCCTTTTGGTCCCAATGGAGAGTACCTCGATGGTGATGATCTCAACAATTCTCCTCGGCGACCATCTGAAGAAAACCCTCTCAATCAGTCTCCTGTCCCATCTCCTCCACCTTTCGGTCCCTGGGTATTTCCAAACCTGATCAACAACGGGCGTTTCGAAGACGTTCATCCCGTACCCTGCGCTTCTCAAATCCCGGAACCAGACCAGAGTGGTGTCCGCGGCAGCAGCAACAACAACAACGACAGTCTTTCTTCGCCAATTGCACCGGGAAGTCATATCATCAGAGAGATACTCGCAAATCGACTCGCCCCTCCTCCTCCCCTCGCAGGCGCCGTCACCGTCGAACCGCCAGACAGCGATGACGAAGGTCCTCCTCTGTCTTCCGGCAGCAGCACACCTCCTTGGCACAACCCATCGAATCTGTCTGATGAAGACCATCAAAACTTGATCAGGGCTCACATGGAGGCCCAGCATCGTGCCATCCTCAGGGAGAGTTACTACCGCCGTTATCGAGCTAGCAAGCATCCAGGAAGTGAATCTCGCTTTGACTTGTGAGAGAGTGAGATGGAGAGCGAGAGCGTGTCTGTGTGTACTTTACAATAGCATAGAATAGTATGGTGTAGTACACCATTATCAAAAGAGTCGAATGTTACCCTTCCTCCTGGTTCTCCCCTTGGTCTAGTCAATGTCCGCCTAGTCAAAAACTCTACGTGTACTCTCTGCTACGGTCCTACCTTGCGATGGCGGCAACCGTCATTCCTGATACATGCTGTTACCATGGTGTCGCCCACGGCCCACGACCCTCAACGTGTCATCACGAAAGAGGCATCACGATCTGGCAGGATACGTATAGGGAAGGCGTCAATTAAGGACTGTTGCCTTCCAAGATATCCATGTGTCGTATCTTATGCTCGGTAGACATCCATACACACTCAGAGCCTTCAGGGAACCATCACACGAAGAAATCATAACGGGGCAACATTTCATACAAGGACGGTGTCATTCAAGATCTCTCACGACTCAAGCTGTCCACAGTTGATCTCAATGACCATCTCATGAGATACAAAAAAGCAAGCAAAGGATCATGTTCATGATTCATCATACTAAACGCTGAAAAATGCACTACACCTGAGGCTGCTAGACTCCAGCCGCCCGTAATGAAACGCCAGATCCACAATGCCTAATGATGCGGCCGTAAACGCTGAGAATTGTGCTTTTGTCAGAATGGTGCAACCTAGAAATAGAGATGGCTGCGTATTTGCAATTTCCTTTGCATCAAATCCATGCCATGCTTATCAGACTCATTTACCTGCTCACAGAAAGATACCTCTGATCTTTTGCTTCATCAAGCCGGAGATCCTCCAGTGATTTCAGGAATTCCAGGAACTACTAGTTCTCTCCCATCCGATCTCCCTGCACTCCCATCAAACACAAAAGGTCCGGCATTATTCCTAGGAGTGAGCGGACCCTCTCCAGAAATAACATGTTCAGGGTCTGGCGTTTGTGTCCTCGTTCGCTGGTGCTCAAGGTGTGTATCCATGTCGTCTTCATCTGGTCGGTCTGGCATGTCGATATTGCCGTTCATTGTGGTTAATTCGGGTGATTCTGGATTCGAAGCCTGCCTTCTGGCCAATAAACCTGACATACGAGGCGTAGCAGAGCCGGAATTCGGAACATCGATGGGGTCGGATATAGTCACAGTTGGGTGCTCACCAGAATCTTCCGAAGTATCTGGGGTCTCGTGAGCAGCACTTGAGTCGGTGGCTTCTGCATCAGGTGTATCTTGGGCAGGGGCAACATTCGCATCGTTGGTGGCAGCATCATTGGCGTTGGTAGCTCCGTTTACTTGCTCATCAGTATTTCCCATCCATTCGTCAATATCCGACTGGGCAATATCAACGTCTGCGGTTAGGTCGAAATACGCACGACAGTTGGGACATTGGAATTGAGGATAGGTGCTGTTTTTCCCTTCCAGCAAAGGCCGAATGCACTTGTAGTGCCAAACATGTGCACATGGAGCGACGAATAATGCTTGACACGGCTATAGAGAGGTCAGTGGAAGCCCGGCGTGCGAATATGATTAAACGTACCAACACAGAGCCCAGGCAAATTGAGCATTCGCCACTATTTGAATCTGCCGATGGCTGGTCTCTGGCGAGGCTTTGGAGTTGTTGGTGTCTTGTTTTACTGTAGCATTGTTAGCATGAACATAGAGACGCAGTGTAGACATCACCCACTTGAAGTTGTTGGGCTTCTTTTGCCAGGCTCTATTGCATTCAATCCTAATCTTGACACACCGAAATATCATCTCTTCTCCTCCACGAAAGTCGATCCCCAGCTGAACAATATCTCCGTCCTTGATCGGGAACAATCGTGACTCGGTGTTCGGCTGACTCAGTCTGATATGGTTGAGGAAGGTTCCGGATGAGCTGGCCACATCTCTGATCTGCCATTGTCCATCCACGAAACTGAATTCGCAATGTTTTCTGCTCACCACTTTGGACTTGAAGCCTACAGGGGCATCTGAAGGAGCCGTGGGGTTTGCCGTGGGAATTCCTTCGCGTTCAGAATATCTTCCGACGCGAATAATGGCAGATTCGCTGGGTAGAGTCCGGGAGATAGGAGCGAAAGTGAGGGACGGTCGGCCATTTCTCACCTCCTGGTGAGGGAAGAACCGTATAGCAGGCAGTTGTGGTTTTGAATCTCCTTCTTGTCCCTCTTTCGGTTTCGCAATAGTCCTCGAATTCGGAGGCCTCGCGGCTGCCCCATCAGCCATAGGGGTGTCTGCCGGATGACTAGTAGTATGCCGGCGACCGGTCGAGGTTCTGTGTCTGGCCATGTCTTCTGAACTATCTCCTTGAACAGACACCGGCACAGCTGAGGCAGCGGCGGGTCGGATTGGTATGGATTGTGTTCTCGGTGGAGATGAGGGTCTCGAATTGTCTTGTGAGGGAGGGATCTGGGGAGGATCAGTCGCAAGTGGGCTCGTCGGCTCGTTTGGACGCGAGGCACTTCTCCTTCTACCAGTGACTGAAGAGTCTGGACGGTGTTCGTTGTAACTCAGGGAGCGCTGGAAGTAATGTCTCGGAGAACGAGAAGGTTTCGTTGGGGCTAGTCTGACCCGAGCGGCTATGCGACAAAGCACGAAGATAACTCAGGCCACGGCGTCGAGAAGAGGTTCTTGTGAGATCGACGGCTGCACCTGCAGTGACACCAGAGGTGACAGGCGTAGGCGACGAGATCATGGGAAATGACGTTGGGTGTGGAGAGGAGGAAAGAGAGTATGCAAGAGGTGTCTGGTGCTTCACAAGGATTATGGAGGGTCAGGCAGCGCAGGCAGTCGACAGTCAAATTGAAGCGCCTTGTTTGATAGGGGCACGTCGTTGTCCAGGGATTCGCTGTTCGAGTACTCGTACTGGCCCCCTCTTGTAGACCCAAACCTGTCCAACTCGACTCGGGAGTATGAAAGGGGTCAATTGTGCATCCAAAGGTGCGTAGGTTTGCAGGGTTCAGGATGCCGCAAGCGAAGAGGGCAGATTCGTGGACGCCTAAGCTACAGGTACTGTTAAGTCTTCGGTACGGGGAGTTTCTTTGGAGACGAGTTGCAAGCCTTCTTACCTAAAAGAGGACCCTATACGGAGTAATGATGCTTGGTTTGGTGGTCTCTGCTGACAAGGGACAGAAAAACCATCCGAGATGAGGAAGTCTGGCTTTGTTCAAGAAGCAAGCGGTAGAGGGAAGTGGGAGAACAGTCTACTAGAACGACGGACAGAGACGATGTATTTACTATTACCAGCTAAACTCTTTCATCGACGCTTTCTGATCGGTACTTCGCATTCATCACAGCATCGACTACTTGTAGCCATCGACATCATCGAGCGTCAAAGGATCGTCTGCCACGACTTTCCCCATACTTTGGTCGCCGGTGGGTATTATTACGCGGACGGACATGGCGAGGGTTACTACGAGTATGGGTCGTTGCCAGCTTATAAAGCCAGCTTAGGTACGGAGTACCTACCAGCTTATTCCCCGGGAGGTCGAAAAGTAGTGTCGTTATAGGGCCCAATAGTTAAAGTTCTTTCCCTAAAGCCGCCTAATACAGTAGACACTTGTTAAGGTGCTTTGGGGCAGCTTTAGGCGCCTCTCGCCCCTGCCAAATACCGCTAGATGCGTCGTACTCCGAACCTTCAGAACAGCGGCCATGATCGGTCAGACCTATATTAACATCAAGGAGAATCTCAAGCACAACTTCGAGTGCAACTCAGCACAACTCATTCCCAATGAGCCTCTGAATCAGCGTCCTCTTCATTGTCCAGAAGTTTCCAGGTTCTTTTTGACCAGATGACATGAGATTCGGCCTTCTGTTGGGGGCAAATCAAGTGATTATCCGATACTCACCAAAGCCGCCTATCGCCGAGGCTCCACCTACGATCCAACCAAACCTCGCAGCTTTTTCTCGCAGCCAGCAGTCTTCAAAACACTCTCCAGTACATTCTTTGTTCACTCATCCATCATCCATCAGCATGCGCTCCGCTGCTGTTAGAGCCCTTCGGAATGCGAGGCTAAACTCTAGGCATACAAGACCGCTCATCCGAAACTATGCCACAGCACGAGATCCTCTGCACAAAGTGAGTTCTTGTCCTTCGTGATATCGTGTGATCGTTCTTCTGACCATTCTCTATCACCAGGACCCTGTCGAATTAGACCAAATCACAGAATTGCCGAATGGAGTCCGAGTCGCGACCGAATCGTTACCGGGACCTTTTGCTGGGGTGGGCGTGTACATTGATGCTGGGTCGAGATATGAAGACGAGTCGCTGCGCGGAGTCAGCCATATCGTGGATCGGCTAGCCTTCAAGTCCACAAAGACACGATCATCGGATCAAATGCTAGAGGGCCTCGAGTCTCTTGGTGGAAACATTCAATGCGCCTCTTCTAGGGAAGCTTTGATGTATCAATCTGCAACATTCAATTCCGCCGTCCCCAACACGATTGCGCTGCTCGCCGATACCATTCGAGACCCTCTCATCACCGACGTAGAAGTGGAACAGCAACTCGACACTGCCCAGTACGAGATACAAGAAATATGGTCTAAGCCTGACCTCATCATTCCCGAGCTGATGCACATGGCTGCATACAAAGACAACACGCTCGGCAACCCCCTCCTATGTCCTCAAGAGAGACTGGGTTATATTAATCGAGATCTCATTATGAAATATCGAAGCAGATTTTACAAACCAGAACGGATAGTTGTCGCCTTTGCTGGCATTGAACATGACTTGGCTGTGAAGTTGACGGAGCAATACTTTGGAGATATGGCCCGGACGGAGACTTCAACAAGCCAACCATCCGTTGGATCTACACCCACGGATACAGCAACCTCGAGTTCACAGTACCAAAATTCACAGCAATCTTCTACAAACAAATTCCTGTCAAAATTACCAGGATTTAGCAACTTTTCAACTTCGGCTACCCACCAAGCGACCGTCTCACCATTGGATCCATCACTGCTTCAGCCTGACCCGACGTCACTCTTCTCCCAACCGTCCCATTATACTGGAGGCTATCTAGCACTACCGACACTGCCTGTACCTCAGAATAATCTCTCCATACCGCTATCACACGTACATATCGCATTTGAAGCCTTACCGATTTCCTCGGATGATATCTATGCGCAAGCTACGTTGCAGACTTTACTTGGAGGAGGTGGATCATTCTCGGCTGGCGGACCGGGTAAAGGAATGTATTCGAGATTGTACACCAATGTGCTTAATCAGCATGGTTGGGTGGAGAGCTGCGTTGCGTTTAATCACAGTTACACCGACAGTGGCCTCTTTGGTATTGCTGCGGCATGCGAGCCTGGCCGTGTTGGACATATGGTCGATGTCATGTGTCGCGAATTGCAGGCACTCACTCTCGATTCTGGCTTTCCAAGTCTTCAGGCAGCGGAAGTCAATCGAGCGAAGAATCAACTACGGTTCAGTCTCCTCATGAACCTTGAATCACGTCTGGTAGAGTTGGAGGATTTGGGAAGACAAGTTCAGGTCCACGGCCGAAAAGTTGGAGTTAAGGAGATGTGTGACAAGATCGAAGCCCTCACCGTGGCTGACTTGAGACGTGTGGCGAGGCAGATCTTCACAGGAAAAGTGGACAATAGAGGCCACGGCACGGGTGCTCCTACTGTGGTCATCCAAGAAGGAGAAGATCCCAGTGGCAGAAAGATCAAGTCGATACCATGGGAAGATGTTCAATCCAGGATAGCCAGGTGGAAGCTAGGACGGTTGTAGGCCTCAGGTACGTCTACCTCTGGACTTTGTACTATCATATCAGAGCCTGGAGCTGTGGACCGGCGCAAAGGGTCCTCGATACCACTCAAACAATGTATTAACACCATTTCTTGTCGTGTTTCATTCTCATGCCATAAATTGCCGACGCTTCCTCGCCAAAATTTCTCATGAATCTACCAAATCGGGGCTTAAGCTTCACTACCCTTGCAGAGCGATCAAATCCCTTACGCCGCCATTTGCAGGAATTTGAGCACCGTTGATCCAGCGAGCCTCCTCGGTGGCAAGAAACCCCACCACGAAAGCCACATCTTCTGGATCTGCCACTCTTTTCTCTGCAGTACACTGTTGGATCATCATTTCTTGCGGATCATCAACAACGGAGCGGTATATATCGATAGCCTTCTGGAGGGCGTCGGTTTCAGTGGCCCCCACGCTGATGCTGTTGAAGGTTGCAAGTGTTTTGATTCCATATTGAGCGGCCAGCGATCTGGTGAAGCTATCTAGACCGGCTTTTGCAGCTCCATACAACATCATAGGGTCCGCAACCGCTTGCTTCGATGCGCAACTTGAGATGTTGATGACTCGACCACCTCTGGGAGGGAGATGTGGCAACACAGCAGCGATGATGTTGATGGGTCCGAACAGATCTCCCTGCATCATATCTCGAAAGTTTTCGACGGTGATTTTTTCGAAAGGCTCGAACATTGGCACCTTGGTGAGAACGGCGTTATTGACCAAAATGTCAATCGTCTTGGCCCCTAGTTCCTTTAGGACTCTGTCGACGAGCTGGGGTCCAACATGAGGATCGAGGAGGTCAGAGTGAATAGCAACGACTTTTGCCACACCGAGGCCTCGACACTTCTTGACGACCTCTTCAGCTAATTCTTTGTTGCTGACATAGGTTATGGCGAGAGCAGAAATTCCCTTTTTTGCAAACTGGATGGCACACGCAGCACCGATACCGCGACTACCTCCTGTCACTATTGCCGTCTTTCCTTCAAGAGACGTGGTAGATTGCATGCTTCGTTCACTTGGGCCTTTCGAACGTGAAATGGTCGTTTGTATCTTTACGAAGTTGCTGAGACGAGAGCGAGATATCTCAGAGCGGCCATGTGTGCAGGGACTGTCCTTTTAAGACATGCCTCAATGTAAGATTCGGCATTTCGCATTCGGGAATGACCACAAACGAACAAAACAGCACGCCTGATCCCTCATGGAGACCTCTACTTGTCGATGTCCTTCGCTCATCATCTTCAAAAGAACGCAATATCCAACCAGGAGAACGAGCTAGTTACCCTAAGGGGCTGGTCGATCAATCGCCTGTGGCTTACGCGTACGGAGGGAGTGACACGAATACACCAGAGTTTCTCACTGTCCGTAGGCCGCAACTCGCAAGTTTCGAAACTGGCCAGGAGTACTGCTCATCCTGGGGCAGTCTGTGTCTGCTAGAGGCTAAAATCACCGCAAGTCACAGGGATTTTTGAATACACAACTAGCCATTCTATCGCTCGACCCGCAATACAACACCTATGTTGGAGCCGATGGCCAGGATATTCTCACACAGAGTATTGAGTACGCGTCGAAAGAAAGGCCGTGCTTACCCGAGTCCATTTAAAGCGTTGCTGACAATGCTCCAAAGTACATTCGGATCAGCGGTGATAAGTACCTAGGATCAAAGTGGGTTCATTCTCGCACATCATGCATGCATGTATGCGCTTCCGACCCCAGTGCTGACATGCTCTGCGGTTCAATCATCAATGCAACGCAAACAGACCCTTCAACTTTTACTTCTGGTCGGCACCACAATGCCATCATGTTGCAATGTACGAGCAGTCTGTCTGGTCTATATCGTCACAATTAATTTCTTTGCACTGACACCTTGACCCATCAGATCAACCGCGTGTTGCACGGTTTCCAACCCATGGCCCACCACTTCTGGCGGTGGCATGCACTTGATGTCTCCTGACTTGAGTGCTTGATCCAACCATGGCCAGATGGACAAACCGATGCTTGCCTTGCCAGCCGCAGAATTGGTCATCACCTTGACGCCGTGTGTCGCGCTCTGTTCAGCACCAGGTCTGACGGAAGCAACCACCTTCATCTTTGCGTCGGACCTATCCAAGATTTCGCATACTTTGTCCAGCGTCGAGTCTTTGGAGATGGCATCATAAGCACCCACCACGTCCTTTCCCTTCAAGAATTCGACAATATCATCGACGACCGCGGGGTTGTTGTGGTCGAAGGTCACTTTTGCTCTGAGACTCTTGACCATGTCATGGTTTTTGGCGCTCGCAACCGCAACCACATCGTAACCGGCCAGCGCTGCCAGCTGTACACCACAGCTTCCGACGCTGCTGCTCGCGCCCCACACAAGAAGGGTTTTGTTTTTGCCCGCGTCACGCCCCGCAGCAGGCATCGCCAGCCCCAGGATGTCCGGAGCGAAGATGCAACTTGCCGCCGTGTACACGCCGAGAGGAAGGACGACTGCGTCGTTGTAATCGAGACGTGCTGGGACATGCGCGATGGCCGGCATCTTCAAGACGACGTACTCTTGGAATCCGGAGTAGGCGTACGCTCCGTCCTTCAACAGGAGCGGGGTGGAGGCGCCAATGACACGGTCGCCGACGGAGAACTTGGAAGTGAGGCTGGGGTGGACTTCCACGACTTCCCCTGCGACATCGCAGCCTAGTATTGCAGGGTAGGTGGTCAGGAGGAGGCCTCGTTCCTGAATGAAATGGTCGGCAGGGTTGATGGCGACGGCACGGGTGCGGATGGTCAGTTCGTCTTCTCCCGGTGACGAGTATGGAACCGAGGTGACGTGCATTGTAGGTGATTGTTTCGAGGGGACGACCGCGGCACTGTTGGTCCGTGTCATTTTGATTGACGAGGTGTTGGTTTGAGATGGGTGGGAACAAGGTCAAGGACAGCAAGGAGTGAGTGTTCGAAGAGGGTGTATGAAAGTTGCGAGTCCCACGACTATAGGTGTCCGTACCAGAATCTATGAGCGAGTCTTAGGTTTCAACGACTTGTGCCAGATACGTGACCTTTTATACACCCAAGGTATAGTTGTTCCTTATCATCACATATAACACCGCAAAGTCCGCCCGGATTTAATATATCACACGCTTCACGATGGGGGGAATGCCCCCTGATACCCTCTGTAACCCATTGGTGTGCTCTTCAAGGGATAATGACCGACACCACGCCATGAGATGGAGACACCGGAGACAGCAGATTGGCAGCATCACCGTCAGGGTTGTTGTGTTCAATGAAATAGACACGAGTACGAGTCTTGGTTAGTCTCGGTGGAATCTCGAGACAATCTTGTAGAAAACCAGAGAGACAAAAAATGTTGCAATCATAGTCCCACCTCATATAGTCGACGACTTTCCTCAAAGAGGCTCGTATCGCCGAATCCGGATTAGTCCGGGCACTGTACAGTAAATCTTGGTCCATCCCATCCCCCGTCCTGGGACTCTGATCCTTACCTACATGTTGATCCGTATCTTTAAACCTCTTGTTCTTTATTTCTCTGTACAGTAACCTTTCCATCCCCTACTATATGCAGATATTACTTCTGCGTCCTACCATGAGAAGTGTGAACAGTTGATTCCTTTTCGAGGCGACTCCATGCCAAAAAAAAAGAACAGTTGCCGAATTACATCCGTACTCATACTCTAGAGATACAATTTTGTTCATCAATGACGCCTGGCGTTCTTTTTTTTCAAATTCCCTCTACCAGGTCGCCGAGCTTCTTTCCCATTTCCTATCAATGCCGCCTGATTTATTTTCCATTCCCTCTATCAACGCCACCTGATTTCTTTCGTATAGTATCATCAAGGCCGAAAATCCCTACCTCATACTTCAAAAGGACTCGTCCTCGCCCATGGCCATCCCCTCAACCGAACGTACACGGGTGTCAGTTGTAAGCATAACATCATAATCATCCACAAAACGGAATAGTAATGGGTGGGCGCTGGGTGACATTCAAAAAATTGAAATCTGAAACGAACCCCGAGTGTCGAGCGTGAACGCAGTTTCTAAGAACATGTAGGTCCTTGCCATGATATTCATCTTAACAGTTTCATGTGGAGATATCCAGGGCCCCGATCATTGACATCTCTTTTGAAGAATTTCAGAATCAATAAATACCATTTAATGAATGCAATCAGGAGGTGAAAAACAGGGCCCAGGACGAGGTTGGACGATGATCTTTGTATACCTGATTTTGGTGACACGTCCTGACACGGATACCCCGCCGTAATACGAGCACCAGTGACCAAGTCCTCGTATTCTTTCGTATGGCGGCGTAATGATTACGGCTAATGTGCGATCTCGGATGACGTTGACGACCACAATTTTGTCTCTGGTTGCCCTATTGTCTTTCCAGGCCAGAGAGAGGATTGAGATGAATTGAAAACTCAGGCAATGATTCAACTCTATCACTCAGCTCGAGCTCACGATCGACGAGCACGGTCAAAGAATGAGGCCCCCAATGCGTCCACCCTTGAAGCCATGATTGGCGTCCCAGAGATAGAGATGACGATGCCCTCATATCTACTGTTGCACCGGGTCAAGTATCATCCCACCCAAGTCAACCGCTATTTAACAAGGTATGTAAACCCGATGGTTTGTCCTCCCTTGCAAATCCATCTTCCATCCTCTTCTCCGTCACAACAAGTTCAGCATCACAACCCCGACGATGTCAATGACAAAGGCGCAAACCTCGACCACTTCATCAGTAACCATGACGGGTGATGATGAACGCGTCGAAGGAATATTCAACTATTGGTCGAGACCCTCTCCTCCAGCCGTGGAAGAAGTCTTTTCCGTCTTCAATGGGACATCTTCCAGTCAAAAATCTGTTCGATGTGACGTGTCCGACATTCGAACGCACGGCCTGTCATCTTTCCACCTGGCCAGCCACGGGTTTCAGATTCTGCGACACTCTTCTTCTCTACTCCCCCCGCAGACGGATCGTATCCCCGATTTCCACGACGATCAAACCACCAAGGACCTCTACTGGCCCGAGGTCACCTCTCTGATTCAGTCGACCCTGAAAGCCCGTAGCGCCATCGCCATCACAACCACGGTGAGGGACGTCAGTGAGGTCGTCGAAACGAATCAAAACCACGGGAATCCCCGCGCGAACAAGAACCAGCGTTTCCAGCCTTTCACGGTCGTCCACGGAGACTATACCCCTCCCGGAGCCAGAGGGCACATGCGTGCCATGCTGCCGACGTTCTTCGAGGACAATGGGATGTCGGGCAGTAACACCCCCGCCGAGCGGGAAAGGTTCTTCAGCCTGAGGGACCAAATCATCAAGGCGGAAGACGAAGCCATGGCTCGAGAAGGCGGTGTCACGGATCAATGGTCGTGGAGCGGCGAGAACTATGCCGGACCGCGTTGGATGATGCTGAGCGTCTGGAGACCCCTTGAGACCGTGCATAGAGACCCACTCGCCGTCATGGACCCCAAGTCTCTCCTCCTCAAACCAGGCCAAGAAGGAAAACCACCGTATGCGTTGTTCACCCGCATGTACAGAGACAGGCCCGGCTTCGAAAAGGAATACCAATCCGAGAACCTACTGCCATTGGCACCCGAAAACGGTGCGGATCACAAGTGGTACTACATCAGTGAGCAGAAACCCGACGAGGTTTACGCGTTGAAGTTGTTCGACAGCGAGGCACAGAAGCAGGACAGTAACGTCGCCCCTTGGGTCGCACACAGTGCATTCCCCCTACCTGGTCAGGAAGGGAGAGACGCGAGGAAGAGTGTGGAGATTAGAGTCATGGTGATTTTTTGATACTCGGGACCTAGAGTGTTTCGTTCTAGTACATTTCAAGGTGCAATCCCAAAGTGAGAAATCATTGCGGTATATACATATCCTGTATCGGATCTAAATAGCTACTATCCACCCCGTCTTGGAGATTTTCGATCTACCCGAGAGCTCTCATTGACATACGGGGGGATCCTCTTTCTGGGGGCTGATACCCCACATATCCAAAGGTAGAAGACGGTCTGAGGCTGCCAGTAGTAGAAACTCTACCATGGAGTGATTTCGTTTATATATATTCTCATTTAACCCATACGAAATATCTGTGTGTTGCATGAGTCCTTTTGAATATTTTACTAGGTACTCCACAAAGTACAATGTCTAGTAATACTGCGACCACCACCACCACCACCACCACCACTGCCCTGGTCCTTCCCGACATAGACAAACCCCTACTTCTCCGACAAGTCCAACTCAATGGACCTTTGCAGGATGAGGTTCTCGTCGAGATTCAAGCCACCGGAATCTGTCATACAGATCTATCGTGTATGAATGGGACACTTCCAATATCATCCACTCCGGCCGTCTTGGGCCACGAAGGTGCCGGTATCGTCCTGTCGGTAGGGACCCACGTCCAACACGTCAACCCGGGAGACAAGGTCCTCTTGAGTATCAATCACTGTGGGGGTTGCGTCCATTGTTCTTCTGGACACCCGAATTATTGTGTTGAAGGGATGCCTAGGAATTTTGGCGGTGGACGATCATCACGACGCCTCGACTCGGACAAAGTCGAAGGTGGATCATCTTTTGCTCATACTATACACCTTGTTGGAAATGATGTACCGTCGTCGTCGTCGTCGACGGCAACACCGTGTTTCGGTAATTTCTTCGGACAAAGTTCATTCTCACGACTGGCCATCGTGAATGGTTCTTGTGCCGTCAAGGTTCCACGAGAAACGGATCTAGCATTGTTTGCTCCCTTGGGGTGTGGAATCTCAACCGGAGTAGGTTGTGTGTTGAACACTCTCGACGTCCAACCTCGTTCTACCGTCGCCGTCTTTGGAGCTGGAAGTGTAGGGTTGGCTGCAGTCATGGCGGCTCGCCTGAGAAAAGCCGACGTGATAATAGCGGTCGATCTCCGTGAGACCAGACTGGAACTGGCGAAAAACTTGGGCGCAACCCATGTAATCTGTGCTGCAAAGGAAGATGTGCTGGCCAGAATCAATCAAGTGACAAAAACAGATGAGGGTGTCAACTACGCTGTCGACTGTACAGGTGTTCCAGCAGTGATCGAGACCATGATGGATTGTTTGGCTATACGGGGTCGTGCGGCCCAGGTGGGAATACCGACACCCGACAAGACCGTACCCGTCAAGATTCTACAACACCTCCTCAAGGGACAACAGTACGTGGGTTGTGCCGGGGGTGATTGTGTTGCGGGTGAGATGATACCGTATCTCTTGACCCAGCAAAAAGAGGGCAAGTTTCCTCTGGAGAAAATGGTTTCGTATTACGATGTCAAGGATCACCAAAGAGCTTTTGATGATGTCAAGTCGGGAAAGGTGGTCAAGGCAGTGATTAGTTGGGATTCCCTTCCGAGTTGTATACAATAGACTCGAAAATATTGGTTGGACATCTGCAATACACACCTGGGAAGACGACATGTATCGAAAAGGTGTTGAAGATGAGAATATCACAAGGGCAAAAGAACAATTCTTGGATTCACATTGAACACCATCACTGGCGCTTGAACCATGAGAGCTGTGGTGCTCAGAGTTCTGGATTCGTTTGTTGTTAGCTTCTAGCCAGTTCCTCGTGGAACCTCTTCGTCCCCATACCACTTGTGTCGTATCCATTCTCTTCGAGATATCCCTTGAACCTGTCGTCTTCCTCCTCAATCATATCCTGTCCGACATTGGGAAGACCAAAGAAAGCCACGACGGCACTGAAGATGCACAAGCTGCTACTGACCCAGAACGGATATTGTCCTTGCTTGACCTTGTCGCCACCAGCGGCATCGATCAACAGTGGGAATACATATGTGCCGACGAACGCTCCGACTTTGCCCCACGCCGCTGCGATCCCATAAAACTGACCTCGGATGGGTGTGGACGTGAGCTTCGAAGCGAGCAGACCGATGTTGTCCCCTGGGCCGACTTCGCCCAGGGCCATGAACAATCCAGTCAAGATGATGAAGCCGGCGACTCGTGAAGGTTGATTGAGCTCGCCATATGCCCCTGTCATGGCAAACCCGACAATGCCCTGCAAGAAGACTCCCAATATCAGACCCCATTTCGGACCGATCCAGTCAGACAAGAAAGCACCAAAGAAGGATCCAGGAAGCCAGAAACTGTTGATGGCGGTCGCCATGCCGAAAGATTTCCAGAGTGGAGCGTCACTAGGGAGGATAAACACCAGCCAGGAGGATGCAAAGATGCCGAAAGAGTAAGCAGAGAAGTTCTGAGGAACGTTCAGTTTCGTGATTCGAATCCGTAGAACCGATTCACTTACGTAGACAAACCAGATGATAGAGATGACGGTAAGACGCCACCAGTAAAACCTAACAATTAGTTTGATTGGAAATTTGTGCATCTTGTTTCGCTTGTACTGTTCTGGTTCTTGTAGTTTGATACTGTGCAGGTTTAGGATGGGCTACACATACACCTTGGGGTCCGTGAAGAACGTACCGAAGATATAACAGGCTCAACGGTGGGATCGCGCCCAAAGCCAGGCATATTCTCCACGCTGCTCGAAGGTGGCTTTCGCCCGTTGCAAGAACGACAATCATCGGAACAAAAGCGCTGATGACAAAACCGAGGTCGATTTGGAAATCGGTTGCGAATATGAACCAGCGATTTCGGTGTCCTGTTTTCAACTCGCCGGTGGACTCTGCGGCACCGACGGACCCTGCCGGGCTGTGCGATGTCAGGTGGATTGATTCCAGCAGCGAGACAACGTACTATTCTCCTCCGATACCCAATCCAATAAGAAATCGATAGGCTGAAAGAGCTGCAAACAAGCCTTGCGGACTCCCGCCAGCGCCATATGAGCCCGCGCAAAGGATGGAAAAGAGGATCAGGACTGTAGTATTCATTAGGTTGCAGTAAAGAGATTAGTAGGTGGAGGAAACGTACTGATTGTTGATATGAGTAAGGAGTTTCGTCGAGACCAATGATCACTCAAGACACCTGACGAGTATGAGCTCCTTCAAGCAATAAAAGTCGAGTGGAGATCGCCTCTGAGCAGTGAACCGTACCGAAGAAGAGATGACCAACGACCTGCAGACCATGAGATACATTTCCTTATATTATGAACCATGCATGCAGTATGGCCGAGACTTATTGCAATGAGCATACTTACTGTACCTGCGAATGCAATGCTCGGCACCGCACTTTTGGCAGATGACGAAGTGTAAGCGTCGCCATAGATCAGCTGCAACATGGTCGACACCGATCCAATGACACCGTTGAGGTAGCCATCAGAGAAAAGGCCTGCACCACAAGCAATAGTAGGCCAGGACCTTTCCCATCTGCCCTTTGGCACTTCCGCTAGCGGGTTTATGTTTAAGGCGACATTCTGCTCTTGATCAGTGACATAGTCGGGAGACGACCGGAGATCCGTTTCGTGCACTTCCTTGTTGTCCATTGCACAGAAACCCTACTATTTTAATCAAAGAAAGGATGGAGATGTAGGGAAAAGGAATTGTCGGCGTTAGTCTGCGGGAAAAGATACTCGTTCACGACGGATGGGAAGATAGAATTTCTCTCGTAGCCGAATCCGGGCTTCAGCTCACCTACTTATAGCAATAAACGCGTGACTTGCAGGGCACTTATACGAGTGGATGATGGAAGGGATGAAGCCTGAAAAGGCGTGTGGTTACAGTGTCCTGGAAAAAAAGACTTTTGTGCCCAATCAATGCGCGATGTTCGAGCACAGGGTTGAACCGGCTGCTAGCCAATGATCTAGGCCTGGATGTACCATCGACAGCGAGTGTAAGTGATTATCGACAAGATCCTCGGGATCGAATCATAGTTGTTTTACTGAACATAGAAATCTTCGCGTAGCAGAGAAACATGGCGGGCCCCGCGATATATCTTAAGAGGCTGGATGGATGGCGGTAGAGGTGGGCATCTTATCTCATGGCCTTGCAATGCACAGAGATCTCACGATAAGCCTTGAAACATGAACTTCGAAGGCCAAAGCAGTATCGCATATGGCATGAACCTGATAAACCTTGAAAGGTTTGGTCATGCTGATGTTGGTTGGCATGATTTTGGGAAGAAGAAGCAGCAAGAACAGGCTACAAAATGATCTCTCAGCCTTGCGAACTGACGAGGCTGTACTAAAACGTGACTTGGCCTTGGCATATCGGACTTTTGCAGTTGCATCTTTCCGATGCTGCGAGGCTTCAGATACACTTCTTTTAAGGTGCAGTGTTTAAGAATCAACGGTGGCACTGTCACTGGAGACAAAAGATGGCGCATAATACTGCGTCCCATAACCTCCTCAATCTTTCTAGAGGATTCAAAAGGCTCAACGTTTCTGACCCATTGACGGTATGCGCTTCTCTAAAGATTTTTGTCTTTGCTTGACTAACCACTTACCAGCAATGCCTTGCACCTCGATTGACCCGCACGTTTGCCTCTCAAACAGACCTACCTGTGGCCGACACTGCTAAAGACATCCGAACCGGAATCAACGCCTCAAACCCCTCGACTGCCCCGTCATCAACTGCCTACACCCTCGAAACCCCGATCATCAAGACCATATATTCCTGGCCGACTTTAGAACCCAAACAGTTTGGATGGTATAGACCCCAGCTTCTCGATGCTCCGATGCGTCGAGATATTTTGCACCGAGCAGTCATATATGAAGCCGACGCATCACGTCAAGGTACCGCCAGCACAAAATGGCGATTCGACGTTCACGGCAGCAACCGCAAGCTATACCAGCAGAAAGGTACCGGAAGAGCTCGTGTACGTGACAAGAAGTCACCCATCAGAAGAGGTGGAGGTGTCGCTTTCGGACCGCATCCGAGGGACTTCTCGACAGAGCTACAACGCAAGGTCTATGCGCAGGCGTTCAGGGTCGCCTTGAGTTATCGTCATCGGAAAGGCGAACTGGTAATTTTGAACAACAAGATCCAACTGCCATCAGAAGATCTTGGTGCCCGATGGTTGAACAATCTGTTCGAAGCGAATCATTGGGGCAAAGCTCATGGAAGAAGTCTACTGGTCACTGCGACACGCGAGGAGAAGGAGCCAAGAATTTTTGACGAGATGGATCAAATTGGCGAACATGGTGTTCTCAAGGACTTTGAAGATGTTGACGTTAAGGATTTGTTGGAGACTGGTCGCGTTGTAATCGAGAAGGAAGCGCTCGTCTCGCTGCTAGTGAGACTTGGGGGTTTTAGTCCAGACGAGCTCAGACCTGTTTATACTGACACCCTGTAAAATATGTACCTATAGAAGGAAACTTTGGAACCTTTGGTGAATCTGGCCTCGGTAAATCATAGGAAGCAACATCTTCGACACCACGTCGTGAAATTGCCAAATTGATTCGTAAGATGGGTTGGCATTATGGTAGATATGCATTGAGTATTTACATACGAAGTGGAAAAAGAGCTCGACAGGAAGTAGGTACTGCTGGCTGTTCAGTCCTAGAGCCCATTCCAAACGCGACAGATACGTCAAGATGTCAGCCCCTTTACCGGGAGCCTTGCTCGGTGAAGTCCCGGGAGACACCGACGAAAAAGACCCTTCACGGCAACCTTGATCGGTCGTTCTCAAATACAATGCAGAAGCAAAGTCCGAATTACATACAATGGAGCACCCTCGACCCATCCAACTTGAACCATAGAAGTGATTAGAGGTTTGTGATCCTCACAGATTTCCTTGTGGGTCTGGATTTCGCGGTCCAGGTCCGAACACATACGCAATACACAGCCATTTCAAGCGAAGAGGTTCTTAGTGACCAGGTCAAAGGCGGTTTCTTGATTTCCCGGACTTCGAGTATAATACGGATCGATGCGTTTGTCCTGGCTCGACTCCAATCACCAGCGAACGATCATCACAACTCGTATATTCCGTGCTATCTCTTCGGTTCAACGCATGATTTTCATATTATCTTCAACGATACCTCGCCTTTCCATCTCAGAAACTTGTCACGAGCTTAAAAGAAGCCAAAGCAACATTACTCAAAATGGCGACAGTTGTCCATATCGGTAGGCCTTTTTGAACTTTTTGCTGACTCGAGCTAATCACACAAGAACAGTCATGTTTAGATTTCGACCTGAAATTACACACGAGCATAAGGAGGTTTTTCAAAGAGAATTGAAGAAGTTGAAGAGACTATCTTGTGTCAAGGATCATCATTTATTAGTCGGTGGTCCTTCGGTGACCGATCCCATATCACGAAGCCAGGGCTACCAATATTGTCTTGTGAGCTACCATCACAATTTGAAAGCATTAGAAGAGTATCAGGCCAGTACTGAGCACCATGAGTATGTATATTGGACCCTGGATGTTCCACTCTCTGTTTAGAATCTCAGGAAATGGACTGACCTCTATGATTCAGGGTGACAAACAAGCTCGTGTGGCCTTTTATAGATAATGTTTGCAGGTTTGACTTTGAAGTTTCATCAGAAGACGAACATATGGTTTCCAATGTGATGCGAGGATCTGAGGAAGGAAACTTGATCAGAAATGACTCAGGGAGCGTCACTATTCCAACAAAGGGTCTTTTGCAGTGCAGAGGGCTCGAGTTTCCAGACTCCAACTTGACGTATCAGGTGTTACAAGATGCTTCCAAGGGGAAGTATGCCGTCGGGGCCTACAACTGGTGAAGAAACTCCTCTATACTGTCCTGGATCTATTGTGGCGACTGACAGACACATGTTTCAAAACATATAGTTATAATGACGATGGTGTTATAGCAGTCATCCGCGCCGCAGAGAAGAAGAAATCACCCGCCGTCATCCAACTGTTCCCCTGGACTTTACGTTTTCAAGGGCCTGAGTTTGTGAAATATGTGGTGAGTGCTGCACACTCTGCATCGGTACCTATTGCAGTACATCTGGATCACTGTATCAAACAAGAAGACATCGAACTCGCCCTGACACTTCCTTTCGACTCAATCATGATTGATGCGGCAACACTGGATGAGAACGATAACGTAGCACTGTGTGCTGAAAACGTTCGACGAGCCAGCAGAGTCGGTATCACGGTGGAGGTCGAGATAGGCCGAATAGAAGGCGGTGAGGATGGTCTTCCCAACGTGGATCAAGGCGCCATTCACACCGATCCGCAGAGAGCGAGAGAGTTCATGTCGAAAACGGGTGCTCACTTTCTCGCACCCAGCTTCGGTAACATACACGGTGGCTATCCTCCTGGGGGGCTGAGAAGTCGTGGGATTTGACCTTGTAGGTTACAAATCGCTATCCAGTTTCGTCTTTACTAACGCAATGATTCTAGACTGCAATCTGTTCAACGAGCTGTTACTGATGCCGTACCAATTGTTGCACATGGGACGTATCCGGTATCAGATGAAGCGTTCTCAAAACTCGTTGCGTGTGGAGTGAGCAAAATCAATGTCAATCGCACCGTGCGCGACGAGTATACGAAATTCATGGCGGAGAATGCTGGGAAACTGGAGCTGACCACTTTGAAGCTCCAAGGTGTAGATATCTACATGAAATCGGTGGAACGAGTTATGGATCTTTTTGGGTCGTCGGGCAAAGCAGTATAATGTGAGATCATGCTAGACAACAACCATGACACGCATCTTGCCTCGTCTCTGGATAACACCCTCTTTGACGAAGTAAGTATGGCTAGAATCAAACTCCTTGAAAGTCCGCACTTCATATCAATGCTCAATGTGGAGCCAACTCGGACCAGATCCGATAGACACGCGGAATCAATCCGACTCCTGATTTCGCTTTCGTCTCGGACTCTCCCGAATTTTCTCATCTCAAAGCACTCAGACTTGCAATTCAAACAGAGACTTTTGTTGACGGACCGACCGATTAGTGCTTTTCCGTACCCTTCGGTGATTGCAACTCGTTTGCATCGATGGCCTCGCTACCCTGTGAACATGCCATCTTCAATCCGAGATACAGATGTCTTCCTAGCGCATAAAAGTCCGACGGACGCCAGGAGGAAAAAAAGGCCAGGCGCGTGCACACGATGCAGAAATCGGAAAGTGAAATGTGACGGGCGATTACCCGTGTGTGGAAGTTGTGTTAAGGCAAGGACCGAGTGTGATGTCAACACCGCCTCAGCCCAAAGGTGAGTTTGAATATATGTGAGGCTACTGTACATTTCTTGGGCTGATTGTGGACAAGGGAAAGCCTCCTTAACAGGATCCAATATCTTGAGGCACTTGTCAAGGATAATGGGTTGGAGGATAGCCTCTGGACTGAGGCGAGCACAGGGGCGAATGTCAACATCCAGTCCGCGACATTACCGCAGGAATATGTGCGGCCATCCAGAGATACCCTGGCTCAAGACAACACTCCAACCTCGCATCAAGGTCCCGGGACGACTGTCAATCAGGGCAGACAACAGCCCATAACCAACGTTGTATCATCACCATCGACAAGTTTTGCCGCAAATGTCAGCACTGGGACCTCTCCATGTGGCACAGACAACTCTGCAATAAGTGTCCAACAGCCTATTGCGCACGAGGTCGGAATGCTGTCCCTCTCGAACTCTGTAGAGCCCAAGTACATTGGACCATCTTCGGGGGTTACATTCGCGAGGTTGATTTATGCCGCAGTACCAGGATTTCAGGGTGTTCATGCCAATCTGGCCAACCAAAGCCAAGGTGGAAACCAAGACTCTTCCGTCGAGCAAACCGCTGGAGCTTCACTGCCTAGCGTTAGGGATATGCATCGCTTCATCAACGCGTATTTTGATACGATACATTTCCTCTATCCTTTTTTGAGTATTACAAATTTTTCAAAGACAGCTGAAAAGATACGGCGCTTCCAAACTCAGCTATCGCAGTCATCTACAGATGCCACAAAATCAGATGTACGAACCATCGATCACATCGACCATGCCCAGCTCTTTCTAGTCCTTTTTCTGGGAGCCAATGTGCTTGAGACGCGGCTATCTCAAGATTTCAATTCAGAGAGCTTCCTCGCTACAGCTATGCTTCATGTCTCATTTGTTAGCCTCCACGAAAGTCTACGAGGGTTGCAGACCCTTCTTCTACTCACTTTGAGCAGCCTCCATTCCCCACGCGGCTTGAACGCCTGGTTTCTCAAGTCAACCATCCTGGCGGGATGCATTGACCTCGGGCTGCAGCGGAAGAACAACGTCAGCACTCGTAAGTAGTACCGCTTCCATATTCTGGTCGTTTTCAGACGTATAACGTCTTATATATAGCCCAACCAACATCTTCGGATATTGAAGAGCATCAGATCCGCAGCGGCGTCTTCTGGTCTGCTTACTCTCTGGACCGAACCCTGAGTGTGGTTCTAGGGAGACCTCTTACTTTTCGTGACGAGGCTCTAGACGTCGAATTTCCTGGCGCACTGGGTTCCGATGAAGTTGACCATGACGCCAGCAGAGTCTATGCTACGACATCGAATCAGGACGACGAGCCTGCCCGGAAGAGACAACGGATGATGCAGACTCCTGGAACGCCCGCGGTTTACTCATTCCGCTTTGATCGCATTTTTGCAGAGATCAAACTCATGCTGTACAGAGTGGCCCAGTCTCCTTCTCGGTTTCCCTGGCCTACCGACTTTGGAGAATGGCAAACGAGGACACATACCACATTGTCCCAATTATTGGAGGATGCTCATCAAGACCTTGACCGCCTGGACTCTTCCGACTCTGCTCCTTCACACGGGACGCATGATAATGCAGTGCTGTCGCTGGAGCTCAAATATCACCAGGCGATCATGCTCATGTATCGGCCTAGCCCGGCCATACCTCGCCCGTCCGCATGGGCTTTGAAATATTGCTTCGAAAGTGCGGTGGGGACGATCCAGGCCCAAGCCGAGTTACACCGTTTTGGGAACTTTGCGAATTCGTGGTTGAACGCCCACACGGTGTTCATCTCAGGGATTACCATCTGTTACTGTTTCTGGGTCAGTCAACAGGTCAGGACCATGACAACCTCAACTTCGTTCACGTATTACACCGACATGGTGAGGCGACTATTGAAAAGCCTAAGCACGACGTGGTTGGTGGCCAGCAACGCCTTGCAGAAATTTGAGGCTCTGGTACGGTTGACAGAGAAGTCATCTTCTCAATTACGTACATGTACGACGACGGAGACTGTGAATCATGGTCGAACGACAGCAGGTACTGATGATGGTGGTGACCATGGTACCACGCAGCAGCAGCAGCAGCAGCAGCAGCAGCAACCTGGCTTGATGAAATCAGGGGTTCACCATCAACAAGGATCCTCTTCCTCCCCATGGCCTCCTTTGCCACAAGTCGATTTCTCGTCTACTGAAGATCAGATAGATTGGTCAAACTTCGACGTCGAGTATGATAATACCAATGTATGGCCGAAGGAGTTGCAGGAAGTGCCAGATTGGTTTTCTTTGGAGGATTGGTTGAATGATTATGCATAAGATGACTGTACTAGTATGGGAGAACTTGATCAAACTTGAATAAGCACTAAAGTTCAGGAGGGGAGCGAAAAAAGAGAACAAGCGTATACAAACAAATCATGGAATGAATTGTACATGTGGAACATAGCTCAAGTTAAAGGCACCCGAGGTCGTTTCAGGTCAGGTCAGGTCAGGTCAGGTCAGGTCAGGTCAGGTCAGGTCAGGTCAGGTCAGGTCAGGTCAGGTCAGGTCAGGTCAGGT